GATACGCGCCAGAGTAGTACCCGGAGAATCGTAAGCCTGCTCGATGAGTGCCAATTCTTCACGCTGACTCTGATTGAGTCTACCCTTGACAGAGTACGCTTCTCTAAGGCGCTCTAATGCTAAGATGAGAATCTTGGTGTCGTGCTTGTAAGAGACACTAGGGAAGGGGATTGGTTGGAACTTCCTTGCCTCCAGCCAATGTACCATAGTCGTGTAGATGGCAACAGCCTCTTCGGAAGAGACGTAAGGACCGTCCTTCATGTAGTTGTGCTGCCGCTCCTGTTCAGCCTTGAGCCACAGACGCGTCAATCGTCCCAGGTTCTTTTTGGCCACAGTCTTGTCAACTGTAGCGCCGCGTCGAATACGCTCACGGTTGTAGTGTGCGACTGAGATCCACCAGTCTGCCTTGCTCTTGACGTAACGCAGAATGATGTTCTCGATCGGCGCTGGCAAACCGGGTACCTTCCAGGGGATGTTACTCTTCCAGCAACGCCATGCTTCAGACAGGTGCTGCAAAACAGTGTTGACCTTGTTTTGCTTGATTCCCTCAGGCATCATATCCATGAGATCACTCATGACCGCAGCGCGGAGCTCCAAGTCAAAGTGCGATTCAACACGCTGCTTTGTGACAGTCTTCGCAACACCCTTGCTATGTCTGCCTTCGAATTGACGGGAGAGCAAGTTACCAAGCCAGCGCTCCAGCAGAGGAATGATACCGCGCATGAAGAACAACCAGACTCTCCAAGCAGGGGCCCAGAAACCACAGCCCGGTCCCTTACCAACGGGGCCAGAGTTGAATCGGTAGTAAATCAGATGCTTCAGGTCCTTGCAAGAACGAATCTGGTGCATCAGCTTGTACTTGTATCGGTACATGCCAGTCAGTTGACCGACGTGGTTGAAGGCATAGAGGATACCATCAGCAAGTTGGAAAGCGTCGATGTTGCCTAGACGGTACTGGACTTGGGCATCAACGATGAGCTTGGTCAACCTCAGAATCTCACGCATAAGATGGAAAGCGTTTCCGAAACGCGACTTCTTGCGCTCTTTGGTGGTGAGCGTCTTGACAGGCTTCAGATTGAAGTTGTAATCAAGATGCAGGTACGTCAAGTTCTTCCGGTGAATAAGCAGGTTCAACATGTTGTAACCTTGTCGGCAGACCTGCAGACCCGCTTCAACCCAATCAATCTTGGTCTGTTGGAAGAACTTGGTGCTCTTCAGCGTCCGCATCAGATTCTGCTTATTTTGTGCTTGTGGTGGCTTCTTGTGCAACTCGTTCAAGACAAAAGTCTTTAGCAACTTCTGGTACGAGACCCGGACCTTGACGGGCTGACCTGCAGGAACGTGCTCAAGGTACCACTGCTTGACTAGAGGTACGTCTTGTGCTCGCACCATGCGACCTGATCGTTTGTCGAATGGGTGAGGTGCCCACCAAAGTGCGATGGCTGAAGCAGTTTCTGGAGTGGAGAGCTCCTCATCGGCCATGAAAGGTTCCATCTCTTCTGGCATCTGGAAGTCATCCTCGTCGTCCTCGTCGTCTTCGCCAAAGACCATATCCTCATGGCTTACAGAGATGTTCTTCGGAGCAACAGCTCTGGAAGAGATGGGGTTGATTCCAGGATCGAAGTAGAAAGCTGGCAGATCCGGGTCCTCAGCACGAACGTATACGACCTGCGGGTGAGAATACCAAGCCAGCTTGACACTTCGCGGCAGGGAGTTGTATAGATATGGGTATGAAACACGGTACTCGGTACGGATGGGAGATCGGAAAATGATGCGATCAATGGCGTTAAACTCCCCAAAGTCCTCGTCGTTCGGGTCGATGTCCTTGTACAATGGCTCGAAGCGGGGTCCTCCGGGTATCGCAACGTTGAGTGCCTTTGCTGTCTGGAAGCTGTCCATGTCAAACATGTGGAAGTAGTTCTTGTCCACAATGTCGCTCAGGAGCTGCTTGCTGAGACGGTATAACGTTGCCATCTGAGGCAGGTCCAAGTTCCATGTCTCATAGCTCGGTCCATTGACATGTGGAGTATCGAGAAGCGCCCGGTGCTCGTAGAACCACTCGTATACGGGGCTGTCTTCGTCCTCGTCGAGCTCCAGCTGAATAGGCTCCAGGGGCTCAACATCTTCAATGTTCTCCGAGTATGATAGAGGCGGCTCTTCGTCGTCAAATGGCGGGAAGCGCATGCGCTTGAAATGTCGGCGATCGCTCTTCTCCTTCCTCATAGCTAACCACATAGCTGCCCATTGAGCATGAAAGACAGGCTCAATCACACGAGGGACCTCGTTGACTAGTGTCAGGCATCCGTTGGTGTGGTAGAGGACTTTTACATCGCGTCTACTCTCCCAAGGCATGGGCATGTTCTCCAGAAGCTTGAGAACGGCATGTGGCATGAACTTGAGTGCACCGAGATAGCTTCGCTTGTCCGTGGTGAATTTCTTCTGGGACACGTCTCCAATATCTCTGAACACCTTGCGCAGATGCTCCGGGGGTAGGTCCGCCTTTTGTGTCTCGACGTAGCCTGCCTTGCGCTTCTCGCCAAATCTCTGGCGCTGTTGCCGTAACCAGTCCTTCTTCTTCTGTGCAAACTTGGCGACTTGCGGGTCGATGGGTGGTCGCATGCCAGGCGGGCCTATAGCAGCGCCTGGTGGTCCAGGAGGGGGCGGCGGCGGCGGCGCATATCCAGAACCTGGGGGACCCGGGGGAGGAGGTGGTGGCGGCGCGAATCCAGAGCCCGGGGGCCCTGGTGGTGGTGGGGGAGGAGGGGGAGGGAAAGCCATGTTGACTGGAATTAGGGTAGAGAAGGAAATCTGATGTCGTCAGAAGGGATGAAAACGCGAAACCGAACGAAAGATGCGCCTCTTTTGTTGGCGTTGAATTATATGGCAGTTGGGAAGCCCTTGTAAAACAGAGGCTTGAAGAGAGTGACCAACCTTAGTAACGCGATCGCAATGCTATACTGGACTCGTGGGTTGAGCACAGTTGGTCGCGCGACAAGCTTAGGAGTCGGGTCCTCAGCTTTTGCGGACGGCGCCGCGATTGAAGAAGGGGAATTCGCGTCGGCGCGTGGATTTCCAGACTATCTCCAGAAGCTCGAAAGTCGTGTAGTTGGCGGCGCACACAAAGCAGAGATACAACCTCCGCGCGTTGTGTGGAGTGGCGATGGAGATGTTCTCGCGGCATAGTCTAGTGAATCTTCTTGCAAGGCCGCTGCGCACGGCCTGTTATCACGTGACAGTGGGTCTGGAAATTCCCGGGGCCTTGTCTAGCGTACTAGTGCAGTTCAGCTAACCGAGCACACGAAATTTCGACGGTCTCACTAACCAACGACGACAACAGTGGTAAGCAATCTCGCCGTCCTGGGAATTTCTTCGACGATACTAACCCACAGTCTTCAGACCCAGGTACGATTGTGTCCATCCGCAATACCACTTCCGACATCAGCCCGCTCACACGCACAACAGACAATCGCCCACTGATTCCCCGGGAAATCTATCACAATGCCGTCCAACAGACTCACCTACGTACGTCGCACCGCAAACCCGAGCGCTGGAGGAGGCGATTGAGGATCTTGGAATTGTTAGGACTGTAGACTAACAAAGGGCAGAGGCGTCGCGCCCCCTACAACACCAAGAGCCAGAAGGTCCGCGTCATCAAGACGCCCGGTGGTGAGCTCCGTTACCTGCACATCAAGAAGAAGGGCACTGCCCCCAAGTGCGGTGTAAGTTAGACCTGGACGCATGTACAGGCCTGCTGTTGACAGTTCGTAGGACTGCGGTTCCAAGCTCCAGGGTGTCCCAGCCCTCCGCCCCCGCGAGTACGCCCAGGTTTCCCGCCCCAAGAAGACCGTCCAGCGCGCCTACGGTGGATCGCGATGCGCCGGCTGCGTCCAGGACCGCATCGTCCGTGCTTTCCTGATCGAGGAGCAGAAGGTCGTCAAGAAGGTCCTCAAGGAGTCCCAGCAAAAGAAGCGTTAAGCGGTTGCATTGAGTGAAGGGGTTTAGCATGTCAAAACTGGGTCTTCGGTGTTCATGTGCATTATGGGCAGTCTCCTGGTTCGGTCGGCTTTTACGATATCAAGACGATTTCTACGTCACTCCGCCAGGATGTAGCTGAGTAGGGTCACGAATACATCCACAAGCTACACGACGTGTTTCCAGCGAATACTACTGTGACGCTATCAAGGGAGCTTGGTGGCTTGAATGCTACTTCAATCTCATATCCCAAGTGCCTGAAGTCTCTTAGTCTGCACAAGATGGGAGAATGTACGGGATCAGGCAACAGCCAATGGCTGACCGATTTACCATCTCACACAAATTAGCGATGCCACTGCAGCTCTGGGAGGTTCCCATTTCGATCCATTGCGTTCTCTAATGAGATCACAAATGCGCTCAACAGTCTACACCTTTACTCACGACGTACATGGCAATAATGTCACAAGGTCAATCTGGATGCCTAACTCTTCAAATGTCATGTTGATCATCTTACGTAGCATGAAGTTTTGTAAAGAGGCCCGTTTTTGAAAGTCTCAATCCGAACACTAATGCTTACTTTCCATATGCATGAACCGTCACTTTTGTCAGAGTTGCAAGTTAGATTCCTGTATGTGCCTTGAGAGTACTAGCAATTATGAGTACACAAGTCAGAAAACAACGAGCTTCGCCCGCACGCTCGGCGCACCCTGTTGTAAAGGCAGCCCCGGATATGCCTTTACACGTAAATGCGAATAACTCAGAGACCAGCTCGTGACGCACAGAGAGTATCTCGGATACCAGCGGTGGAGCCTACCTGAACGAGGCTGGGTGCCGCGATTCAGCATGGGTTCCCAAGCTGTGATTGGAGAATTTTGACCAATTCTGACAAGCTCGCCCGCGGCCTGGAGCCCATAGTTCGGCGGCATCCTGCAGGAGCTTGCAGCTTGCGATAGCAGTCAATGGCGCGCATGCCCAGGTGATCGAGAGAGTCTCCCGCGGCATTGGAGTCAGAGTCGTGGTCTGGCAGCTGGTCAAGCTTCGCACGCGCTTGCGGCCTCGGACTCACACCAGCTGGACCCCCACTTCCACCTACCCTCACAACCTAAATTCCCTGCGATATCGGTCGGATATGTCGAGCAATATGCTGCATTCCATGTCACCAACGACGCCAGGACTACCAGGCCTACCGCATCCGTTCCAAAGCCCCAACAGCACACACACCCGAGGCTTCAAGCGCTCCGCATCCAGCGACGACGATGAAAACGGCGACGGCGATACGCGGCCCTCGTCGTCGTCGCGGCGCAATACCGCCGTGAAGCGCGCGTGCAATGAGTGTCGCCAGCAGAAGGTAAGTACTTTTTTTTTGTATATGACGCCATAGAGGAACACGCGCCCGTTGGTGAGCTCTGCCTCAGGCATGAGTGCGCCCGCTTATGCCTGGCCGCCGCCAGTACGTGTGTCCGTCTACGATGATGATTCACATCTTCCCGACATGCGCCTACCACCAACCATGAGGCTGTCAGACGTCAATGTTCCAGGTCCCCACTAACTGTGCCTTTGCAGCTCAAGTGTAACGTCCAGCAAGATCCCTTCGTCAGTTGTGCGCGATGTCAGAAGCAAAACCTGCGATGCGTAATCGAACCCAACTTCAAGCGCGTCGGAAAGCGTAATAGAAATGCCGAGATGGAGAAGGAGATGGAGTATTTGCGCGAACGTCTCGCCATGTACGAGGGCCAATCCACGCCGAACCAGCCTGTCTTGAATGCTCCACAGCAAGCGCCAGACAACCATGGCTTCACTCCCGGCCCGGTCCCCAAAGTGGAAGACGATGCATTCCTACAGACACAGCATACACAAGTGGCAGCGACGTCTCTACTAGACCTGCGCAGCGGTTCGCCTATGATCTTCGCGCTTGGTACAGGCGAAGTGCGCCTTGGTCATGGGGAGGTTAATGAGCTCTTCGCCGAGTACTTCCAGCTATACCATCCATTCTTGCCATTCCTAGACCAAGTGCGCTCGCCAGACGAATATTACTCGCAAGATCACAAGTTGCTGTTCTGGGCAATAATTGCTGTCGCAGCTCGGCGCTATGGGCCACGACCGTCTCTTCTTAAGGATCTCTCCAAACCGCTGAGCGATCTCATCTGGGATTCGATTAGAAACCAGCCGAACCACCATGTAGTCAAGGCGTTATGTCTACTTTGTACCTGGCCACTTCCGGCGGAGCGGACGGTGACGGATCCGACCTTCATACTATGCGGCGCCATGATGCAGGTTGCCATGCAGATTGGTTTGCATCAGCCGACACACCCAGACGATTTTTCTAGGACAAAGATGCAGCTGCGGCGCGAGGATATACACGATCGGTTGCGCACATGGGCAGTGTGCAACATTGTTGCTCAAACGTGAGTTCGGTGCCATTCAAATGTATACCACAAAGGCTAACGTGCTATAGTGTGTCTACAGGAAACGGACAGCCTTCCATAACGCTTTACGATTCGACGCTAGAGTTCAAGGTGGATGATGAAGAGCACATGCGCATAATACCACCAACGCTGTTTGTCCGCTTGCGCCAGGAAATGGCGGCAAGCAGGATCAATAAGCTTCTATACTCTTCCAACAGCCACCGCTTTGCGGAAGGTGCGGCGATAAGCTACATGAGCCTTGAAGCCGATCGCCTGAAAGAAGAGCGCGTGAAGGAAGAGAATAGCTCCCTTGACGGAGTGGACAGTGGTATGTCTAACGACCTCAGCCATACTCAATTATCTCTGACTTTTTGAACAGGCTTGGAAGAACTATATCACTATGCAGTTGCACTACATCTCCACCTATACTCATTCTTCAGTCCGGAACTTCGCCTCGAGCGACGAGACGATCTTGTCGCACTATACTTTGCTGCAACGGCCTACCTCGAGCGCGTATTCAAACTGCAGCGTGAGGGAAGGCTACTCTATGTTCCGTACTACGTCATGCAAATGGCTCTTGCAGCCGGATTTGCTTTGCTGAAGCTCCTTAATTCAGACTTCGCCAGCAAATTGCCCGCAGACAAAGGTCGCCAGTTCGTACTACAAACTGTGGATGCGCTGAGGAAGTCCAAAGTGTGGTCAAACGATCTCCTGGATCGATTTGCCGAAGTTTTGGCGCAGCTATGGAAGGAGAGTTCTCGTGGACGCAGCCTACACAGCCTCTCACAATCACCGTCTCTCAGCAATTCAGGGATGAATTCCATGTTCAACCACCACAACCAGCAGCAGCATCAGCAACAGAGCCAAAGACGAGGTAGTATCGGTATGCTAGATGATCCTCTTGGTCTCATCATTCGCAGTCGCATGAGCATGAGTGTGGTGTTCGATTGCGCATGGCGCTGGCGAGAGGCGCAGGTCAGCGGTGCTGCGGAACAACTCGAAAATACGGTTATGACGAACCCCACCAACCCAGACTCATCTAGTAACTCTACACCACCCCCTGGCGTCGTTGAGAACCCAGCCCATACCCTTCCGAACTTCAATCCGCACGTCAACACTTTAAGTATGCCTCTTCAGCTGACAAACGGCATGGCTAGCGCGAACAGTTTCGAGATGTTCGATTCTGTATCGTGGTTGTTGGATACCCAGCCAGATTGGACGTACGGTAGCGGTAATTTTGGAAACGACTTTGGTGTCTAAACGGCTCAAAGTTGTCAGTTTCTGTCGGGTAAACCGCGATCATTTCAATCTTCTTAGTGCTATTGGGATAGGCCATTGTCCAGTTTGCAATTTGCCGTTGTATTAGCGTGGCGTTTGGGAGTCCTCCGTAGAGATCTTACTATCACTATTAACTTTTGTTGCTTTTTGCCAATCTCCGGTACGCCTGGAAAGGTATCCTACAAGTATTCGCTATGACTTTTAGCAAGAGAGTAAAAATTGTGACCTACATATTTCCCAGCGTATATTCTTAATGTTAGACACGGTTCCGTTTTTCCATCTTCATCGTAATACTTTATACAATGAGGTTTATTATTTTCGATAGAATAACTGACATAGATTGCATCCTCAAGGCAAACATGGGATACCCTGTCATGTCGTAACTCCCTCAGCATACTCCACTTGCAATTTCTTCGACATTCCGTAGCAACTACGGACGACCGCTTATCTCAGAACAGCGTCTTACCTACCGCATTATCATATCCTCGCCATACACCTGTGCAGTCCTTCATCCACAAGACCGAACCTTCATACAATCATGTCCTCCACGTCGTCTCCTCCATTCTCTGCTGTCACTACTCCTCACAAGCACCAACTCCATGCCCTGAAGGCCCACATCATAATCCACATGCTTGTACTCAGCACCGTCGTTTTCCTTGTCATGCAGCTCATATCGCACACAGCTGCCATAGGAGATATCGGGTCTTATGTAATGCCGTGGGCTTGGGAAGAGGCGTTCCTTGGACAATTGTTCGATAACACAGATATGTTCAGGTGGATAGCTGTCTATCTGTTTGTGAGTCTGCGAGCATGTTGGGTAACGGAATGGAGAGTAAAGCCTGCAATAAGATGAGAGTGGGAGACTGGATGCTCAGAGACTATGGGTGTTGACATCTCGATAGGTATCGCTCGATGGGTTGCATGCACTGTTATGCATAGGGTGGTATGCTGACCAGTTACACCCGGTACGAAGGAGAAGGGATGTGGGGAGGAGGCGCAGGGCTACCAAAACATGGTTGAAAAGTACACAGCAGAACATTGAAGCATGGCGGCAACGACATCTTGGATCGTTTGGAACAAGAAGTGGGAAAGAAGATCCGCGAAAACCCACACACGATACGGAACGCCGTTCAGCGACACCACAGCATGTACCCAAAAACCGCACATCTGTGAACTGGATAGAGAGCTTGGACAACACGCCATCACCACCTTGTCCCCTCGATCCACACACATACCATCCCCTCCTACGTCCAACCTATACATCCCTAACCCGCCATATCCTCCTTGCCGTTTGGGATGTAATCGTGCTCTTGACCGTCACTTTTCATGTCTACACTTATGCGGCAAATATTCGCCCCAGCTTCGCTTTTTGCGATGAGCACGATCACCCTCTCTGGCATTTCTATGACCAGCCAGCTACATTGCAGCAGCGCTGTACCCGCATCAATTGGCGTATACACAGCGCTGGGGGTTGTTCGGCAACTGGCGCAGTGATACTCGCTTTGTGGCATTTCTGCGCACTCATGAGCAGGATATGGGCCGTTCTAGACGAGAGACTTTTGAGAAGGCTGGAGGAGAAGACATTGAAGGATTTCAAATCCAAGTTACGTGCGAAAAGGGAAGGTGATAATGATGTGGATTTTGGTATGGCGGGTTGGCAATGTCCACCAAGAGATGTGGACGTAAGGTCAAGGTCGGCTAGGAGAAGTGTTGAGTCAGAGACTTTGACTGGAACAGAAGTGACATCGAGGCATCTACCCACTGTGAGCCAAGAGGAGTTGGGGATTGGGTTAGGGCGGAGAAGAATGTGGGGAAGGGAAAGAAACAATGATACAAGTAGCAATAGTGGTAGAGACAAAGATATGGGGAGTAGCAAGTGGAGCTGGAGGAGTGAGGGATTTCTAGAATGTTTGGTTTGACCGTGATTTTAGTAATATATCTTGGAAAAAAGGTGTTCTTCAAACAATATTAAGAGACAAACCAAATGGAAAGCTGGATATCAATGAATTGACGCCATAATCTCAATAGTCTATATCGACCGGTATCTCTTTAAGCCTTGATATACAAACGCCAAATTATGCCAAACAGCGCTAAAATCAATGTCCACATCCACACGACTCCCCATGTACTACACCACTGTCACCTCTCTTCTTGAAATCTCCTCCATAGCTGGCCAAATGGGTCTGGCCATCCAGTCTTTGCCCATCTTCAGGCACTTTACCCATCCAGCTGACCTCTGTGCCGTTCACGTCGAGTACCGTCAATCCAGTACCCTTTTCTCTGAGCTCCTTGGTGACTGATTCGACATCCACACCCAAATAGTCCCGCAAAAAGTCCCCGACCTCAGTGTTCTCGTGGTTGCCTACCAGTGCCATGGCAGCCTTGGGGTCAGAGGAGTAAATGTTGACGTCCGCACCGCTGTGGCCGTGGGTTGACCAGCCAGTCTGTGAACGACGGGATACCATGTCTGCGTATTGATACAAAGCTGTGGCAGGTTCGGCGACAAGGTCAGAGACTTCCTTGTCGGTGCAGTCATAGATGCCGAGACCAGATGTGATCGATTCACGCACAAAATCAGTCGTCTCATCGGCAGATGGGTCGGTAAGCAGATGCTTTGTATAATCGAGAGCGAGACGCTCAGCGGAATGAGAGGCATTTGCGAGGGGAGAGGGGTACCAGAGGTATTCGGGGTAAGACGCGTGGAGCTCTGCTGATTGTTAGCAATGGTTACTACCAAAGGGGTGGACAGAACATACGGCGAGCAGCAGCCAGACCGCCAGTCTCGTGATCCGATGTCGAGACCATGACCGTCTGCGTTTCCTCGTTCTTGATGAAATCCAGCACACTTGTAAAGGCCCTGTCGTAGGCGAGGACCTCGTGTACCTGAGCAGCAGGGTCGTTGTGGTGGCCTGCGTGGTCAATCCTGGAGCCTTCAATCATGAGGAAGAAGCCCTTGTCGCTATCCCTCGTTGCATCACTGAGCGCCTTCATGGCAGCCTCAGCCATCTCGTGCAAGCTTGGGTAGATGTCGTTCTCATTGCGGCGGTCGATCTCATACGGGATGTCAGTTTCGGCGAAGAGTCCCAACATTGGCAGGTCGAGACTAGCTCCTCCCTTCAGGCTGTCAAAGCCCGCGCGGTCAGAGATGTAGTTGAATCCATTGTTCTTGGCCAAGTCCACAATGTCCCTGTCATCCGCGCGACAGCTGGAGTCGACTGTCGAGTTGGGCAGGAAGTGGCATCGTCCGCCTCCAAACATCAGATCGACGACGCGGCCAAGTGGGTAGTCTCCGACCATCTGTTCTGCAATACGGTCCTCCTCTGATCGCATGTTGACGTGAGCCGCAAAGCAGGCGGGTGTCGCATCTGTGATCCTCGTAGTAACTACAAGACCCGTCATGTATCCAGCCTTCTTGGCCGCTTCCAGCACCGTTCCGCATGGCTCGTGGTCAGGTGTGACGGAGATGGCACCATTATAGCTCTTCTGTGCGCATGAGAATGCCGTCGCACCCGCCGCTGAATCGGTAATGAGAGACGAGGCAGAACGGGTCCGCGACTGTCCGATGAGGTGCTGATCGATAACGAGCTGCTCGTTGAAGGGCGCGCCGTTCTTGTATTGCATGAAAGATCGCGTAAGTGATAGCGAGGTAGGACCCATGCCATCCGAAACCATGAAGATGAGGTTCTTCTTTCCGCTCGCATGTGAAGTCTTGGAGTCGGAACCTGCCCGTTGGAAGATGACGGCGAGTACGATAACGGCTGCCGTTGCGATGACAGCCCAGACAAACAGACCTATCTCCCTCCAGAACTTCCAAGATCGCGGTCCTTCTTTCTCCATGCGCGCTGTTCGCTGGCCTGTGAGCAGGGCATCTTCCTCTGCTATATCGCGATCACCGCTGATGTCCGAAGACGCGCGGTTCGAGAGGAGAGGCCGGGTGCCAGACATGATCTTGGATGCAAAAAAGGGAAGCTAGTTGTGATGAAAGGCAAATGCTGTAGGCAGACTAAAAGAGTGTCGGCCTGTCTCAAAGGAACATGGCGTTGATGGTGGAGTCAAACAGTCGATCCGTCACTCACTCGGGAGGCCACGAGATGTCGCGCCGGCTGATCGTCATGAGGATGGAACGCTTGCGGGAACGTGCGTCTTGGCGCTAGGAATAGTATCATCTGAACTTGGGGCATGACTGCTCATCCAGACGCTACCAAAAGCTACTCAGTATTGCCTCACGTGGAAGTTTGCTAATGTGATGCACGTCGAGGAAATCGGTGTTTTTGGTACAGAAGGAGACTGCTCCGCCTTTCACATGTCAAGCAAAGGTAGCCTCAATCACTCTTCCATCCCCACCCCACAATCCCGTCGAACTCCATGCCCACTTCACCGTCCTCTCCAATCTCGTTTTCTACGATCCCCTTCATAGCATCACTCAACTCCTCCAAGACGCCATTCCGTTCTTTTTCCCACCATATCTTTGCCATAAATTGTAGCGGAAACTGCATGCTCTCTATGAAAACCTTGGGCGTCCCAGCACGTATGCTCTCCTTCTGCGTCGATGTGTCTGCTCGCTGTAGCCCCGCGGCTTCAAGACGTTGTGCCACGTAGGATTCGGCAGCCCAGGGTCCACAGAGTTTCTCCTGGATCTCCTTATGCGAAGGGGGATAAGGCTGCGGTGCGTCCATGAGCGCGATGCTGCGAGTGAGGAGACTATGCCAGGGCATGGCAGACCATGTCGCTACTGCTATGAAGCCACCTGGGCGTAGGAGAGAACACAAGTGCGAGAGTGTCTGTTCTGGGAGCATGTTCAGAGCGAATGTGACAAATATGTGCGTGAACGAGGACTTGGGTAGAGCCTGTGTGAAGTCGCCCTTCAAGAAAGCGTTAGTATCGGAGACAATGCTGAGGCTTGTACAAGGAAAAGGAACCTCACGTTTCCATCTACAATTTTCGTCTCCAGCCCCATCCATCCTTGCTTCTCTCCTCGCGCTCTTAAATATTCCAACATCGGCGGGCTAATATCAGCGCCTAGTACTTTCAGCTGTCCCCATCTTTCCTTCGGTATAGTGTCATAGAGTTTCTGTACTACGACTCCAGTCCCGCACGCAAAGTCGAGAACATTGGCTTCAGCTCCTGAGTCCAGATGCGCAACTATCCCGGATTGTCCGACGATGGTTTTGGCATAAGGGCCAGTAGCTTTCTCGGCGTTCTTGTACCTTTGCGCGGCTTCGGCTTCAAGAAAATTGGCCATGTTGGTGTTTGATGGTAAGAAGTTAAGTACCCGGCAGTGAAAGGTCGCAAGTGGGTGTTTGGACTCGAGGCTTGATAGAAGTTGGTGTGCTATGTGTCGAGTACTGAATATGGGCGCATGCATCTTATGTAAGTGCGATTCTTCAACATGGCTTCGTGCGGTCGCAGTCTGAGCCTTGCTGTTTAAGTCCAATGTCAGCCAGCAGACGGACGAATATCTTCGATTGTCTCACTCTTGGTTCTCGACAAATGTCTCCGAGTGGAGATCTTCATCATCTCGGAGACTTTGTGCGACAGACTATCGGAGAGTTAGAGCATCAGGCACGGATCTCTGAGTAAATGTCTGCGAAAGCGACCAGGCATCTGACACAAGTCATCTTGAGTATCTAGGGGTCAAATAGGAAGGTGTTGGTAAAAATTGTATTTGAATAGATGGGTATACCTTTCCGATCCTCTATGCAAATGCTGACAACCAGAACTCCGCGCTATGCATTTTGAGTGAAGCTCGTAAGCTTACTGTGTAGACGGCTTGACTTTGCCCGCTAAACCCTCATGGTCTCATGTGTTATGAAATGACTATATCTCCTCAGATGTGGTCTCTAGCCATTGGCCAAAATAGACGCAGGTTCTTGCTGATATCTCACCCTCATCCCCGCAAAGATCAAAGACGGGGCAGTTACCACATGGTGCATCAACAAAGCCGTTGTAGACCTTGGTGTCGGTGGCTCGTAACACCGTTCGATAATTGGTACCAGATATCTTTTCGAGCCGGTCGTCAAGTACCATCATCTCCAACAATTGTTCCATGTCGTCCTCACGTACAGTCTTGCCGCGCAAAATCTCCTTTGAGTTAAGCCATTGGGCTACAGAGGCAGCTGTTGGGTACTGCGGGTTGTGTCGATGAACGAGCTTGGATGTGTTTGGGTCTCTAGATGGGTTGTAGGGCTTCACGGCGGGCGCTTCCTCTATATCCCGTACGGCTCCCAATACTTCGGCCTTCTTTTGGGCGATAGCGGCCGTCCTGTCGCCTGTTATCTCATAGTCGTTCCAATTTCCTGGTACCCTGATGCAAGTCTCGTTCTCCACATGCTGGGCGACGATGCCCGATATTGTGTCGATCAGCGCAGTGTCAAAGTCACCCTCGGATTGCCATGGTCCACCTGCAATATCTTCGGATGGCTTCAGATGCTTCAACAGGTACATTTTCCTATTCGGAAACTTGACACTCATGACTGACTGCACCAAGTCCTTCGATTCCAAGCTTTTGAGGCATTTTGTAAGGGTCTGTTGAGTGACGTTGGTTTTGGCTCGGAGGGCTTTGGACCAGATGCCGTCAGCCTGCACTTGATCGATGTGGTGGTAGAGGAGACGCTCGTCGGGTGTAAGTCGTCGCAGTCTGGAGGACACATGCTCGTCAGAAGAATTCAGGTACGCCAAATTGTACAGAATTACACATACTTGTCGGCGTCTTCTCTTGACCGTAGCTTCCAGCATGGGTCGCCCTCAAATGTCATAAGCTTCAAGAGATGTCGGTCACATAGCTCTTGCAACAGCACTGTTAGCTGCGCCATAGTCTCAGCCACCTGCATGTTTGAGAGATCGCGCTGGAAGAAAATCTGGCCCGCAGGCCGCTGCGCGCATTTCTCGTAGAGGGCATCAGCGGGGCTGACAACTTCGTTGACGGCCGTCTCCACGGGTTCCTCTTTCGGTGCTGGCGATGGTGCGGCTACTGAAGCCATGGTGTGCGTTGTTCGGCGAACGCGGTGTCGGCGGTGGATTATACGAGTATCGCAAGTTGTCGCGAGTGAGCTCAAGTCGCGACATGTGAATCACCAAAAGTTTTGAGTGGGGACCCCGACCAAGAACGCCCAATTACGCTTCTGTGGCGCAACTATCCGCTAATGGTACCCCATCACCAAAGCTTACTCCCAGTCACGACTCCTACGTGTTTGTGGCTCCAGGATCATCGCAGCCCTACGCCTCTCATGGCTTGTCCTCCGTCTGGCAGCATTATCCCCCTGTTGCCAATGAGATGTTAATGCGGGGAACGTCAGCCCTTAACCTCTTCGCGTCGCGTCGCGCCGCTTACCCCAGACTAAACATCATATATCAATGAATTGTTCTGTATCGATATGCATACGAGGGCGCCGTCAATGTCACAGTCACGCGGGTCCCAGCATCCACTCTGCCGGCATCCACCATCGCATTGATCAACGTGTCGCGACGTTCAAATAGCGCGAGCGGATTGGAAATGGGCTCTTGAGATTCTGGGTAGCTGAAACAGAACATCAGAGTCCAGACCCCGCATCTATGTCCGGCTAGATCAGCAGTATAACCCGGTTAACGACTGTCGAAGGCGGACCGGACACATTAGGTACTGCACGCGGGAAACGTTAGACGATCATGCATTCGAGCACTCGGGCATCATGCAACCACGGACTTTGGAATAGATTGCTGTGCAGTCAGCATTGCATACTCACTACGTACAGAAGCCTGCTGGACAGTTACAAGGCGTACATGCTGTAAGACCTTATAGCTAGTAGTCTACAGGGTTCCTTTTCACAAGAGCAGGCCCACGGGACTCCCGGATACCGTCACCCGGACGCAGTCCAGGAGTATCTTCTCGATACACTCAGCCTCTACCGACTACCCCCGAGGCGAGAGCCTCCGCTTGTTGACGCCAAAGCACGTGGATCTAGCTTGCGCGTAACATTCTGGACCCATGTAGACGCTCGAAATACCAATTGACATACGGCGACTTGTCCCTATGTAGACAAGTAGATCTTTACTCCGGATTCCGAAAAGATGGCGCATACACGACAGTGTCTCCCGGCTATCTGGAACCTGCCTCACCAGGCATTTGCTCCACATGGCTCTGGGGAACCCCGGATTTACAACCCATGATTCGTGAGCAACTCCTGTATGATAAAGACAACCCCAGAGCCCAGTGTGGTTGCACAACTTAGTCTCTGCGTTTCCTGCGCACCCTTCCACACAGTCTCGTAACATCAAGCCAGAGTCACTGCAAGATGGCTGAAGAGAAGCAGTATCGTGAAGAGGTCACGACTGATCCCAGCCTCACCCATCAACACACCGCGAGCAGTCATGGCCTTCACCATGACCATGTCGCACAAGAAGCCCTTGGTGGCCACACCGCTGATCTGGGCAAGTCATACTTCACATCCATCAACTTTATTGGCACTGTAGTGGTAAGTTCACCATAACCATCGTCAAGAAATATGCTTACGGTCGATTAAGGCAACGTGTCTAGCGCAGATTTCTGGGTATGTGCTTTCTCCGAGCGGAATTTACGAAGAATTCGCTAAAAAATGTCCAGTTACCTAGGGTGGGTTCTTCCTGCGAATACACTGAGTCTCATCAACGCCGCGATTGGACCATCACCGGATATCATCTGGGTCGGCATCTCATGGACGGCTGGATTCGCCATTGGTTTCACCCTCGTCGGTCGTCTGTCGGACATCTTCGGTCGTAGATGGTTCTTCATCTGCTCTTCAATACTTGGTCTGGTCGGAAATATCATCGGGGCAAGCGCACAAAGCATCAACATGCTGATCGTATGTTCTGGCAACCATGGGATCTGTAGACGATGCTGACCCCCTCTTAGGCAACAAACTCCATTAATGGACTCGCCGCAGCCGGCCAACTTTCGTTCCATATTATCCTTGGCGAGCTTGTTCCCAACTCCCTGAGAGGTCCTGTGAACGCTTTCGTGCTTTCGACTTCCGTCCCTTTCGCTGTATTCGGACCGCCAGTAGCAAGATCCCTCTACCAGACCACTGAGCTACAATGGAGATGGTGCTACATCCTCGGATGCATTGTCAACGTACTGGCAATTGTTTTATACTTCTTCTTCTACTTCCCACCAACATATGTAAGGATCTCCAAGTTGAACATTCGTACAGTGGATTAACCATACTAGGAAATGCTCCACGTAGGCGGCAAATCGAAATTGAAACAACTCAAAACGCTTGACTGGATGGGTATCGTCTTGTTCTCAACTGGTCTTGTCGTGTTCCTGATTGGTATGAACTGGGGCGGGTCAGCATACCCATGGAAGAGCGGACACGTACTGGGAGCACTCTTTGCTGGATTTGGTACTCTAGTCGCATTCTGCTTTTGGGAAGCTTTTGCCCCGGGACTAGAGTACCCCCTCATTCCTTTACGACTCTTCAGAAACATTCAGTATGATGCCAATGTGGCTTGTGCTAGTCTGGCAGCCATCGTATACTACGCAAACTCCATCATCTGGCCAACAATGGTCTCTTCGCTCTTCACCACAGATATCACCAAGATCGGATGGCTTTCGGTAGGTCTACAAATGTCTCCACCGAATGATTATCGCTGCTAACGACATCCAGTGCGCTGTTGGTGGTGGCCTTCTCCTTGGACAAATCCTTGGAGGCGCTGGTGTGCGCTACCTTCCGCGAATGAAGATCCAGATGACTGTCGCGGCAGTCATCACTACAGCTTTTGTCGCCGCTGTCGCTGCTTCGAATGAAACGACAGAAGACCGCACGACCGCATTACTTTTGATCGGTACCATTGCTGCAGGCTACATCGAGAACCTCACACTTTCCAGTACAGCCTACCTCTGGGATCCTGCCGATATTGGTCTGGTGACTGGTGTCATGGGTGCTATCCGAACTGGTCTTTCTGCGATAGCTACGAGCATGTACTCATCGATACTCGCCACTGAATCAGCCAAGTATATTCCCCAAAAGGTCATGCCGGCTGCGCTAGCTGCGGGTCTTCCTGAAACGTCGCTCCCCGCGCTGTTAACTAGTATCACATTGGGTGACTTCAGCGCTGTACCTGGTATCTCACCTGCCATCATCGCAGCAACAGGTCAAGCTGTGAAGAGCGCATACGCACTGTCGTTCCGAACTGTATACCTCTGTACACTTCCTTTTGGCGTACTTCTTATTGTTGCAGCTTTGCTCTCGCCTAATGTGGAACAGTATCTTACAGATGAGGTTGCGAGGAAGATGCATGCCAGGGGCGATGAAAAGGGTGACCAGGCTGTGATGAAGGAGGTTGCCGATGCATAGAGTATGGATCGTTTAATTAAGACTTCGATAGAATCAGGTTTGGTGTATCCTGGTTGAATAGCACGATGCTCTTCTCCATAAGAACCAACTATGAGTCAATCTTTGCTGAGGTGTATAAGAGCAAATGGGACAACCAGCTCATCTACTAATGCTGTGATCGCCGAAGCCGCAGCCTATCCTAGGAGCACGACATCTACACGACGTGTCTGTACAACCTGGAAGATTTGAAGCCCTCAGCCCACCGACCGGAAATGGTTAGCGTGGCCAACGAAGCAGGCGCTCTAGATGCCATCAGCTTCGATACTTGAGCGATAGGTACCTCTGATACGATGGCAAATCAATTGCAAAGAGTGAAAGCTCGAATGAAGATGTCCATGCCAGACCCGGAAAGTGTGCAGCAATATAACAAACATTTCATCCCTCTCGAATCAAATCCAGACGTCTTCACCGAGCTTGCGCATAAGCTCGGGTTATCCACTTCATTGGGCTTCCAAGATGTGCTCTCTATAGACGACCCGGAGCTACTTGGCTTTCTTTCACGTCCAGCCCTCGCATTGATCCTGGTGTTTCCGACAACAGAGGCGTATGAGAAGAGAGCTCAGGATGAGGATGCCAAGCTCGAGGAGTTCCACAGCTCTGGCGATGTTGTATTCTTCAAACAGACCATCAACAATGCATGCGGTCTTTATGCAATCTTGCATGCTATCTCTAATGGCGAAGCGCGGCAGAAGATCGGTATGATAGCTGTGAGCTTCTATTCTCTACTGGGGGCGCTACTGAAATTGGTTAGATGAGGTCTCGATCATCGCTCAATTACTGGATGCCAGTCTAGCGCCTGATATAGACGGATTGGCTCAGGCATTAGAGGAAAACAAGGCGTTGGAAGTTGCATATGCTGGCGTAGCAAGCAAAGGCGATACTGAGGCGCCTCTGAATGCGGAAGACGAGGTGGAATACCACTATATCGCTTTTGCCAAATCGTCCAAAGACAACCATCTATACCAACTCGACGGCGACCGCAAGTGTCCTCTAGATCTTGGGGCGCTCACAGCAGACGAAGACGTTCTCTCTGAGAGATGTCTCAGCGTCATTCGTGGTATGATGGCAAGAGAGGACGAGAATCTCAACTTCAGTTTGATGGCTCTGACAGAGCATGCAGAGATGTAGGTAGCCAAGGAGTCACACTCTTCGTAGGATTTCTCCGAAGAGCGAGGAAGTGTGAACTATGAAGGACCTTTTTATTTGTTCTTGCAACGAACTTCGTCAGACGAAGAATGCACGTACTTCAGTACAGCCGCATACACCACAGCTAAGCAAGACGCAAAGATGTGGGATGCTCCCCGAAGGGACTTGTAAAAGTGTCGGAGACTCAAGTGGCTGGTGTGCGGGTTGCGTCCTATGATGATGATGTATACGAAGCTAGCATGACATGCATTTGTACCATTTCTCCTCGCATTAGAGGTTGTTGTTGATGTCTGTCATTGTGTCGTCGCGAGAGTGAAACGGCGTTCTGGCGAAGAAAAGTTAACATGTTCGCCGCATGGACCACCGCGCTAGGCTAGCTCTCCAGGAATCGCGAGCCCTGAGCTTCACTTCCACCGACCGCGATCGCGACTACATCCTTCCCCACTTCACCCATTCCGATCGCGAAGATGACGAAGAAACGCAGAAGATATCCAGATTTAAACCAGAAGCTCGAGGTACGAGATGCGCATAAAAGTTGTCCATGGAATGCAAGCTGACCTCTATAGCGACCATGGTGTTACTACTGCGAGCGCGACTTCGACGACCTTAAGATTCTCATCTCTCACCAAAAGGCCAAACATTTCAAATGCGACCGCTGTGGAAGACGGTTAAATACCGCTGGAGGTACGCACCAGCCGACTCAAGACCTCATGTGTTAGAGCGATACTAACACCTGCTCAGGTCTCTCCGTGCATATGAACCAAGTCCACAAGGAGACGCTCACCCACGTTGAGAATGCCAACCCCGGACGTCAAGGTCTCGATCTCGAGATCTTCGGTATGGAAGGTGTACCCGCCGAGATAATAGATCAACACAACCAGCAAGTCACACAGGCACATTTCGCTGAAGAGCAAGAACGCGCGCGAATCACCGGAAATCCTATGCGCGGAGCGTACGTCAATGGACAAGCAGCACCAAACAAGAGGCCGAAGATCAATGAGAGTCTAGAGGAGATTGAGGAGAGGGCAGCCAAGTTCCGAGAGGATCGAAAGAACGGCGTTCTACCTGCGCCGGTGGAGCCTGTGCAGAACGCTGTACGTACTCGAGCATCTGAGCATGAAGAAAACACCTGGCTAACACGTATACAGACGCCCCCAGTTGCCCAAAGCCCGTACGGCGTGCCACCTCCTGGCGCGCCTGTGGCTTTTCCACCTAGTGCGTCCGCATACCCCCCACAAGGCGTCCCGCAACCCTTCTCACCTGCCAACGGCGCTATACCCGCACGCCCTGGCAGCATACCAGGCCAGCCTGGCGCGTTACCTCCTCGGCCTGGTTTCGGTGCTCCACCGCCTGGTGCCTATCCACCAGGTCAGAACGGCGACATCTCGAACTCTGTCGACGATCTGATCAACGAGGTGACAAAAGAGGCTGCGCCCAAGGAAGAGAAGAAGAGCAAAAAGGACAAGAACCAGCGACTCATTTTCTTTGCGGAGACGACAAGTCCGGAGGAGAAGATGGCTGCTTTGCCGAGGTTTGCGGAGTTTATGCGGACATGATGAAATCAGGGGTAGTTTGCTGTGTAAACCGAGAGAAAGCCAAGTCGCGATTACGCATGTTGGCAGTTATGCTACAGAGCCTTGAGGCTGGCGCAAGGGCAAGAGCCCACGGATGCCGCACGACGCAGGACGGACCGCATCAACCAAGGCGCTGGGGCGCGGAAAAGAGTGGCTTTGCATATAGTATCTATCTAAGAGCGATCAACTCACGAAACGAGCAAGACCAAGCCCACGTCTGGATTCACCAAGGATGAGTATGATGATAGCTCATTGACATTGAATAGCACAGCACAATGAAGCAAACAAGCTTGGAAAATAAGGGTATCTTGCAAATCAACGCATCAAGTAATTATACAGCAATCCAGTCGTGCAGCCTAACCAAACCCTACCACGTTTTATTGGTCGTAAAAGCCCAATTCCTCGCCCTCTTCTTCCTCGTCCTCGTCGTACTCTTCGCTCTGCTCATCATCACTGCTTCGATCCTCACTAGCACGCGCCCATTCGGAGCTCTCGGTGAATAGTGACTCGCCAAGATCCAGACCGCGTGTCTGGGTAGTTCCCATAATACCTTGTTCCTCCTGCGTCACATCCGTGACGTCTTCTTGCTCAGGCATAGGATCGACCTGCCTCAGCAAAGCTTTCTCATCCAACTCATTGTCTTCATCGTTGTGACTAGTAGCGAAGCCAACAGACTTTGCTGTACTCGGTCGTTCGTGCACTTCAGTATGCTCGACCCGACGGGGCTGTTCCTCGATGATGTCGCCGTTCCAAGGTCGGCATTCCTTGACTGTCTCGCCGCAGCGCAGACATGTCCAGCCTTCGCCCTCCTCGTTTGCGATTCGTTGCGCAATGCATGCGAAACAATATATACAGCCGCATGGGATGGCTTCATATGGGTTGGTGATGTCTGTTGTTGCAGAGCCGACGACACCGCCGCCACCGGCTGAGGAGGTGAGGATATCAGCTTCGCTGGCGGTTGTTGGGTTCTGGTCGCGGTAGCAGATTGCGCAGGTCCGTTCGGGCAGGAAAGCTAGTTCACCGGCGGCCTTGGCCTCTTCATCTCCTTCATCGTTGTTGGGCTTTGAGCGGCCGAGAAGGGAGAGTACGGTTGTTCGCAGTTTCTTGAATGTGCGGCTCAGAATGCGACGCCAGCGGGAGATGCCGACGAGTGGGAGGAGGAAGAGGAGGAACTCGGTGAAGGCGTGCCATACAAGTTGGCGGTTGAGGTACTCGAAACTGACTTCGCGTGATGTCATGTGCGATGTCGGTGTCAGACGTAGCCGGAGGAGGCGATCTGTAATGGTCCTATACCGACCGTCGACGAGGAAGACTAGGAAACTGGCAAGACCGAGGACGTCATGCGCGTTTCCTGCCAGTTCACTCAAGCGCGTCAGAAGCTTCAACCTTGGGCTCTCAGGTCGAGTATAGTCCTCAGACGCAGATAAAAGGTACTCTTCCCATTTTGTCCACGCATACCTTCCTCCCACTGTGACAGCCCCATAGGCGACCTTTTGCCACGGTTTAGGCGGCGGACGGTTGGGCGCACTACTCCGCGCATCGGTATACCTCAGCCCCTGTAGATGCGCGCCATAACTCGCATTCTGATCCCAAATGCTCAACTTCCATAGCACGGCCCTCAATGCCAACAATATTTCAGCCGAGTAGTTGTCTGTAACATGGCTTCCAAAATATTTCAAGCCTTCGCCAACCTGATCCTTCATCAGCGTCAGGAGTTCTTCGTCGAGCAGTTCCGCATCGACCTGGCCGACGCGGAACTCTGGTCGTGTCCCCGATCGGCCTTTTATCGCGTCCCAGATGCTGAATCCCGTGGTGGACAGGCTGCTGAAGGGGAAGGGCAGGCGCGACAGGGCGCGTTGTGCGGTTGATGGCGGAGGCTCATGGTGATTCCGCTGTTGAAGGGCGCGTTGAGCGCGGCGGGCTGCTATGCGTTGCTGGGCGGCGGCGAAGTCTGCGGAGGGCATTTGGGAGCATTGGGAGGCGGCGACGTGCAGGCAGAGCGGCTGAGGTTATGGACGCCGTTGGGCAATGGTGCGAGATGTGGATGCAGCGTGATGATAGCGTGATGGAGAGACCGACCAGACTGGAGTTGCGACGGACCGAGGTTGGCTGGGGAAGTAGCCGACGCACGCGACGCCTTCTCCAGACAAGCCAGGACCATGTCTGGGGACGCCATGACAATGCGTCTCTGACAGGGCAACCCCAAGTGTACGTCGGATAGACGGTATGCAATTAACAGTCCCAAGTTTGGCTTGTGTCAACTGCCAAAACGCTGTCACCCAACGTCGCCGTCTCGTGTCTCGGGGGTCCGAGCTGTGACGTGGGGAGCTTCTCGAATTTGTTTCCTCTAAACACCAAGATAGTTTTCCCAAACAAGACTTGCCGCATACTGGTCACAGCCTGGGTGAGCAGGCTTCATATTCTTTACTCTCACCGTGAATCGCATCCACCCAGCTACTCACCGCTTCCTTTCCGTGTCTACAACTTCACCTACTTGCGACTGCCCCACTACCGCAGCACTTGAAGTGTCCACACCACAGGATGAGTAACGAATTCAGCGTTGAGGTGCCGGGAGAGGCGAATCCTCTGACTGAGAATATCCTGTTCCATGTCTTGCGCTCGGCGTCTTCGGCGGACCAGACTCAGGTTCAGTCAGGCACCAAGCAACTCCAGCAGTGGGAGAAGGCCCAGGGTTACTACCCTCTACTGCAGACGGTGTTTCTGGACCAGTCCCTTCCACTAGAAGTCCGCTATCTCGCCATCATCCAGCTTAAGAATGGCATCGACAAGTACTGGCGCAAGACAGCCACCAAGTACGTCTCCATACCATGTCGCATCAACACAGAGTCTGACATGGGCGTAGCGCAGTGAGCAAAGAAGACAAAGCTACCATACGAGCCCGCCTACTCGAGAGTGCCGTCAACGAAGCCGACCACCGCCTAGCACTACAGAATGCTTTGGTAGTTGCCAAGATTGTCCGCTTCGAGTTCCCCAATGACTGGTGAGTCTGGACAAGAGTATGACATTCCCTACTCTAACATCACCCAGGCCTGAGCTGTTCCAACAACTACTCCATGTCCTCCGCGCCTCGACCGATCCGAACGCTTACCGACTACAACTTCCTCGCGCTCTTCTCGTCTTACTATACATTGTCAAGGAATTATCAACTGGGCGACTTCTAAGGACACGGCAAAGCTTACAGACGGTTGCACCAGAAATTTTCAATGTATTAGGCACCATCTATGTGAACAAGGTACAAACATGGCAAGCCTTCTTTCGCGACGGCGGAGACGACGAAGGCGGCGCACTTGAGAGCATCGACAACAGCTTACTCGCCATCAAAACGATGCGGCGGTTGATCATTGCAGGCTACGAGTTCCCGGGCAGAGATAAGGACGTCCAAGGATTCTGGACACTAACACGTACTCATTTCGGAGAGTTTCTGCAATATGTGATACCAGAAAACTCGCCACTTGCAGTTGAAGTCCAGAAGAAGATAGGCAAGCACTTGATGCAGCTTTCCAAGTTACATCTCAACATGGCTACTACTCATCCAGCAGATTTTGTCCTTTTACCCAACTCGATAGATCTCGCGCGCGACTACTGGAGTCTCATCTCAAGATTGGGCGAGCAGTGGGGCTCAAAGTCTATTGAGGGTGCCAAAGTCGGCACCGATGGCGATGAAGAAGACGAATCGCCCATCATCGAGCGTCTGGGTCTCAAGGGCTTGCTACTAATCCGTGCTTGTGTGAAGATGGTCTTCTACCCTACTCAGACCTTCCGCTTCAAGCATCAGCAGGAAAAGGACGAGAAGAACCAAGCCACACATATGATCAAAACAGACCTTCTCACTGATGATCTTGTACGTGAAATGATCTCAGCCCTGGTGCAGCGCTTCTTCGTTTTCCGGCCTAGCGATCTCCGTATGTGGGAGGAAGAACCCGATGAGTGGGAGAAGATGGAGGAGGGAGCAGAGGACTGGGAGTTTGCAATCCGACCCTGTGCCGAGAAGCTCTTCCTAGACCTTGCAAAGAATTTCAAAAATTTGATCATTCAACCGCTACTCCAAGTCTTCTATACAGTCGCAAGTGAGTACTCGCTTTCAAAACAAATGGCTCGCTCTGACATTGCACAGCTCCGGAGAACGAGGATATCCTGTTCAAGGACTCCGTATATACCGCTATTGGGCTTGCAGCCGATATACTACACGACCAGGTGGACTTTGATTCGTTCTTGGAGAAAACGCTAGTCGTCGAGGTTGCGAAACAGAAGCCAGGCTACAATATTATCCGCCGTCGCATCGCCATCATCATCTCTCAGTGGATAACTATCAAGATGGCCAAGGAGAAGAAGCCTATCGTATACCAAATCTTCCAGCATCTGCTTGACAAGAATGATCCGATGAACGACCAAGTGGTTCGGATCACCGCAGGCAGGAAGTTCCATGCTGTCGCTGACGAATGGGAATTCCAAGCTGACGCGTTCTTGCCTTACTCACAACTTATGTTAGATAGATTGATGGCGCTGGTCCAAGAAGTTGAGCTTCCAGAGACGAAGATGGCACTTCTCAACACGATCAGTCTTGTCGTATATAGACTGGAGCACCACGTAAGTCAAAGCATGGAGACGAAGTCAAAGCCTGGAGACGTGAAGTACTTGAACTAATATGGCTTAGATCACACCGTATGCTAATAGCATCATCGCTCTCCTTCCACCCTTGTGGGAGCAGTCTGGCGAGGAGCATCTGATGAAGCAAGCCATCCTTACCCTTCTTGCTCGCCTAACAAATGCAATGAAAGCTGAGTCACGCTCTTTCCATGTTTCCTTCTTGCCCATAATCCAGAGCGCTATTGAGCCTGGTTCGGAGACTCAGGTCTACCTCCTCGAAGATGCGCTTGACCTATGGGCCTCTATCATCGCACAAACACCGTCAGCCCCGGAACCCACACCACCTGAGCTGCTCAACCTCCTTCCCTACCTGTTGCCTCTCTTCTCCATGGACAATGAAACACTACGAAAAGCCATTGAGATTACAGAAGCCTATCTCCTCCTCGCGCCCGCTGCCGTCCTCGCAGACTCTTTCCGTCCCGCGATTCTTCAGGCCCTCGCGGAGCTACTGGGCAGCTTGAAACCTGAAGCGAACGGTATCATGACACACCTCGTAACCTGCATCATTAGAGGCGCGGACGGCGTAGGTGGCGAGAACGCTGTCAAGGTTCTGACGAGCGATCTGATATCCTCTGGCTTTCTAGCCAAAGTTATGGAGGGCCTTCACGGCGCATGGACACACCACCAATCCCACGGTCCCTACCGTGAGCTTCCTTCTCGTGCGGTCGATGGGGTAGTGGAGACGGATTACTTTACGGTATTAGCTCGTATTGGAGTTGCTTCACCTTCTGTTCTCCTGGAAGCACTCTCCTCACTATCGAGCGAGGGCTTAGAAAAGACTCTGGACTGGTTGCTAGAAGAATGGTTCAGCCACATTGAGAACATTGGCGACGCACCAAACAAAAAGCTTATGTGTCTTGTTCTCACACGCTTCCTAGAAGGAGGACAGCCTTGGATGATGGGCAGGTTGCAGTCGTTGATAGGGATTTGGACGGATGTGCTAGGAGAGTTGCTGGATGGCATGGTCGATCGAAGTCAAGAGTACGTGTTTCCTTGTGTTAATTTCTGCCAACTTTGCAGACACTGATTCTTCATTCCAGCTCTCTGTTCTGGCCTCCAGAACCTTATCACCCTACAGAACCCGAAGCACCGGAGGATATACGCAAGCGCGAACTCATTTATACTGACCCCGTCCATCAGATTAACCTTGTTGCATTTGTCAGAGAGCATCTTCAGCAAGCTATACAGCAAGTAGGCGGAGAACAAGCCTTCCAGGAAGAATGGCTCAGCCGTGTGGATAAGGAGATTCTCAAAGGTTTCGGAGAGTTGGGCATTATGTAAGAAGGGGCTAGGAAAAATGAGTAGCATTTGGAAGAGGAATCATAAAGACTAAGCAAAGGAGCAGTGAAGGCGGAATATTAGTAGCGGTCCACGCGTTTCTATATCCAATACTAGCCTCGTCACCCTTCGAGACCGCTCTTTGCCTTGTATATCTCATGCTAATTCACCACTTCAGTGGCCCAGGTCTTTCCATCTATCTTCTTATCCCGCACGCTTAGAGATCCCAAAGCCATCTTTCGTGTGTCCTCCCCAGCAGAATACAGCACGCCTCCCCGCCCGTCTGACAACACAGTTGTATGTGCATGTACAACTCCAAGACACTGAGTAGCTAGCGCATTGCTGGCGGTAAGATGCTACTCTCGCACCATTTTGAATGTATCTTGCCGATACTATTTGGACGGGAAAGGATCGCGTCATTTGTATAAGAGAAGGACTTGGTATATCTGTTTCGACAAGTCAACAGGAATTTTCAAGGCCGCATTACGTCCGGGGGCGTATCATGTGCGTCAGCAATTGATGGTTTAATCGCTAGCCTCACTCACACCGGGAAGGTCTCTGCTCCTTCTGCTCGGCGCAAAAACTCCCACATCGCTCGCACGACTGCAAGACCACTGCCTTGTGTCTCGATTGTGCGGCCGCGGCCACGGTCGTTGAGATCGCCCCCACCCCTCCTTGTGATTTCATTCTCAACGTCTTCGTTGAAGATGGACCACTCAGAGGGCTCCTGGAACTCGCCTTCCATGTACATGCCATCATCGGGCTGCGTATGCATGTTACGGTAGTCTGTTGCGTTCTGTGGGAGGGAAGGGCGTCCGTCAGAAGCAGATGCTTTGCGATGGTGCGAGGAGGATGGAAACGGTGTCTGTGGAGCGCCCCACCATGATCCGAATCTTCCTGCTTCATCACGCGTCTGAAGGGCGGCTTGGGCGTTGTGTGTCACCCAGGTAGTGTATTCTCTACAGCTGTTCGCGTGTAACATGGCCGTCTCTCGAGTCGCTGCGTGTGTTTTCCCTGGTCTAGTCGGTCGGGATGGAAGAGGATTGCAGAAGGAAGTTAGATGGTGGAAAAAGATGCCCTTGAATGTTTGACCATCTTGACTACAGCGTCCAGAGGGGTCACACGATTCTGTTAGGACACCGTTGTAGCCCAGACCTGCCCAATCAGTTGGCAATGCCTCTTCCTTGTTTTCCGAAACCTTGCTCTGACGCTGTTGCGAGTTCGTGCTAGACGAGGATGGGGAACGGGATCCAGATCTTGTCCAGCCCGTGGCGCGTATGACGTTCCTGACGAGCTCATGCCCATCTTCCAAATACGAGATGTTGCCGGAAGCTTCCCATAACCCGCGCAGCCCAGACAAGAGCACACCCTGGTTGTAGGTGTAGACCATTTCGTTTCGCTCGTCGCACGTCGTCTTGCTATGATTTGTGCGGTAGCCTCCAATGTGAAAGCCATCAACATAGAGCCCCTGGTCGTTTGTCATCCCGACGTTCTTCAGCCACTCGTACGCATTGATTGCGTTCGCAAGGTACACGGGATCATACCGCCCGCGGTGCGCATCGTCGCAGTCGTCGTACAGTTGGGTCTTGGGTAGCTCTGGTTCATCGTGCTGCAAAAGGAACGGCGAACAGTTGTCGTCGCCCGGAAATTGCAAGTACATGTTGATGCTCGCTGAGATGAAGAGCTGGTTCGTAATGGCGTTCTTGTATGGTAGGAGACGAGGATTCCACGTCATGCCGCCCCCGCAAAGTCTCCAATCCCATCCCTTCTCAGCTAGTTCGTAGAACACGCGGGCGCGATGTGCGAAAGCAGGTACGAATTGATTGGCATGCCATTTTTTTCCTCCAATGTTGTCAGACGTGTAGTGTCCAACGGAATGGCTCTCGATGAAAGTGGTCGCTTCTAACCAGCCCAACACTACCCACAGCATGTCGTCGAATGCCTGCATTCTGATGGCAAAGGCATCTTCGCCAAAGTAGTAGGCAGTGGTCTGCGCAAAGTATCTGTTGATCTCGTTCTCCACCATTTGTGCCTCGACGTCCAGTTTCCGGCTCTTATCGAACGTGCCTGGCATCGTATAGGACAGCGAACGCGAGAGCGATGATAGGGTGGCCGAGACATAGGTAGACATGACGGCTGCTGTCCAGTCGATCGCTGTTGTGTACTTGCCGAGCCACACAGAGAAGTACTGGTCCTGCATTGTAGACAGGGCGGAGTGGAGATCCTGGGGGACATTGGCTTCGGAGACCGTGTAGCTGGCTGTGCTGGGAGATGTAGATGAGCTGGCGACATTCTGATTCTCGGGCTCGTAGACCGGTTGTTCTGCTTCTGCGACATATTAGTGAGAGCTATTGAGTTGGTATCTCTTAGCCTCACCTTGTGAAGCTGGCGATCCCGTATTACTAGCGATGGAGCTGGTTGCAAACGCCGACGTAAGCAAGGAAACAGAGACGCATAGTCGCCAGAGCGACGCGACGCGTGGTATCCTCATTGCGAAGGCCAGGTAGCTGTACTCGCCGACACCGTGATTGCGCTGACCGAGGGCTGAACGCTATGCGACGCGTGAGCAATCCACCGAGCCGCTCTGGGAGCAAGCTACGTTTAGAATTGCTATAGCATATACACCGAGATCAATACAGAAGACCAGTGAAGGGTTCTTATCGGCTACTGTGGAGAGCATGGCGGAGGAGGCATGTGCCGCGAGTGCATGAGGCGTACACGATCCCAGCCAAGTCCACCTTCCCGTGCGGGCTTGGGTGGCTGATCCTGCCCGGGCTTGATATTCGTCGCATCGTATTCTTGGACAGGAGAATTGCCGAAGACGTTACAGAGTCAACGAGGCCATACACACGTCTCGCACGTGTATTGTGATGGAGAGGCGGGATGACGCTAAGCTTGATTGCGACCCTCACGTGGTTCCTACGCACCACCATAACTGTCGCAAAAAACTACACCAACAGCAACCAGAAAAAGGCAAAAAGATGCAAAAAGATGATGATGAGAGTGGGATTCGAACCCACGCAGATTTCTCTACTAGCACCTGAAGCTAGCGCCTTAGACCGCTCGGCCATCTCACCGGATGATGTTGTTGATGAAAGAGATGCATTTACAATATAATATATACTCAAAGTGTCAGGAACAGAAAGAAGGCCGCTCGTAATGTTACTCGAACAGACGTGTCAAGTCGCGACTTCAAGTGGGGTGGCTGAGATAGCAGAGATTTCACAAGCTTACGCTTATCAGACATCTCCACATGCTTTCTCAAATGTGTAAAGATGTACTGTAACTTATTCAAGTAGATCTTGTCAGTTTTGCCCGCCATTTTCCGAATACTACTTCCCCGTTTTCAGTCTTTGAAGAAGATTTAGAGACCAAGCCAGGAGGGCGCCAGGACGTTTCCGCTTTTGAGCACAGTGGTGTTTATCAGGCTCATATCTCAGGTTTGATGTTGTGACCTCCGAAACCTTGAGTACCTGAGTGCTCCTGGTCTAATCTCAGAAACGAATCTCACTCGCGAAGAACATGTTTGAATGTGCAGAGCAGGAGATTTACCAAAGTCTTGGAGGCTGATATCGAAGCCAATGAGAGGTTGCGTTTTCTTTCGTCTGGCGCCACTACAGGCTGGGATTGTGATGCATCTACGCTTAACAATATGCTCGTTTCTGGCCTCGTGCTTTCGCTTCGATTGCAACAACACTCAGTTACTTACGTCATGGCTCAAGGTCACCACACTTACGCTATAGAAGATGCTACAAGACCACAACAACCTTCGTTCTACGAATCCGTTGTCCAACAGTGACAGTGCAGTCGACCACAGGAATTGTCCACTCAAGACATCATGTCATACATGCGGAGCTGCTAGCACCATAGTGAGACAAGGGCAATGCCGTATTCGTCAAGCACAGGCAAGTCTGCAGATGTGTTAGTCCATCATCTTAAGAGCGCAGTAGTTGTGTACTTACAATGGTCAAGTCAAAACCCGACCTACCCAAAGAGGTAAGCCGGTAAGCTGGTATTACAGGACACGTCCTGGGTATGATACAGAAGCAACTGCTAGGCTTCCTGCCCATGTGGTCCTTCCCTCTGCTTCACAACGTAGCTCGAATAATGAGAGCATAGGATGCCCGCTCGTCCAGAAACTACTCATCGTCCATGTCGTCACCGTCGCGTCCAGGACTCTTGCTCCTGGCTCTTCCAGCACCGCGTCCGCTCTGGCGCTTGTCATAGTCGCGAGGGCGGCCCTTGCTGGCTGGCGGAGGGCGCACAAAGGCAAAGTCGACGGTGACCTTCTGCTCAAGGAGCTCCTCGCCGTTGGCGCCCTTGATAGCGGCCTTTGCTTCTTCCAAGGTAGCGTACTCGATGAGGACGTAGCCCTATACAAGGTCAGCTCTGCCACGCGCTTGGACATGTAACATCAGGCGCGTACCTTGACATAACCCGTCCTCCTGTCCAGGTTCATGTGCAGATTCTTAATCGTTCCAAACTCGCCAAACATGTCCTGAAGATCCTCCTCGGTGCACTCCTCGTGCACGTTGGTGACAATGATGATCCAGCCTTCGATGGAGCGCACAGCTGTTGCGCCTGCGTCGGTGCGCGCGTCGCTGGCGTTGGGGTCAGCCGACGAGACTTCGGGCTGCTCGGGCTGGTCAATGTCCATGGTTTCTGCGTCGGCCATGGCTGCGGAATGTAATTGGTCGGTGGGGGTACAGCGGGTATCGTGGTGAGGGACTGGAGTTGTCAAGCTTTCGGCGTCGCCAAATGTTTCCGCAGTCGAGGCAGTTCGCGCTAGTGGGAGAGCGGCGCCTTCCCACAGTACGCGACCCAAACTCGTCCCTCACCCTCCACCGCGCCTGCCCTTTGTTTAGCCGCAAGTCCGACGCTTACGAGCTGTGCCCGCTGCCTGCATACATCATGGCCCACGTCTCCACCCCTCACGGCACAGCCGGGAACACACAGATAAAAGAGCCACCCACCAGCCTTTGTACTCTAGCACTGAGCTAGGTTCAGCTACCACACCCCGCCGACGTCACTCGAATTGCTCCATGACAAACTCTTGACCTGCGTCTTTCATCATGCTCCAGTTTCTCGACAACCTCGTACACTACGCCGACCCGACACTCCCGTCCTTCTCGTCCCTCACGTACCTGTACATCATCATACTAGTCTCCTCGCTCTTGATTTCCTTCCGCTCGCGACAGGAAGAAGAGAACGTAAACTAGCATAATGTCCAAATTCACTAATGTGTGTACTTGTCCCCATCTCATACTCAACAAGACTAACCATGCCAGATCGCCATGATCGGTTGCGGGAGCATGGGCGGTGGAATGGCCCTGCTCTTCGCCGAGGACGGCGTCAATGTTTCGCTCTCGGACCCGTCTGAGCAGGCAATGGATGCAGTCATCAACAAGGCTGAGCAGCAGGGGTACAACGGAAAGATCAAAAAGTACAATGGTAGGTGGAAATGCATCGACCACGGTACAATCGAGGGCTAATGGAGCGACAGACTACGATTCCTTGTGCAAGTCACTCTCCACACCGCGCCTCCTCGTCTTCTCTCTTCCACATGGCGGCGTTGGCGACAAGGTCCTCGAGGGTCTGGAGCCACATCTCGCCCGCGACGACATCATCCTAGACTGCGGTAACGAGCACTTCCAGAACACCGAGCGCCGACAGAAGAAGACAGAGGGCACTGGCATCCGATACATTGGCTGTGGTGTAAGTGGTGGGTACCAGGCTGCGCGAGCGGGACCTTCAATGTGTCCTGGCGGTGACATCTCTGCGCTCAAGGAAGTTCTTCCACTACTAGAAAAGGTCGCAGCCAAAGACAAGAACGAGAAACCTTGTGTGGGCGTCATTGGAAAGGGCGGCGCAGGACATTACGTGAAGATGATGCACAACGGCATCGAGCACGGCATGATGAGCGCCATCTGCGAAGCCTGGGGCATCATGCGAAAGATGGGCATGGACTACGAGGAGATTGGCGACGTTCTATCCGAATGGAACTCAGAAGGCGAGCTGGTATGTCTGCGCTTTATGACCCTGGAAGCTTTCCTTACTAACTATAACAGAGAGGCACCTTCCTTGTCTCCATCGGCGCCGATCTATCTCACAAACGCGACTCAGGCGAAAAGCCCAACCAAAAAGATCCCAAACACCATCCTCTTGTCATCTCACAAGTCCTCGACAAGGTCGTTCAGGACGTCACTGGCGAAGAAGGCACAGGTATCTGGAGCAACACCGAGGCCATTGAACTTCACGTACCAGCCTTCACCCTCAACATCGCGCACGCATTCCGCCTTGCGTCCGCCTTCCGCGGCGACCGTGAGCAAGCCAGCAAGGCTGCCGACGGAGGTTTCCCTCCTAGCCAGCTGGACATTTCCGACAAGAAGGCTTTCCTTGAAGATTTGAGAAAAGCAACATACGCCTCATGTCTCGCCAGCTACATCCAAGGCATGAATGTCATTGCCAAAGCAGATCAAGAGCACAAGTGGGAAATTGACTACTCACAAATCTGGCAAATCTGGCGAGCAGGATGTATCATCCAAGCAGACTACATTTCTGACGAGATCCTCGCGCCGGTCCTCAAATCCAATCCCAAGCCCGAAGACTTGAACCTCAACTTTTCGACTCGCGTTGCCAAGGACGTAAAGAACTGCTTCCCAGCCCTTCGTCACATTGTCGCCAAAGCTGTAGAGACGGATCAAGTAATACCTGCCATAAGCGCTACGCTGGAGTACTTCAAAGTCGCTAGTGGTACCGACCTACCGACATCGTTCTACGAAGCAGAGCTCGATTACTTTGGCAGTCACATGTTCGACAAGAAGGGCGACAAAGATGCAAATGTCAAGAAGCCAATGGAAGGCAAGCATCACTTTGAGTGGAAGCCCGCGACGAGCCAGAAGGAACAGTACGGTAAGAACTACAAGTTTTGAGGTAGTTGAATGCGGCCATCGTCTTTCTTTTTGCGCTTCAGCCTAGGTTAATAGTGATAATAGAGCAAATGTATTTGACATGATTTTAACGAGAAGCAGAAGATGTCATAGCAAGTCTTAGCACAACAAGTGATGCATCCTGAAGATGCAACCTCCGCGTTTTGGGGGTAAGCCTTCTGTCATGAGCTTAAATGACGTTATTTCCGCCACCTGTACGAGCTCCACATGCTCTCCCTCCGCTTCCGTCGGCCGCATGACGTACCAGTCCTCAAAAAACCTCCACCTCCTCACAGCGACTCGGAAGTTGCGGCTTACGAGTCTCGTATTGACACCAAAATAGAGACATTGTCAATCGATCGGCAATTTATACGCCGCCCGAGAGGTCACCGTGGCTGCGCCGGGAGATCTGCACGAGCTTACAGGGGATGGCTGACAGAGTAATCTTCCGATATCCCTGTTACGGTAATTGTCTCCTACTTTTTGTGGAGATAGGGTCACACTGGATGGTATGATGTGATGCGAGATGGCTGTGCGTTTCCAGTGTCGGCCGTAGGTATATAATTCATTCAACACCCGAACAGACCTCATATACACATTCAAGCTTCAACCTAAAACGGCCTCCACATCGTCAACAAACTTCACGCACCGCCTATCTAGGATCCTATAAGCCTATACTACCAACACAATGCGTTTCTCCACCCTCGCAACAGCCCTCACATCTGCAACTCTCGCATCCTCTCGCCTGATCGGCATCGCAGCCCCTTCAACGCTCGCACCCAACAGCACCTTCACTCTCACCCTCCTCTCAGAAGGCTACATCCAATCTGTCGCCGACGTGGCAGTAGCCTGGGGTTTCGACATTGCGCCAGGTTACCCCGGTTCTCTGGGCGCCTTCACCGGTTCCGCGTACCTAGGTCCTGAGAAGAGCAACCAGGGACAGGACAATGTTACAATCACTGCTACCGTGCCTGAGGAACTGGCCAGCGACTCCTACAAGGGCAAGGATATCTTGTTGAACGCCGGAATTTACTCGTTGTATGGTGCTAGTGGAGGCCCAGTGGTTACGGGATTTAATGTTACGGTCAAGATTGGCGAGACCACTGGTGGGGAAATTGTACAGAGTGACGGTCAGGCTTGGATTCAGAACAGCATCCAATAGACCGGTGCAATGCTTGCGTGTTTAGCGATTGAGCGCCCAAAGAGCTGTAGAACTTAAATTTCGTAATGTGTACATTATACAATGTTATTACTCGATATTGGCATCACAAGCATCTAAAGTTTTAAGATTCTGGAGTGGCAGCGCACTATAGCATTTGAATGATGTGCTTTGTTGATGACGATAAACCAGAGCAGCTATGACCTGGATCACAACTAATCGATATCTAGGCTTCTAAGCCGTGAATATCAAGGCAGCAATCACACCTTGCGCGTAATGGTGTCGTCTCGACGGTGAAGAAAGCATCTCAAGCTCAGCGAAGCTCAGAGTGTTCCTTCTGGGCCTCAAATTCTGTATATCGTTAGCAGCTATCCAAGGTGTATTCGTCAGAACTGCAAGACTTACCCTTCAGCCAGTCGACAACAAAATTCTTCAGGTACTGCTGAGCGTACACGACCTGCGGTGGGGGCAATTCGGGGGTGGTCTGGTTCTCAAAGATACCATTCTCCTCCCAGTGATGTACACCATGGCTGATCAGGTGCCACGGGCGATCAGTGGTGTCGTTCCTGCTCTCTGGGTACCATAGCGGGGTAGCGGGTCTCCACGGATCAGCGTTACCTCCAATATGGGCAAGGCGCTCGTAGTCAATGCTGTAGTTGCCGTACTTGTTGACGCGCTCAGTCTCTGGAGGGTGCTCGATGCCGAACTGTGCACGGCAGAAGAAGGTCAGATACTCGACATCGAGAGTACGCGAGATGAGGGGCATAATATCGGCCGGGGTATTTCCGGTTTGAATGTATCCCCACTCGGTGCAAACTTGGTAGCTCCAGCTCGTTGCGCCGTAATCCTCAAGGGATGTGTATTGCTGGAGCGCAGTGGCATTGAGCGTGGTGAAGTACGAATCCTGAGTCCTGTTCGAGCGGCGCCATCCAGCGAGCGCGGTGCTGTTGAGCCAGGCAATAGCGTTAAGGGTGATGTTCTGCACAACGGTATCGTTGGTGTAGCCAGCTGCTGAGACAAGTTCAGCAACAGCTGGGCGGAGGTTCTCGCCTGTAGGCTCCTCTGCTGTGATGTTCTGGCAATCTAAACATGGGTGTACAAAGTCAGTATATGCCTCACATGTACTCCACACAGGGACACTCACAGTTGAACCAAGAAGGCGAATTCTCTTCAGGATCCCAGTTGGTGCTCTGCAGACCATATACACCGGTAATCTGGCCAGCAAAGTCACGGTTGTCCGTAACATCACCCATACCAAAGACATCCTTGAGCGCCTGAACCTTTGAGGTGTCGTTCTGGCGGATGAGAATACCGTCGACCACGTCGATCAGAAGCTGCGTGTTCTTCATGCAATCGGGAGGTCCGGTGAGTCTAGCAGGCTCAAAGTACTGCCAGTAGTCGTAGATTGCGACGGTCACGCCAGAAGAGGAAATTGCGCCCCAGAAAGTCTCTGGGTATACAACTCGCAAGAAAGCAGCCTGAGCTCCAGCATATGAACCACCATAGACGACCCAAGGGGTGTTGGGCGCAGTCAAATCCGCATCGATGCCTTCAAATTTGACATTCTTCGCAAAGAAGTCGATTTCAGCAAGCGCCTGCTCAGTCGACAAGAACCGCATGTTCTTAGTCGTCAGATCGGGCACCGGGAAGGACTTTCCATAGTAACGATGCTCGAGGATGACACCAAGACCATTAGTAGCCTTGATGACCTGGTGAACGATTCCCTTCTGAAGGAACGTGAGGCGACCTTCTCCGTCGGTTTCTCCACCAAGAAGAACAAAGACCGGTCCGCCAGGCTTGTAGTACGTGTCATCAAACCAGTACCTCAGGTTGAAAGACTCGTTGCTATGAGGCTCGTACCGTGTCTCATTATGGAAGAAGTCGACTGGCACGGAAATGTTGTACTCGGGGTACAACAGCGTAGGGTCCGTGTCTTCACGTTTCGCGAGGCTGCGTCGCGTCCGTGCAGCTTGCACCTAAAATTCTGTCAGATTCAAGTGCTCACCTGCCGGCGGTATTTGTCTCGCGTTGATGCTTCATGTCCGTTGTCAACCGAGAAGGCTCCGTTTGGCTGTGAAAGCATTTTATGCATTTTGCAGTAGAAAATGCAACATTGGACGAGGTACAAAGTGGAGAGATACACCACAACAACGTCCATGCCACGCACAAAAAGAGATACGTACCTGCTCTTCTCTCTCCACCGCATTTCTCGGCGAGAGTTTGAGCGCAGAAACAGCCTGAAGGCCGCCCAGGACCGCTGCGACAGCAATTGGAAAGCGCATGATACCGATGGAACGATGCGTACTCGTTAGCTACGGGCGCACAAGAGGCAGCACGTACCTATATATCTACCTCAGCACGCAGGGACACGGAAGTATGACGACGGTGATAGCTACCCTGTCAGCCCATATCATAGACGCGAGAACGACCATGTTTAGGGAAGGTGGATAAAGTAGTGCGCCTGTGCTAGCGCAATGACGATGCTCGAAGAAGCAGGAGATAGGGTGATCGGCACTTGCGGAACCGTTGACAGTAGCAGACAGCAAGCTTTTCGGCTTGGATGCTTGGTTAAAACGCTCATGGCGTTATGTAGGATGCGATTGACTGTCTTGCGCACTGAGTTGTACGCTGGAAGCTGTATCGTCTGCTGAGCATGACGCGGTCAAGACTTCCAAGGATGTGTCCTGGTGTCGCGAGGTTGGCACGTTGGATGAGGCGGCCCCGCCGCCTTGCCATCCGCCAAAGTGCTCTCAGTGGCCAATCGGCTATACTAGGACGCTTCCATCTCCGCACCATAACAATAACTTTGTGCACGTACGTTTGTTTTTGGAAATGCGACCATCACCTAAGGTATCTCTTTGGGCAGCAGTATCCGAGTCATCGAAATCGGTAGAGCTACTTAGGCACTGGACGTGACGGTTCGACACAGATTCTTTCGGTGAAATCATAAATCACACTCGCATATATACAGACCTCCTACATATCCGACGTCATATACCAGACACTAATCGCAATCTTCCTACTTTGTGACCTCAATGTGCGACACCGAGACGTCCTTCTCTCCACCAGAGACACCCTTCTCCTTGACGTCCATCAAGGCAGCCTCCCCGACATCAACCGCATCATCGCCGTCGAAGAACCTCGCAATCTCCTCCATGGGCGTGTACCTTGTTTCCACGATGCAGAAGTAGATGACGCCGATCTCGAAAGCGAGGAAAACACAATAGCAGATGTAGTACTTCCATGCGAGTGCCTCGAGCGCAATACCATTCACGAACTGATTGAAGAAAAGAGCAGCTGTAACGCAGAAGTTGAGCCACGTGAAACCCTTGGCACGCAGACCATAAGGCAAGATTTCGGTGGTATAGCCGGCCATGATACCTGACTTGATATCGTAGAAAATGCCGTAGAAGAACTGGATGTCAAGGTCAGTATAGCCACTTGTGCATTGAAGAATGGCAGGCGAAACTTACAATACTAACGATAAATCCTTTACCAAGAGGGGCCCGAGGCGCAATGTCATACCTGGCGGAAATGATGGTGAAGATATTGAACATGACAAAGGTTCCGATGGTGGAAATACTGAATGGAGTGCCAAAAGTCAGTGCGTGTGTCACATGCAGTTGACACAGCGATACTTACAGATATATTGGACGGCGACCGAGCTTGTCAACCAAGAAGGCGAAAAGGAAGTTCTCGCACAGCGCCAACGTTTTCATACCACCATTGATACCAAGTTGTGTCTGAGGGTCAGTCAAGCCAACGTTATCCTAAGATGACGATGTACAAAGTCAGTGTATACCTCAAACGCTGTTCGTACACGAGGCTTCTTACCATAACATATTTGAGGTAGTAAGAGATCAGTCCGTTACCACTCCATTGACTGAAGAAGCCAATCGCAGTGATGATGATGATTCTCTTACGGTTGCCCTTGGTTTTGAGGAAGTCTGACCAGTTGGTTCGGTCTTGTTCTTTGTCAAGCGCGATGGCGGCGCGTACTTCGGCAAATTCAAGCTGGACAAACTCGTCGTTTTCATCTCCTTCACCGTGCCAACGGGAGAACACGGCGAGTGCTTCTTCGTGGCGGTCTTTGTTGCATAGCCAACGTGGAGATTCTGGCATAAAGAAGATGAAACCAAGAATTATAAGGGAGCAAATTGATTGTAAGAGGGAAGGAAGTCGCCAAGACCAGTCGCTCTATGAGAAGTTAGGATCACGTCTCTACTGGAAGAACAAGGCGATATGTAAAAGGAGAAAGTCTTGACATACCTTCATCTGGAGTGTACCATATGTGACCCAGGATGCGATGAACGCACCGGAGTGATAGCTGGCGCCAGAGAGCGTTACCAAAACCGCACGGTCTTGCGGATGAGCGATTTCCGCGATCAACAACGGCGCTGATCCAAGAACGATGGTGTCTCCGAAGCCCAGGACCAAGCGAGCTGCAATGAACATACCGATGTTCTGCGCCCCAGTTTGTATTGCGACAGCGAATAACATGATGACACATCCAATTGCTACACCGATCTTTCTGCCTTTCCAATCAATGAGATAAGGAGTGAAGAAGAGACCGATGAGCGAGCCCAGAGACATGGATGAGTTGAAGAAACCGAGCATGGCACCACGTGGTTCTCCAAAGTAGTCTTGCCAGTAGGATAATGACTGCAGACCGTTCATCATTGATCCATCGAAGCCATTGGCAGTGTTCGTCAGAATCAGGATGACTATGTATATGTATAGTCTGCGCAGGTTGGCTCGCTTCCACCACGGCACCCTTGGGAATGCGCGACCAGCGAAGAAGAAATGTCCTTTCGGCGGTTTGATAGGTACAACCTTCTGAGTGGTCTTGGGTGGACGGAAAGAGATCGCCATCGTGGAAAATGGTCGTTGCTGTGATGAAAAAAGATGACACAGCTCCTACAGCAAAAAGGAGCACTGAAGATGCATGGGTTACTGATTTCTATATACACTCCACGCCGCGCCACACACAGCATCCCAGAGGCATACAATCCTGACTATTGGCATCTATCTGGTCTTACTTCGCACATCTCGGTAGCCAAAACAAACCCTTGGGAAGAAGCCAAGCTGGTTGAATGCGCACATTTGCCTGGCCTTGTCCCGCAGTCAAGCACGCATCTCTCGTATTTTACTCTTGTACTTCGCGCCACCAAGGCGCTGCGGTCTTGACAATTCTAGGTATTGTATCAGCAAGGCCGATTTGAACCAGTCTGAAGCCATGCAGCCACGCGACTGAGCCCTTAGTCGATTGCGGGGAAGTCAACTAGTCGTGCAGCAACCCCATGGGGTTCAACCGGTTAAAGAATGAACCTTATCAGCCTTCTACAATAAATTCGTTGGTGATGGACGTGAGTATTGCCGCTTCTATTGCCGGTGTCGCGTTGCCAATGCTCGGAATGTGGAGAACTCTGTTGTCGCTAGGCCTATTCTCGTTAAGACGTAGTATTATGATTGGTCACCTAGATCATATCAGATGACAGTCCATCGTCTGAGCTTCAATTCCATGGCTTGCACGATTTCTACCGTTACCAAGGAGCGCGTCTAAATACCACAGTCTCGGTACTTGACAGGCCTTGCAACGCACTGGGGTCTGTGCTGGGACTGTCCATCTACCCGGATCCTGAGCCGTTTCACGGCAACTTGTCGATCATGTTTACTAGATAGTGATCTGGAAGCGTTTAAGCACAGAAGATCCATCGAAGAATTTGGTATATGCAAAAGATATCTATGAAGAGGAAGACATATCTGTCGATGGGCATGTGTAGTTACGACTACATTTGTAGATGAGCTTCTGTTTTGGAAGGATCTTGGTATGCATCTATAACCCAAAGCGTAAGATGGTACCGAAAGAGATAGCGCAGCAGGGCCAAGAGTCCTTCACGCGACCAGCATGCGTATTTATCCGGCGGGAATATGTTCACGGTACTATCCCTGCGACTACCACAATACACCAAGAGTAGTCTATGATTCAACTTTCTGGGTAGTAATTCTGGTTTAGATTTTGGACCATAGAGCCATCAACATGGTGAACAGCAATCAGACTATCAACCCCATCCTTGGAGGGTTCGCTCCAGACCCCTCGCTTGTCCTCGTCGATGGCACATACTTCCTTGTCAACTCGACGTTCCATCTCTTCCCTGGTCTCCCAATCTATACGTCGCAGGATCTCATCCACTGGCATCAAATAGGGAACGCTATCAACAGGCGTGAGCAGCTCAGTTTCTCCAAGTCCTCCACTTTGGTTCACGATCTTGGTAACAATGATCATCTCTACGCTACAGGTGGCCTATACGCACCAACGATCCGTTACCATGATGGCACCTTCTACATCGTGTGCACAAATGTGGTGAATCATAAGGAAGAAGGCAAAGAGAGTTCCTTTCAGAACTTCATCGTCTTCACTACAGACATCTACTCGAGCGATTGGAGTGACCCCGTTTACTTCGAATTCTACGGTATCGATCCTAGTCTTTTCTTCGATCCTCACACCGGAAGAGCATATCTTTGCGGTTCAAGATCTCCAGGTCCGAAAACCAAGATCATACTTTTTGAAATCGATGTCAAGACGGGTAAAAAACTGAGTGATGAAAGGGAACTCTGGCATGGTACTGGTGGCATCTATCCTGAAGGCCCGCATGTATATTTTCGAAATGGGTTCTGTTACTTGATGATTGCCGAGGGAGGAACACACGAAGGGCATAGCGTCACAATGGCGCGAAGTCATAGTCTTGAGGGCCCGTGGGAAGCATCGCCTAAGAACCCGATACTGAGCGCTGCGGGTACCGATGAATACGTGCAGTGTACTGGCCACTGCGAAGCGTTCGAAGACAAACAGGGACAATGGTGGGGTGTTTGTCTAGGAATCAGAATGGGCGCTCCTAATCTATATGGACTTGGGCGCGAAACGTTCCTCACGAAGGGGACGTGGAGTGATGATGGTTGGCTCGCCTTTGATCGCGCGAAAATGCAAATCGAAAACCTGGATGTCGTACCTATCCCATCGAGAAGACTCACTGCCGCGCCCGACGTTGACTTCTTATACATCCACGACCCTATGCTGTCTCACTACAAGATCGTGGAACAACAGGTGACACTCACAGCTTCGCCAAACGGTCTGGAATCTGCAGATGTATCGCCATCGTTCGTCGGTAAACGTCAGCGTCGATTGAATGGAAGAAGCAGCGTCACCGTTCTATCACCAGCACCTAGCTTCAAGCCGCTAAATGCAGGCCTTGCAGTCTACAAAGACGAACATCGCTTCATCTCCTTGTCGTATACCACGTCTTTGGACTCTTCCGCTCCCCGCATTAGGCTCCATGTATGCAATACAGCGAAAGGTATCGATGACCAGAAACACGTCAAACTAGAGAAAGCATTTCAAACTCTTCAGCTTGTATGTGAGTATTCGGAGATGGAGTACATCCTGTCGTATGGAACAGACAGCGAAGAAGTCAAAGAGATAGGAAAGGTATCCACTATGGATCTGAGCGACAAAGATTTCGTAGGACCGATTATCGGTATATTTGCGGAGGGAGAGTGTGGAGAAGTTGACTTCAGGGATTTTGAGATTGACAGTGCATCATCGCGGGCCGTGTAAAGTGGCGACGATCGTGTGGTCTTCGCTCGCGAACCATGACGGGTCTTGCCGGTGAAATCTTCGGATGCACGATCTGCCATCGTGCATTGCCGCGATGAGTGTGGGGTATCAATGGCACGTTTCGTAGTTATACATAAACATTTGAGTTTGCTCTCTTATTACCATGATAGAGGGTGTTTATATTTAGGGTTCCCATCTTTTCCATTGCTAGCCTTCGTATCATCATGTGTATCCGTGAGATCCTTTGCTAGACATTTTTGTAGTTATCTTGCAGTGCACTAGCGGGTAACTAATACTGTGCTCTGCGGCATTGGACGGCTTTGGTAGGAGATATATACTCCGAGCCTAAGACGGGCGATATTGATGGCTCGCATCCGAGCATCGACCCAAGCCCTGCCAGAGAGCACTTCATCCCTTCGTTGGGACGCACTCAGAACTCAAGTGCCTATCTCGATCCGGTGTATGGCGACATTGGCGTGTCTAGTTGCTCAATTTCTGGTAATTGTAAAGTCTTTAGAGACCTGGATGGCATCGAACGGTAGTGGCTCTGAGGTAAGTTTTCGTTCGGAACTTGCGTCGTCGCCCGTAACAGTGATGTTCGTTTGGTCTTTGTCGTGCTGTGTTCAGTTAGCTTCATCGATCGCCCTGTGTCTGCTTCGTGAGACTTACCAACTCCATCCACTGAGTGTAGTGACCTGGCCTCGCTTGCTGCGATCCCAGACCACCAGTGTTCGACCTCTTGATCGCACTGAGTCTTCCAGTATTGCTCATTGATGCGCTCTTGTACTTTTGGCGCCACTGAAGGTAGAACGGCCGTAACATGGGAATGTTGATACAGAGACCGGCCAGCATGAGCTCGACAGTGCAGAGCATAAAGGTCGTTCCCGATGTACCTGTGAGGTTGCCGATAAGATCTGTGCATTGTCAGTCTTTCTGCCCAGCTTTTCAACACGTGTAAGCAAGCATAACTTACCAATAGTATATATGAGGATGAAACGCGCGATGCTAATAACCACACAGGCCAAACCCAAGCCGAAACATGCCAGTACAGCAAGCTTTTCCGTCTTTCGCATTTGCAACTGCCACACGCAGCGGATTGGGATTACCACGATCATGAGGTCGGTAGCCATGTTTGACAAGATCAGACACTTGAGCAGCAACATTTGATCCATACAGTGTCCAACTCGTTCGATGGTCCACTGTTGCGAGATAGGGTCGCAAAGGAAGATGAAGACAAAGTTGAAGATGATAGCCCAGGCGACGACTATACCGCCGACGATATAGACTGCAAGGCGCAATTGGAGCTGGAAGACGCGGTGGTATAGAGCCAGTTGTGAAAGCTTGAGAGCTGCGAGACACCAGATGTAGATCAAAGTGAAGGCAAACGTTATCTGCATGACAACAGGAAGGTTGTGCATCACTGTTAAGTTGGTTAGTTGATTCGCCTCCTTAAAACGCAACGACTTTTAGAGCGGACGTACGCTTAGGGAACATCTCAGCATTGTTCTTATCCAAGTCATAACCAACTCCGATCGTGAAAACTGTCTGGGTGTCAACTCTATATCCATAACTCTGGCGAAGATCCAAGTCTTACCCACAGCATTCAACCCGATGGTACTTGTCGATAGGACCTTCAAAGATTGTGAGCTCGGATGTCAAGTATGAAGATAGCGCGATGCGTACCAGTGCAATGCCTGCGAAGATATCGTCCAGTGCTAATCCAGGTCCTCGCATGCGACCGCGAAACCGAAAGAAAACAGTGGTTGCAAAGAGCAGCCATAGACATGACATCGCTATCATTGAATCACGGCCGCTCCTGGTCATCGGTATACCGATCGTTTCCACCATGTCGGCCATCTTGCTCTGTGCGAGCCACGCACGCAGTCAACGCGTTCAGGCAATGCTACAGAGATGCAAAGTAATGAACAAAGTACTAAAAGAGTGGATCCGGCCGTGAGAACTGGTGTTGACGAAAGAACGAAGGAGAGAAGACCGGGCGATGAGTCGGGGCGACAGAGTGTCCATAAAACCTGATCCATGCTGTGGTCTCCTGTCTTCCCTCAAAACTCCTCTTGACTTTCGTCAATGATCGCATTGCCCGTTGGGTTAGCGGGCCTGGCCTTGCGGACCGAAAACAGTTCCCTGCCTGTCAAAGCCAAACAGTGGGGGCCTTAAGGATCATTGCCACAAACGTTGGCCGAACACTTGAACTATCCCTTTCGGATGTGTGTTCGAGCTCCCCGGATACGCATGCAGATAATTCAAACTACGCGAGATGACGATCGTAATGAAGTGACATGAATCTCGTGCATTCCAGCACGTTAAGCCGTAACGGAAATACAGACATGAGGCCTGAAAGGGAATGGTAATATGCGGCAAGATGTTGCCGGCGGTGAAACGGTCTAGCCCAGGATGTGACCCACAGGGCCAAGGGTCTCTGCCGGGCGCCTCATCCGCTTGCCGTATGACAGCCGCAACTCTCCGTCTCGAGGGTCATCGGCAGCATGAATTAGCAGGGAACGGACAGAGACCTCATGTTCGTCTCCACATCCCTGGGCAAGGTCTGTTCTTGGCTTGAGTCGCATTCTGCCTGTGGCGGCAGGCATGGCGAGCATGTCTTCCAGAACAAATATGCAAATTCTCCGACCTTGAAAACAGCCCTGTCCCAGGTTCTCGGGTCTTTTACTAGCCAGGCGCACCATTATTGCGCGCTTGTCGACGGAATTGCTAGTGTCTTAAGACCATGGGGCTGATGGCGAAGAGTTTTGAGTCCCAAACTTGGATTAACTCAAACGGACAACATTCCCGCAAAGACTCGCGCAGAGTGCGCGCATCTCCACTTGAGCATGTGGCCTCCCTTTCCACGTGGCGCTATGATCCTCTAAGGTCCTAGGGCACCAATGATACCACTCTTAAATGAAAACCCAGTGGGGTCGATACGGCGCATTCTCGGCGCTGGACACGCGATGCCCGTTCTTTCGCCAAGTGCGGATGCACTGCAAAAGCCAGCAATCAGAAGGAGAAAGGATCGACCCTGTTGAGCCATCAGTCGACTAGAGACACTCCATTGGTATATACCATTGCCCTCGCTGAAACGATGCCATGCAATCGCGTTCTCCTTTGTGCAGTTGTGCGTCGTCGAACTGCCCAACACTCCCAACATGGACGACCATTCGGGCCTTTCACAGGACTCCAAGTCAGTTTTCCCCTTCGCGATCGCGACATGGCTTGTCGTTCTCTGGATAGGCTATAGGATCGCCATTGCCGCTTACAACATATCACCTTTCCATCCATTGTCTCATTTCCCAGGCCCAAAGATCGCAGCTGTATCCTACCTCTACGAAGCATACTACGACTGGTGGCTCGGAGGACGATATGGCAAAGTCATTGCCCGCATGCACGAGCAATACGGTCCCATCGTACGCATAAACCCAGACGAACTACATTGCTCCGACCCTGCTTTCACAGACGAGATATATGCTGGCCCCGGTCGCTCGCGCGATAAGTGGCAGCATCAACTGAACACTGGTGGAGTCGGACCTGTTGCGGTAACTGGATTCTCGACAGTTGACCATGACCTACACCGCGCACGGAAGGCGCCATTGAGCAAGTTTTTCTCGCGTCAACAGATGTTGAAGCTGGAGGGCGAAGTACATGAGTTTGCCATGATGACGGCGAACAAGATGCTCACTTTCGCTGGGAAAAGCGCCTTTGACGTCAAAGAAGCATTCAACTGCTATACTGCCGACGTGATTTCCCAATACGCATTCGGTGAGCCCATGGGCTTTGTCGCACAGGAAGGCTGGGAACCAAACTTCGCAACCTGGGTCAAGTCATTCTTCAAGAGCGCATACATGATGCGTCACAACGTTTTGGGTCGAAAGATGGCGCAGGTCCTACCGTTCATGGCTGATTATCTCGGCGAAGATATCAAGGCTGTCATGCGAGTCATGAACGTAACCATTCCCCAGTACATTGGCCAGGCTTTGAAGAACCCAGAGAACGGACGTGTTTTCGCTGAAGTCATGGGTAAGGACAAGACTATGTCTGAGGAGGAGAAGTTCCGCTACAATGGCGAGGGTTTCAACTTTTTGCTTGCGGGTACCGAAACTACAGCTGTAAGTATCAGATGGATTTTGCCTCTAAATTTCGAGGACTGACGATGAATGCAGGCTATACTTACCGTCTTCACCTACTGGACATTGGCAAAGCCAGAGGTTTACCAGAGACTCCTGGCCGATCTGTCCAGCGCCGGTATCAACCTACAGACGCTCAAATGGGTGGAACTAGAGAAGGTACCATACTTCTGGGCTGTCCTGCAAGAGTGTCTGCGCATGATGCCTGGTGTGTCCCATCGCTCAGCCAGGATTGCTCGCTTGGAAGACTTACATTACGTGTCCGCGGATGGCAAATCCGACTGGGTCATTCCGAGAGGCACCCCCATTGGCATGACATCCATGATCAACCACTGGAACAGGGAGCTTTTCCCCGACCCCGATGAATTCCTTCCTGAACGTTGGCTATTGGAGGATGGATCGCAAAACTACGCACTGCAAAAGAAGCTGATCGCATTCGGAAAAGGAAGCCGCAGCTGCATCGGTGAGCAACTGGCGTACTGTGAGCTGTACATCATGGGCGCGTACATGGTACTCAATGTTCTTCCGAGGGCGAAGCTTGTGGACACTGTGAAGGAGGACATCACATATGACCATGACTTGATTGTTGCGCAGACGACGAAGGGCTCCATTTCTGTTCGCATCGCTATCGAGTAAATGGGCTTTTAATATTGTGAGGGTGGCAAGGGTTGCTAGTTTGGGTAGGAAAATACATGATTGATCATGAACGATACCGACTTGGTAGAGGCCAAGCAGGACGCGCGCTGAGAAGGGTAGTGACGCGTGTTGTATGTCTGTTGATGTTGGAAGTCGCGACTAGGCTGACGCCGGTGCTTGGCCAAGAGGGTTCCACCCAGCCACGTGCTATCATATTCCGCAGCGCGACTTTCCATGGCTGCTTCAGCAGTACACCCCGCTTTGACCTATGGCCCAAGCGTTAATCTCTATATACCCTCAACTTCTGCAGCGCTCAGTGAGTACACACGTGGTTACAGTCAAGTCTTGGAGCGGAATTACGTCCTTATTGGCGCGAGGTTGTCCACGCTTAGTCGTGCTATCGGCGCCCGAGCAGCGTATGGCATCTATAACAACCCAGGTCCCTTCGTAAAAGTGTGCGTTATGGCACGTCACTATCCGTGCCCACACGTTCCTGTCAGGCCGCAAGACTTGCGCATCGCTGACAAGCCTGCAGTAATAGCAGCCATTGCGCGACGTTCGCTTTCCATTGCAGTGGCTTTCCGCAGGTGTTAGGCTGTACTTGTTCCGACCTGGAAAAACTCATAGATGCTTGTCAGCGAAGGGTGAAGTGGCACCATTGTTGTGTTCATGTTTGTCTACACTCACAGATCATAGGTGCCCCACATGCGATCCAGGGAGCTTGGGGCACACTACTTTATCTAACCTTGGAACTACTGGCAACAGTTGTTCTCCGTCCGGCATCATCATTTCTGGGAATGAAGTATCAATTCATTTTCCTGTTGTCGCAGCTTGCGCTTGCACCTACAAGTTCTCGCTATTGAGCTCCAAGTCCACCTGGTGGGGCTAGGTATACTTTGCAGCCCCTGGGCCACTTTTTCGCACAGATTACCCCAGCTTCGGCAGTGACAAGTTGGACAACATGGCGCCCATTGCTCTCCGAAAGTGGTTCGATACGCCTCTGACAGAACATATGCTGTGAACCCAGATGCCGATCCTGTTCGACTCACAGTGGATGCCTACAATGAGGTCACTCTGACGCCCTCACATCGCGAAAAGAGTCTCTTAGATGTGGCTCACGATTTCTTCATTCACTAATCCCAAAGTGCTTGATACTCCCTGAGCCTATACATCACTCGACTCACAGGTGGATGTGAAGGGAATTGGCTGAAATCTCTCAAAAGCTCATAAGGAGGGGCGCATTACTGTTTTCAGTCATGGTGCTATTCGCAGCTGAAAAAAACTAGGGCCTCTGCCAGTACAAAATTGATGTGTGGCATCTACTTTGTCTGTACTGGATGAGGCTGATCAGCATACACGCGGAGTAGGTGCCAAGCATCGTGCTCTTAGAATAAGCTTTTACGCACTTGCTTGTTGAGTGGTGACTGGCCATGGCATATGTATAACATGCAATACTATAATAGATATTATGCCCCCCGTCTTCCGTCTCCTTCTTGACATGCACTCCGAACTTGAAAGCCTATTCGATTTGCCGGTGCTTGTTCCGACGGCGCTTCCTGGTATCTCACCGTCATCTAGCGCTCGGAGACACCGCTCCTTGACGACTGTCGCTTTCGATCCTGTTCCATGCCAAAGAATGCGCCGTTGACGCTGCAAATAAGTTCCAACGCGCGACATGTGACAGGGCGAAAACGACACGCGGCACTATGCAGCGTTTGCCCCTGGGAGCGCAATCGGCAACAAAGATCTGCAGTGTTCCGAGCATCAACACGTGCCCTGAACCTACCATGAACTCAGGTACGTCCGGAGAAGTTAGCATATGACGTATGGTGCGGGATTTTAGTGAAGACGGGCGGTTTCGAGAAGAGTGACATTTACACAGCCCCATTCTTGGCAGGTCGAAATCCAGACGGTGGTCGCCGCTAGCTATACGGCAAGCGGACCTCAAATGCTCGCACACTCTCTTTGACCCACGAAATTCATCTTTTAGGGTCCGAAGACCTCTCGAGTCTCAATGGTCCAGGATGTCTTCTCACTGCACAACATCGTCGGCAGCGACGAGTCGCACTTTCCGTTTTCCCTCAAGGACTACCAACGCTATGTATTTGGCGACGACCGACTAGCGCATCGCTTGGGCACGGACCTATGTCGAGCTTTCATTCCCACCATTTCCAACCCTACAGACGACTTCGCAGTTGCCGTTTTATCCGAAAAGGTCCCCACGGCCACTCATAGGCTGCGCAATCACTTCGTCGCTTACCTCAATCGGCATCTGATCGCGAATAATGCGACTCCGGCCCTCAAAATCGACTTCCATATGGCGGGGGTGAATGCAAAGACCCGGGACGATCCGCAGTGCAACAGGAAAAGCGCTTATCACATCGATGCCGAACGCCTGGGGAACAGGACTCTCATCGTACTGACCGAAATCCGAACGAGCCAAGACCGCGAGGACCAGATACGATCTTCATTCGGGGAACGTGGCATAACCACCATTTTCGCCTATCTGGCATCCCTGGATGGCTCCGCAACGACTGCAACCATCTCATCCTTCTTATCTTCGGTCGTCAGCCCGTCTATGAGAGACATTGAGAGCATCGCGCAGTCTACTCATTTTGTCATGAACGAATGCTTTGTCCAGTTTACACTAGGAAGGGAGTATGAGGAATTCTGCAAATTCATACGACGACAAGACGACCATTTCGTAAGAGAGCTATTGGATCACGCTATCACTGGTCACTACTACAACGACGACGATCACGAACATAACGTACAGTTTCTGATTTGGGAGCTCGAGGCGCGGGAAAGCGTTTAACGGCCACGGCTATGAATAGCAACATAGCACGGAAGACGGTAGCGACCGCTACCAGTAATACTATAGTACTTTCACCACTCTCTATGCTTTCGTACTTGCCTTCCTTTGCATGCACGTAACAAAATCAGCGCTCACATTCTTCTTGTCATGCCTTAAGTTGTGCCCTTTACTAACATCGCATGGGGATTGCCAAACTGACAAGTATATATCTGCACTTAGCTTCGCAACCAGTACCAGGCTCAAAGCTGAGCCTTTCAACACCTCAAAGATTTTTGCTTTGTCTAGTTGTCGTGACTTCGCATCGACATGTGCAGCATGCCAGATCCGGAGATGCTGAATGTTGTTCTTTGTCCACTTGTTGCTCCACTTCAAACATCGCAATCACAACTATGCTTGTACCCCATACTTCAGTCAATTTCCTCAATTTGCATTTCAATATCACGAACGACGCGAGCACCTAGCAACTATGCCGGTGGCGTCAAATCACCATACGCGCAATCAGTCGCATCGAAGCCTGCAAGAATTGGGAAGCATCAAGGATTCCCAGGACCTCGCCTTCCTGAATCAGCCTTGTTATTATGGGACAAACGTTGATTCAAGCCAGATCACCGTGGGTACGATTCAAATTAAGAGAAAAGATAGCGAACCCGTACACTCGACAACGCAGCTGTGCATTGCGTTTCAAGACGGCCAGCAAACTCTGCTTCAGTTGACTAAATTGTACTCGGTAAGACACTTCTGCTACATCGGAGGGTTGCGCAACTTCTTTGCTGACCACTTATTAGTTGCACATTATAGTAGCCGCAAGCTTGTACATGTTCTTCTTTGAAGTCGCCGTCCGCCTACCCTTCCTCCTCGTTGTTGCTTTTGCGATTCCTTCCATTCATGTGCTGGTGGTACCAGAAAAACCGGTAACTGACGTTAACACGTACAATGACGATTCTGAAGGTCTTTGTCGCCGATATTCCGTCGATTCAGTAGTTCCTGGTGAACCTGTCGCACAGTACAAGACCGTAGGAGCCTTGCACCCGGCCGTCGCCATCTTCCCCGGTTTAACAGTTTTCTCACCCTCAACATGGTTTCCACGCGCCACGGACAACATACATTCCCGGCACAAGAGGCAGCGGTTACATACTACGTTTCGCGAACCAACTTACCAACCTCGGCGTACGTTTCGTGAAGCTTTCGAGGATACATTGCCACGAGTGCTCGAAAGCTGGACTATGTTCGTTTTCCGGACAATGTTCTACCAGATCACATCTCGAATTACTGTGTTCATTATAGAACGCGCATACGAGGTTATAACGGGACAGGAGATGAACGTAGATGTCTACATCATGAACATTCTGCGTTTTTATTGGGACTGGGCGACTGGTATGAGTGGGTTTGCTTTGCATAGCATCAAGTGGATTATTTTGGGCCTCATTATGCTCCTTGATCAGCTCTTAGTATGGCTAGGAAGGCAGATAACAATGGTCACTGAAGCCATGCACGATAGGAGGCTGCAATACGACGATTTGAACGCAGTCCAGTTCTAAGTGGCACTGAGGCTACGTTATAGAGGAAGTCAGAAGAAGGCACAGGGGTTGGTTTTGGTCGATGTATGCGTTGGGCGTTTCCGTCACTTAGGATCTTGCGTCAACAGCGAAAATATGTGATTGTAAGAATGGTGTTTGGTCCTTTCCTTGCACGCGCTGCAAATGCTGTCTACTATCGTTGTTTACCAGTAGCATGTTTCTAATATAGCCTTAATCGATGCAATACTTCAATCGAATATCCATCAATGTAACAGGAATTTTACGAATAACAATATTGTGACACATTCTCTTTGCTCATCTCCATAGCCGTTCAAAATATCATCACTGACAAATATATGCTGCCTGATGTCCTCTTCCCTACACATCATATAATCGCCAGAACAACGAAAATCTTCAAGCAATATGAAGCCGATCATCTTAGCCGCCATAACACCACTATTGAAGATATCTCTAGCGCACTCATGGCTACACTGCACCCACCATAACAACACTGGCATAAAAGCAGACATGGCAGCTGCAGCAGCTGAAACACCACCCAGAGAAATTGATCCACTGTACGCACGTTCTGCACAACGACGTGTACCGAAAAAGAAAACGGCAGACTGATCATGTCACAGCGGACCCTGGTACGCAGAGCTCTGCCACGGTTGGTCTTGTGCAAAGTAGAACCCTGGAAATTGGCAGGATGAAGGCCTTGAGTGTATGTTATCTCTATCCTCGTCGACTGGTCACGTACTCTGCTCTCCCTTCCTTCCACGGCTAATCACCTACAGATCTATGGGACCTCCCCGCCGCAGCCTCAAGATCCGACACACACGCATGCCACCCCAGCCAACGAGCCCCCCTTCAATACTTGGCCTCCTCTATCCCCCAAGAACCTGGTCACAAACCGCCCACACATACTGCACCCGCTCCAATGGTAACCGCCTCGGCTGGGTCATCTATAACCCTCATGTTCGGCGGCAACGGTCACAGCCGTGGTAACTTTGGCGGTGTTGAGATGGGTGACCCAGGGAAAGTATCCGTTTATTGGGCCGGTAGCAAAGAAAAAGACATTGTAGATGTAAAGGAGTTGACGGAGGACAATCTTATGCAGAGGAACGGGTTCAGTGAGGAGAGTTTCGCATATCCGTTGGATAAGAAAGTAACAGCGCCGGGGTGGGGACCGGAAGACCTTCACGACAAGGGAAACTGGCAAACGTTGCATCTGTAAGTCCATATTATTTTCTTCTCGGTGTCGTATTGAGAAGAGAGGAAGAGGCTCCATAGAACGTCGTTTCACTAACAGTCCTTTGCAGGCCGGAATGCATGGAGAAGGGACGGCACATGATGATATGGGTGTGGAGTTTTGGTGGTGCAAATAAGTATAGCACATGTTTTGATGTTATGGTCGCGTGAGAGGAAGGCGAAGAAGGTAGGTCAGGAGGGGTGTTGTAACTGTGGACGTATACGTTAGAGATGTATGTGCAACATGACTGTATACATCAGTGCTTCGCCTCTCTCTGTCCGCTCGCTGTTCCTGCTTCTCCTCTTGCATGCGCAGTTGCGTTGCTCTCTTCCACCAACTTTAACGGACGGTATTCTGCTTCCCACATCTGTTCTCTGATCCATTCCTCTAACTCTGCATCGTCACTTGGTATGTCCTTCTCTTGAGCTAGATCATCCTCTATAGCCTTCTTGATCACGTTCCTCGCTATTTGAACGCTGATCTCACGAACGTCTTCCACATCTGGAAGCAGGCCGGCTCCACGGTTGTTGAGAACAGGAGCTGCCGAAGCGAGGGCTTGGACAGCTGCAACGAGGAGAGCGGGAGTCATAAGACGGGCTCGACAGAGAACTGCGCCGAGGCCGATACCAGGGAATGTCACCGAGTTGTTGCATTCAGCTTGTAGTCGTCAGTAACATGAACACAGAGGTAGTATCAACAGACTCACAGATATCGTACTCCTTGCTATTGTGCTTAACCGGCGGGAATGGCGAACCTGTCGCAACCAGCGCTTTGCCATCGGTCCAGTCATACAGATCTTGCGGCTTGGCTTCGTGGAGCTTGGTTGGGTTTGAGAGTGGAAAGATGACGGGGCGTTCGACATGTTTTGCCATTTCTCGAACGACGTCTTCTGAGAAGGACCCAGGCTTGGTCGAGGTACCAATGAGCACGTGCGGCTTTACTTCCTTGATGACGGACAGCAGATCGCCGTGCTCTTTGCCCTCCCACTCCTTATCGTCCCGCGCAAACGGAAGCTGGGCTGGAGTAAGTTGGTCCTTTTTACCCTGTAAGAGAAGACCGGGTTTATCGACGCACCTGATCGAAGTTAGCGTGAATTAGCTGACTGGAGCTGTGGAGTAAGATACCAGATTTGGCGCCCGGCTTCTTCTTTGGATTTTCCGGTGTTTTGGACGATAGCATCTTGGATCTGATCTGCAATTCCCGTACCCGCTGATCCTGAGCCGAACATGACAAAGCGAGCTTCTTCCCATTTGGTTCCGCTCACTTTAAAAGCTGCCATGATCGCTGCGAGCGTCACGCAACCGGTCCCTTGTACATCGTCGTTGAAACATGCGATCTCAGGTGTGTACTTATCTAGGATCCTTCGTGCATTGTTCAGTCCAAAATCCTCGAAGTGGATGTACGCTTTAGGGTAATGCTTCCTTGCAGCCTTTACAAACTTGTCGACGAAGTCATCGTATTTCTCGCCAAAGACTCGCTCTTTCCGTATACCAAGGTATAGCTCGTCGTCGAGGAGATCTTTGTTCTACGTTTATCAGCATGCCTCATTTTATCAGACTCTCTATACTGACATCGGTGCCGCAGTCAAGTACTACAGGCAGCGTCCGCGAAGGATGTATTCCAGCACATAGCGTGTAGATAACGAGCTTGGCGATGCTGATCAAGATAGCTCCTACACCTTGATCGCCAATTCCCAGAATCTGTTGACCGTCGCTCACGACAATCACATCGATATCCTCGGGATTCCCCCACTGCTTCATGTCGTCCTCGACGCGGTCTGCATCGTCGATGTTTAGGAAGCAACCTTCGGGCCGTCGGAAGATTTTGGAGTAGTCGGCTATGGCCTCGCCTTCGGTAGGGGTGTATATAACAGAGAACATTTCCTTGAGGTGGTCGAGGATGAGCTGCGTAGTCGTCAGCCATGCCATGACCAACACTGTCAACTGTAGCGCACCCTGTAGTATAGCACCTCGTTCTGTTCCTTCAGGCTGGTCATGAAGGTGTTCTTCGCAAGGTCGCTCGGTCGGGAGTTGTACTGGGCGTATGCGCGTTTGACCTGCTCGTCGAGGGTCTGGATGTTGGTGGGGAGGAGGCCATGGAGCTTGAATGTGTCGCGCTCTTCCTTGGTGAAGGCTGAGCCCTTGTTGAAGTACGGCGTCCGGAGAAGTGCATTGCCCTGAATGGCGCGTTAGTCGTTTGGTAGTCCGAGCGAATGTGCACGTCGTACAGTCCTAAAGGTGCGTGTGCGAAGTCAGTGTATGTCTCACATGCAGTTCGTACAGGGACACTTCTTACAGACTGGTCTCTAGAGGCCCGGATGTAGAAAGAGGCAGATGCCCGAATTTGACATTCTTTTGCTGTTTTGTATCAGACGACATGCTTGCGATATGCTTTCCGTGGGTGATGCGCGGGGCTCGAGATATGCGACTGGGTACCCGCTGGGTTGCTAGCAGCGCTTGCCTGGATATCGACGATTTGCACCAGGGAAGCATATCCTGTCAGCGGAGGCTACAGGCCAGTTGTAACATCTGTCGCAACCCCGCCCTAAGCGCCATGTATTCCCGGCCATTTCCGACATGTTGTTGGGCACGCACTTGGTTGCGCGTCGTAGTTTCGGTATGATGACGTCGACGTGAAGCTGCCCACTGTCACCGTGCACGTGGCACTTGTTGGTCGTTCCAAACTACTGGGTACATCCCTCGTAGTCTTCTGCTACTCAACGTCGCAGCTAACTTGACTCTTCTTGAATTGTTTGATAATTGAAGCTGAATTTTATCTTGCGGCCATCTTCGGATAGAGATCCATGTGTGGAGGATTGCTTGAAAACTCAGAAATCGTTTGGTAGTGTTTTGCAATACGCGACGAGGCCGCGGCGACGTACTGAGGTAGAAACTCAACTGAGAAGGTATTGCTACAGATAAAGTATCCAGGGATGTTACTGCGCGATCTTCCATTTACTGGTAAGCACGATCTGATCCTATGGGCAAACGCCGTAGTCATGCGCTACCATCGGTTCGAAGAAGAGCAATCCATTCGCTTTATACATAGGTGCTTCAAAATGCCTCGTATTCTTTCATGATAGCTAGCCTCATCTTCAGTTTCTTAGATCATAAACATGGACGAAATGCCCGCAACTGAGCCTTACGAGCCGTACCAGCACGCGGTCCCCTCACATTCAGACGCGACCTCCGCTACGAACTCGATTCCACCCAAGCTCGCGCAGGTTCTACCCAGGCTTCGCACTCCAGGTATTACACCCACGTGGATCACAGACTCTCTCGTCCCTATGATTAAGCTCGCGTATGGCTCTAACCTCACGCAAACCGAATTCGATGACGGGACATGGTCCGAAGTCATCGAAAAAACAGACTTACTAATCCAAGCAATGGATCGAGCAAACGTTGATGATTCCTTTATACAAACCTACTATGAGGCATTGAGAACGAGGAACAGAGATTTCAATGAAGATATGATAACAATAGAAGGAGCTAGCAAAGATAGTAATCGCGAATTCTGCGAGATCCTGGCGGACAAAGGGGGAGATTTCGCGATTGCTATGCTTATGGTATTGAGGACTATGGAGAATGTGGCGGATGGTGATGGGAGTAACGAGACAGAGTCGAGTGAAGAAACAGGTGGGGAAGAGGGGAAGAGTAAAACGGAAGGGACCAGTGGTACGAAAGATGATACTGCACATAATAGCGGGGATGCTACTGAAGTCATGGGAGAAAGCACTAATAGCAGCAAGAGGGGAAGAAAGAAGAGAAAAGTGGCGAAAGGACTGGGTGGTTCAAGAGCTATTTGAGAGAAGAGCTATACTGAGCTAGGCTAGATCTTATACAGCCTCCCAGCGCCCATCACTGTCATCAACCCCAAATGTTGTCTCACTGCTTTGGCAAGAATAAGGTCCAAAGACCCAACACATACAGCTTCCACGCCAAGTTCAGTAGCCGAGACACATTATTCCTACAAGAAAAGAGGCGTTCTAGAGCATCAGCTTCCGTATCTCGAAGATTCCCACTAGAAAATAAGACCTCTACCAGCCACCTGCAGGCGGTTGTCCGGGGTTTGTCATATCACAGCAGCAACCATTGTTGACGCATTTACAGTCGCCAGAGAAGCCCTAGTAAAGTAATCAGCTCGAGGACTATCTTTGAGTCATCTGAATCATCGATACACCTTCGAGGGGAGAGAGATGTGAACTAAGGAAGACATACTTCGCATGGACACTCGACACAGGCAATATGACTAGTACCCTCGACATTGTTGTCATCGCGCACCGAAATGGTCTTGAAGGAACGGCTGAGCGAAATCTGATGGTAGTGTGTTAGTCAGGCGTTTGACACTGTGGTTTGGCAAGACATACGGCTCCAGGAGCGGCAAGAACAGTGGCGGTATAGATCACTGTGCTGATGAGAGCGAACTTCATTTTGACTTAGCGTTGGAAGAGTCGGAAGATCGTTGTTTTCCCAAAGAAGAGGATATTTGTTCCAAGTCGTGGTCTAGGGCAGAAGAGATAAGAGCAACGAAGATGTCTGCGGATAGAAAGGGAATGCGGGATGTTGATAAAGTGAATAGTGAGAACGGGCAGTCCGGCAGGGACGAAGAGGCGCTTTAATACGCCATCCTTTTGATACACAGTCGCCCTTGCCGCTTTGCTGCAGACACGGATGAAGCACTCCCTTTTCCCGTTCTAGTACCCCATGATCCCATCGAATACTGGATAGTGTGCTAAGCTGCGGTCGAATATTGATTCACCTCCAATTCCATCATCTTCTCCTAGCCGAAATGTACGGCGCTGCCGATGGAGTACTGCTGCTTTGTCGCACTGGCTGGATGAAATGTTAATGCTGACTTCGCTGCACGCTGTGATCCATCGTCTTTCAGCGCCACCGTGTTGCAGTATTGCCAAGTCGATGCATGATCCCTTAGTCTGACTATGGAGAGTCAAAGCTAGGGTTATTAGCCGGGTAAGAACTGCATTCCTTCTACGACTATGAAAGATGGTTACGTGATTTAACCTTCCTCTTCTAGAGTCCAAACGTAGTAGCCAGCCTCTCGAAATAGGTATACCATTTAGCAAGAAACCGAGTTCTGATGCCTTGACCGGTCCTGGAAAGCTACCAAGTAGATAAGACAGGTGTGCTTCGCCGCACTCTTGCAGAGGCATGCGGCCACCCCATAGTTAATATCCGAGCGCTCCCGGGGACTCCCGAATGAGTTGATGCCCGGTAGCTAATGAAAAGACGGTTGTGCTGCGCCGTACTGCTGCTTACCTACGCCCTAGGGGCTGGAATGTCAGCGTGAGAGAAGGCGACCATAAGATGATACGAACGGAGTGGTTTGCACGACATTTCCGCGCTTTCCAAACTGCTAGGGAAGTAGTGTGGGAATTCTATACCGGCTTTGGCTTGAGGCTTCGGTCGGTCATTTGCTTGTACTCCTCCCCGAACCATAATGTACCTCGGCTTTACGCACGCCCAATAAGCCCATATTCTAGATTTCCTGAAAATTGACGGTTGCTCTCGAAGCCGTTTTGAATATATAAATGAGAGTATGTGCGTGCACGTGGGATTGGCGGAGAAACTGAGTGGAGTGAAATAGAGTGGAGAGGAAGATGATGGCCATTACGTCATCTTTAAACTGCGTCACTTGCGCAGACACGTCCTTTCATAAACGCTAGCACGCGACTGCCCTTCTGCTATGCCAGCACCGGAAAGCCGCCAACAATGTTTCCCCGGTTATGTTGAACAAGTCACTTCGTATGCACAAACGCCCTATTGATCGGTCCGCCAAACTTCTGCTACTGAAGCGACGTTCGCAGCCACAAATCCCTTCCAGATTATCTCGCCGCCATCCATCTCTCCCGAGATTCCCAACTACAATCTCGACAACAACGTTTGTTTTAAGTGTGTCATTCTCCCAGCATGAACATGGTGGCATACTCAACTATCGGTATTTTAAAAGGCTCGCAGTACCTATGAATGCTCAATGTCCTGCGCCCCTCACTATGCTTCCGACAGAAGTGCGCCTTGAAGTTTACCAACGGCTCTTTCACCGTGATCAGCCAACTGTCTATACAGGTCGCTTATCAGATCAGGTACACGATCATAGTCTGATTATCTAGTACGATCATGACATACACATCCACGGTCAACGTGAAGGTGTTCGAGCCGCGTTCGCCATGGATTATGCCTTCTGCTACTCGTTTCGTGATGTTTCATGTCGATTCGCTGTTGGAGAATTGATTCAGTGTTTGTCAAAATATTTTGTGAACATGATCCACGCACGCCTTCAAAGCGCTACATGTCTCTGTCATCCCGAAGAAGACATTTTATCATCCCGGCACGGTGAAAATAATGCCTTCTTCACTACAGTTATTCACATCGCTACCAACCACTTGCAAGAATGGAAATGATACAGTGTGGAGCCCGCTTTCACGCAGAGTACAAAAAAGTTGAGGTGAATGCGGCGCCCCGTATCACGTACTTCGGTTTTCACCTTCTTCAATCCCAGTGGCCCTCTCACAGTCTTCGGCATTTCTTGTTACGGACCTCACTGTCGCTAAGTTGTATGGCCTAACATGAGCGCCCCAACGCTGCCTGTCGACCTGCAATGGGTCGCACACACGCTGATGCCCTACCTGCGCTACGCTTTCCAGCATGTTTTGCATCGTAATCTCGATATTACGCCGTACATTCAGCGCGTGCTCGACTCTTCTACCAGCAAGTCTGTGGGTTACCTCGTGCCTGCACTGGTTCCTGCTGCAATCGGAGAACTAATATGGGCCAGGGCTCCTACACTGATGGTGATGACCTCGTCTTCGAGCGTGTCTTCTTCGCAATCGAGCGTCGCCACCAAGACCTTCCGACCGAGCTTAATGATTTCACGGAAAACCTAGATTGTCTCGCTTTGTTTCTCATTCGTCGCGCGCAGGAGAAGGGTCCATACCGGTTACTGGGTCGCGATATTCCGCCTAGCGACGCCTGGAAGAAGTATGAGAGTGAAAGGATCGCACAGGTTGCAGCCAAGAACGTAAAAGGTACGTGTGACCCTTCCCTGAATCCATTGCTCAATGGTTTTTCCTATCATTTCCTCCACTTCGAGCTACTCAATCAACGCTTACGCCTCCTCTAGTAATGCAGAACCAAAATCAACCTATAGTGCCGACATATTCTGTTCCAACCGATACTGGTCCACCAGCACCTCCGGCTCCTAATATGGCAAGGGTACCACTCCTTACGCACAACTGCATCGACCCTCGTTTGCTCTACGCGTATCCCGGCCAGTTTACTTCTCCTGAGCTTTCCGGAACTCTGACCCTTACTGACCTGCAGTACTACCTTCATCGGAACGAAGAGATCGAGGCATCTGTTGCTATGGAACTGGCCCACTTACTCAATCACCAGCAGAGGCATGGAATGCAACGTTCAGTTTCTGACTCTCAAACCATCCCACAAGTTTACCAGCAAAACAGGATGTCATCATTACGACAAGGACATCGAAATGGTGCTTCGGATCAACCAAGGTCGTTTCATGTACCGAATCCGGTTTCCCAACAGCCGCATACACCCAGTTACGTACGGCATTTAGGAAAACAGCAAATTGCTATACCAAATCAACATTCTTCGCACGCACTTAACTCCACACCACAGATGTACAAGCTAGCTGAGCCCACCCAGCGTCTTTTCCAGCAAACAGGTTACCTCCAGCCATCAGGCTATTCATCCCGCCCTGGGGTGCAGAATATCCAGCCACGACCTGCCCCCGTCACATCTCGACCTTTGCCCGCGCAGCCTGGCTCCTTTTCTAACTACCATGGTGACATCCATCCCGGCTTTCCAACCCTCACCAAGCCTGCCGGCATTTCCAAATCTGTCACGAAGGCGCCCACATTTTCAGGCCTACCGGACTTTTCCGACCCATCCTGTCGAGCAACAAGCATGGCAGCTTTCAGAAAACTCTCGCGAGAACAAAAAGTAGCAAAGTTTTTGGAGATAGATAGAGCTGAAAAGGCCCTAAATCCCAAAGCAATCACACAGGTGCAGAAAGTGTTCATGAAGGCTGCTGCAGAACGGGTGGCCGCAACGAAGATAAATGCTGTAGGTGAAGATAGGATGAAGCAGCACAAGGAGAATGAGGAGAGAATAGTCAAGCTTCCAGATCAACAGACGATAATGGTTCCGGCCCCCAGCCATCAGACCAACTGGGACACATACATGACTACACCAGGAGTTGGAAGCTTCGGATCTCACCCAGCTTACTCGAACATCATGAGTTCATTTCCTTCGCCGCAGCTCCATGGGCCTTTGCTAGCTCCCACACCGACTTCCAAGCGGGAAGAATAGTAGGCGAGGCTACAACAGGCACATGACTTAGACTAATTGACCTCTACTCACTGCACTAGTTGATAGCTTGGTTCGATACATCTTGCGATGTCTATTGCACGATCGTCGAAGTCAGGAGGTGTTTTGGAAGATTTTGCTGTGGTTAGCAGTTGTGACAACAACAAGGTTGGCTATGGTATCAATGCACGGTAGAGGAAACAACGTGTTGAGAGACTCTCGTGATACGAGCAGCTGGAAGAATTCATGTATCAAATCATAAAACACATTACTGATTACGCTATTGTCATGACTGTCTATACATGCAGATTACGTGGCGTAGGCCCTCAATTTAGGCTCCGTCAACGACTTCTGTGGGTATGCCAAAAGCAATACCCCAGCCACCGGAATCAGCCCGCTGGTGGCCAAGACGTCATCAAGATCGAGTCTGGGGGCGGCGTAGCTGCTGCAAACACTCTTCACGTCGATGCGCTCCAAGTTACCCGGTCCGTCGTTCTGAAGCGCATCAACAATTAATGCGTAAGTCAGTGGGTTGAACAAAACGCCAGCATGACCGTAGACTGAGCCTCCTAGCTGCCCAGCACAAACGCGTTGTACTTCGTTGTTGGAGACACCAACGTTGCGCGCATCGTTGATGAAGGCGGAGGCGCCAGTACCTTGCTGAGGCTCGACAATCTCATCGAAGAAACCGGAGTAGAAGGTTGTAGTGGGAACGTATGCGCTGTCCCCACCATCACTCCTGAGAGCCCTAACGAAATCCGAAGTAGCTTCTTGCTGGATAACGGAAGGATCACAGGGACCAAGGGCTTGGTTGCTGTTTGCCGTCAAGCAGATGACGTTGGCCAAAACGGTGCCCTTGAAATCCGGAGATACAGGAAGGAAATCCGTGACAACCTTGCGGGTTGAAGGCCAGTATTTCAACACCCATTGTGTGTCTAGACCACCTTGGGACCAAGAAATAACGGCGATATTCTGCTTGTTGGTACGCGAAACGGCGCTGATGTAGTTTATAGCGTAGGCAATGTATTCGGCATTCGTTTGCGCGTCGCCGAGCATGGCACCGGGAATATTGAGCCATACTGGATCGGCATAGCTCTCGCCTGCCAGCAGCTTCCTAAGGTTGTTGGCGAAGTTGAAACCTCCATAAGCACCAGTACCTGGCACAAAGATCACAGGACGTTTCGCGCCATATGTGAAGCTGGGTGGGATGAAAATCGCTTTGCGAAGTGCAGATTCTGAGAGCGTGTACGGAGCATCTGCACTATCCTTCTTAGGATAGATACCAGAAGTAGGTGGATTGTTGTTGTTGACGCTGTTTTCACCAACTGGTAGACCACCAGTCAGGGCGGCATTTAGGGTTCCATCGAGCACCAGGCCATCAGCTATTTGAGTTGCAACGGCAGCAAAAAAGTCTGTTCGCGTGGTTGGACTCGCCCAGATTTTGGAATGTCTTGCCACCGCGGCTTCGATATTCGTCGGTCGTGTGGTAGGTTGAAGTTGCGAGAGGATGCTGAGCACCTTTGTGGGATTGCCCTGTGCAACCGCTTCGTTCACGTCGCCGAGAAGGTTATCGACGAGAGAGATTACGCCAGGAAGTAGACCAGGAATAACGTTGTTCAGCAGTTGTCTTTCATCCAGACTTTGGACCTGTTCAGTAGAGGGTCCTGGCGTTGGGATTGGCGCGATTCCTGCTACCACCGGGGCTGGTGCAGGTGCGGGTGCAGCAAGCGACGTCGGGAGAATGCTCAGAAGAGCTAGAGATGGGACTGAGAGACGCATATTGACTCTTTTCTCAACCTTGGTACCAGCAGAAAGTACGACCTAGAAGACGAAGAGATGCAGGGCCCCTGTCAACCGCAACAAGCAAACATGCCTCGCGTCTTTAACCACTCTCGCAACATGAGTCGTGCGGACTCCAATCGTCATCCTGCCCTCACTTTGCGTTGCAGTCTGTCACGAACTATTCTCCTTGTCACCTCTTTAGCGTCGCCGAACACATGGGACAGTCGCGGAAGCGCATATTGGTAGATGTCGATCTGCATGGTCCTGTAGATCTTGCGCTGTGTACAGTGTTAGCGTGTCGGATCGCCCCTGATCATGATCTCCTCCCTGGGCAGATCCGACCCTGCTTTACTAAACTGGGACCTGGAGACTATCGAATGCGGCAGTCGTGCGCCATTGACATCGCTAATCCGCTTGTCGAAGGGCTTGTATTAACCGATGAAAAGTAGGCTTTTCGGCGCTCTCTCGTCGCGATAGGTCTTTTTACATGCTGTTATCCATCCGTCATACAGTCGCTACTGTGAGCAAGAGGGACTGCGGGAACAAGAAAAGCGTGAAGAAACTCTTTGGCGGAGAATCTACAGGAAGAAGAGAGCCTACCGCCCTGAAGCGGATTAAATTGTGGAGACGCGATTACGCCGAGATTTGCCAACATGACAGGACTGTCGGCCTCACCACTCTTGAGTTCGGATCAGCTATGTCATGTCAGAGATGTGTTCTGCAAGCCATGAAAACCATATCGTACGTTCGAAGACGAGGGTTCTGGCGTTGAGATCATCACAGGAGGTTCTCGGAGCATATATCGATGCACGATCCAACACGCGGATTTCTGGACACTGTATGTGCTTTTCTAGCCCGCAGAATACCCCGATCTTACCCACCGGAGATATGGAGCGGGTACATGCTAGCGTTCCAGGAATCAACATACGCTACAATGAGATCTAGATATAGTCCCAAATATCAGTGTCCTTAACTTTTCACCAGCAAGGGGTGTGCCGACATCTATAAGCTCTTTACGCCGGGATGCGCCATCGATCCGTAGCTAAACAACAAGCACACCCGCTGTCTGGTTCTCATCTACCCAACCTTCCCAGTCTACTCCTGTGCGTTGTGTTGGACTCCATGCGGTGCTGCGAACGCGTGACGTCATCCTCAACTAGCGTGGTTGTTATACAGCGCACGACACCCATTCTACCTAATCGACTCTGAGCAAGACTATCCTCGCCTTGTATCCTTCCGTTGCACACGCGCAATCAAGATGTCAATTGAGTTGGTCTGAATTGATAGGACGACACTTCATCGAAGCTTCATCGATAGAGAAGTCGCGAAGCGCTACGCGACAGAACCCATGAATGTAACTAACGGTCCCAGAGAGGCTGTCAGGACAGCATATAAACAGCTAGACAACCTACCCTCCGAGACCAGCTTATCTATGATGTGCCTTCCAATCTTGATCTGATCGCTACGGTCCGGGTAGCTGCGTTCGCATGATGCATCGCTATCGGCATGTGCTGGAAGCGTCTTGCAAGCAGCTCAGGCACATTTTGTCACGCTCCTTCACATCACACACTATATCCTGATATCGCACAAACACCCCTAACCTATCTCTAATGTACCTCATCTTACCTACGCGCAGGGCTCAGACATCCTACAAACCGAGAATCAATGGGCAGCTCGTTCCTCCAGCTACCGCTGCCTACAGCACCTTCCACTCTACGCCAGGACCAACGACGAGATGCCGCTCTTGAGATACTCAAAACATGTACTCTTCCGCGACTATTGGATCTCGACAATCGACCTATTTTCATGCTCAACACAGACGATTATGCCAAGGGAAGCCAAATTCCAATTCAACCCGTCTTCTGCAATGCAGCACTGAGAGAGCGAGAGCAGCTGCTAGAACAAATAATCGGTACCTCGTCAAGTTTTCATGATTCTATCGGTACTGGAGCATCACATGACGAATTTCGGATATGGGCGACGAACCTTAGCAGATTCAATGATTCTCGAGATCTCTTTCCGATTACCATAGAGTTCGAAAACTGGTTATGGTTAGGCATCTCGATCCATCCCAACTGGCGGCTGATCAGCGGGCACACGCTTTTCAAAGATGAAGATATTTCTGAAGGGGATCAGTTGTGTGCATCAGCACCAAGCCTCCAGAAAGAGAGACACACTGGCGATCTGCCTGGCGATGTAGCTAAAGCTTTAGCTTCTGCCGAGGCTATACCAACCCGGGAGATTATTGAGGACGTGCAGGAACCTAAATTCCCATTTGTAGTCCTCGGAAACGATCGTGACAGAAACAGCTCCTCGAGTATCTCATCGATAACCTTGTCTACACCCGACTCTTCTGTGCCAGATTGGACAGTACCGCACCCAAGAGGTGTTCTCTCAGATCATCTCCAATTTGTAAGGAGCATCGACTGGGCAAAAACCCCGTTGGGAGCTATGAGTAGATGGTCTATTCAATTTCGAGAGATCATCTGTTTGGTCATGCGCAATCCTCATCCATCTTCCGTTTTCTGGGGCGAAGACTTAACCATGCTCTACAATGAGGCTTACAGAGACGATGTGACAGGCGACAAACATCCGGCTTTAATGGGAACTGGTTTCTCAGGCCCTTTTGGCGAAATGTGGCATGCAGTTGGACCTGTAATTCGCGAATGTGCGCGGACAGGTCATGCACAGCTTAATCACAACCAGCCATTGCCCATCATGCGGTACGGTTATATGGAAGAGGCTTTCTTTACCTGGTCTTTCGTGAGTGTTGATGCTATGGGTTCTGTTCTTTGGATGCGTACCACTCACATCATGATAGGTACCAGTCTTTGGTGGTACTGAGCGCGTCTTAGGGTGTAGGTAATATTGCATCTTATTGCGATAGCTCCATGGTGAAGCTGGGTTGGCTTGGACGGGATTAATAGGCACGCTGACTCAAACATGGATTACAGTCTACCTCAACGCATTCGACACCACGGTTGAGTCCATTAGCGCAAGAAGGATGTGGCTGTTGCGCTATCTTGGGGAGTGCATGAATGCCACACGTACAGTCAGTAAGTGTACACTTACGAATGTCCTACCAGACGAAAACTAACATCGCGTTTGCTTTTGAGAGGAATTCTGGATGAGAGTTCTGGACGGCCTGAATCACAATGATTACGACGTACCTTTTGCCCTCTTGTACACTGTTACAGAATCGGAGGGCGCTGAGAATGCTTCTTCGCATCCGGATGCCACCCCAACAGCTACAAAGTGTTGCGTTTTTGAAGGATCCATCGGAGTGCCGAGAGGGCATGCAGTCTCCCCCGACAGGTTAGATCTCGGAAATAGTGATGGTTTCCTGACACCGGCTTTTCGAAACGCTACACGAACCCTAGAGCCCATGATGTTAAGCATCAAGGATAATACGCTTCCACAACCGCTTCTAGACGTTATCGAGTGGCGAGGCTACAAGGATCCATGCAGAGAAGCTATGGTTTTACCCTTACGACCAACCAACGCAGACAACGTGTGCGCTTTATTGCTGCTAGGCATCAATCCCCGGAGAGCATATGACCAGGAGTATAGGTCTTTTATGGCCATGCTCAACAGACAGATCGCTACGTCGCTAGCTTCGGTACTTCTTTTCGAAGACGAGGTGTGCCGGAGCAAACAAGCCGCGGAGATAGCCACCCTACAAAGAGAGCAGATGTCTCGACAGCTTCAGCTTCAGACTGGACGCATGCGGCGAATGACCGAATTATCGCCTATGGGCATGTATTTATTCGACCCAGATGGTCTTCTGGTAGAGGCGAACGACCGATACTATGAAATGACTGGTGTCTCGTCTACAGGGGATAAACTGCCATGGTCCATTGACATGATGGTGGGGGAAAGTAAAAAGACTGCACAGGAAATGTGGGACTGTACGCGACGTTCTGTGGCATTCATTTGTTACGTATACTAACACTGATTGTCGATACTAAGACATGATCACTCACCACAAGCCAGTAAGCCGTGAGCTGCAGTTCGCGAACTCTGCATGTCAACCCCGAGACATCGATGGCGCCCGAATCGAGTATTGGGTCCTGGCAGCTAGTCAGCCAGAGCTAAGTGCCGACGGTAAACTCGTCAGCGTCATGGGATCACTTACAGATATCTCGCATCTGAAGTGGGTGCAAGGCCTGCAAGAACGGCGAATACAGGAAGCAGAAGAGGCAAAGCGCCAGCAGAACGAGTTCATTGATATCACGTCACACGAGATGAGAAGTAGCGATCTCTCCGTACGAAACTCATGTGAGACATATACTGATCAGCTCACCAACACTCAGATCCACTTTCCGCGATCCTTATCTGCGCCGATGACATCCGAGATACCCTGACACAGTACCAGTTCTCTTGCAGTAGCGATCAGAAAATGGCAAAAGAATGTGTCGAAGCAGCGGACAACATTGCACTTTGTGTTCAGCATCAAAAGTCGATCGTCGACGACGTTCTCACCGTCTCAAAACTGGACTCAAATCTTCTCCGCATCACGCCAATACCCGCACAGCCAATTATAGTCGTTCAGAGATCTATGGCAATGTTGGTCGACTTGAGCCTGGGTACACGAGATCAGCACTAACATCCTACTTTTAGGTTCCGTCCTGAAATCCAGGCCAAGAACATCGATTTCAAATTTGTTCCACATCCCAGTGTTCGAGATCTCGACATTGACTGGGTGATTCTTGACCCTGGTCGACTTCTTCAAATCATCGTCAATCTCATCACCAATGCCATCAAGTTCACCATGGAGTCCCAAATCCGCTCAATCACGGTCCACATTTCTGCTCATGCGGAATGGCCAGACTTTGATATCCCAGAAGGATTCACATGTACGCAGTATATACAGTATTCTCGCATCTGAGGCTACCACTAACTCCGCAATCTTATCTTTAGTTGTTCCACCACGACATATCGTAACTGAGTTCGGGAGTGGTGAGGGCTGGGGCTCAGGCTCGTTCGTCTATCTCCAGTTCCAGGTTCAGGACACAGGTTGCGGACTTTCGCCTCAGCAGATGTCCCTCTTGTTCGAGAAATTTGCCCAAGCTGTGGGTCAATCCAATGAACAAGCTACAAATGAACTACGCACTAATGCTAAATCTAACACTTAGTCTCCTCGAACACACATGCGATACGGCGGTAGTGGCCTCGGACTCTTTATCTCGCGCCAACTTGCTGAACTTCACGGAGGTCAGATCGGTGTTTCTTCTAAAGCTGGTGTCGGCAGTACCTTCGGATTCTATTTGAAGTGCAAGCGCATGATTGCCCAGAAACCAACTCTATCGCGTGACACATTTAAACACGCCCTCGAAATCGAACACGCGGTGACGGCACGGGAAATAAAAAAAGCAACTATATCCCTGATCTCCGCTGCGACTGCAGCAGGAAAAGATGGATATTCTGTCGACATGGATATACCACAGTCCATCAATGAAAAAATGGACGAAGCTAAAGATGACCAGCTTCATGTCCTCGTCGTTGAAGATAATCTAGTGAACCAAAAGGTGCTAGTCAAACAACTCATGAAAGCAGGCTGCGTTACCAGCACCGCCGACAACGGCGTCTGGGCGTTGAAGCATCTTGTCAAAACAAGATTCTGCGTTACCGATGGGATACCACTTGACATCATTCTCATAGATTGCGAGATGCCAGAGATGGATGGCCTGACATGTTGCAGAAAGATACGACAGATGGAGCAACGGAAAGAGGTGTCGAAGCATATTCCGATTATAGCGGTTACTGCGAATATAAGAGGTGGGCAGATAGACAATGCAAGAGATGCAGGTATGGATGATGTTGTTGGGAAGCCATTCAGAATCCCGGACTTGTTGGCGAAGATGCGGGAGCTATTGAAGAAGATTAAGAAGTGAACGAATATTAAGATTGTCCTAATGCAGGGCCGTGAAGCCTACGTGGTATCGTAAAGCCCCTGTGACCATTGCGATTTGGACCTCAAGGTTTGTAAAAGGGTTTCGACGAAGGATTTATGCAATTACCGGACTACCACCATTGTCGCCAAGTTCACCATCATAGGTAGTGGTGGCGAGAACCAACAAGCCGAGACATGTTCAAAGCCTTGATAGATTTCGTCAAGAATCTACTAGCAGCCCGTGCCTATGTATATGCTTCCAAGTCATCCATGGCATTGTCGGTGCACGAATTTCATCGAAGCCATTCAAATGTCTTCTTCATGGTCATCACCCTCGAAAGACTCGACCTGAACGCTATCATGACCTCGAAAAGCCCTGCTTTCGGGTCATGTTACTACATACTCCAGAACGCATACCTCCAGAAACCTCGCCTACACATATCTAAAACATGCCTTGCTATTCTTCATGTATGTCAAGTCTCCTCTCAAACACCGCCAACATGATGTGAAGAATCGGCAATTTTGGACAGGCGGGCATCAAACAATTTGATCTCATTTTTTGGTAGGGAACTTTTAGGTTCACCACCGCGTTTGGGGAGAAGAACAGGAAGTTTGGCGACAACAGAGGGAGTTTATATGCCCAAGGGCGCCGCTAAGGTGGTGCTTACCAAACACGCTGGCACTAGCAGGATGATAATGAAGAGATAGCTAGGTAACGTAGTATCCTGACGTTGTATATTTGAGTATATATAGCGTTTGCCCACTGGGAGGTTCAAACTTGAATGGCTTGTCTCAACTATCAGCCAACAAAGTAGCGAGTTAAGCACAGTCACGTGTTAGCGCACCACGCTAACGCCACGCGACGCGTCAAACCTTCCTCCATCTCCACTTCCCCAATCCAACCACCCAACTGCTACACAAAGCACTATATTCAAGTCGTCAACAAGCAAACACTCAGCAAATCTACAACACATCACCTCATACCCAAACGCGCCGAGTCTTGCCGCGAAAGATCTTCACACGAAGCTCACTCACAATGGACCACCCACAAACACCCCGCATCCTCGCCCCGCACCTTGCAAACTTCCAACACCGCATCGTGCGCATATTGGGAAAGGTCACGCAGCTGCGTGGTGAGACAGCAGTTATTGATGCAGGAGGTAATGTTGACGTTGTTCTGAACAGGGTAAGCATTTTCGTCTGCGTTTACATGTCGTTCAAGCACTTGAGGAAAAGAGTATAGGAACTTGATCAGGAGTATGAGCTGACTAAGATGAACCAGGACTCACATCTCGCCGTCGGTCATGCAGTAGAGATTATCGGCAAGGTAGATCAGAATCTGCAAGTCAAGGTACAAGCTGTAACCGATTTTGGCACAAATATCGGTACGTGCTCTTCACCAACCTCCCTCTTATACCCGTGCCGTGCCTTGCGCACAAAATCGGTAACTGTCACATACCAGCCTCAAACCCTGTCAGTTTCTGAAGGCGACATGCGTGTTTTCGTCTCCTTCTCTACTTAGTGGAGGAAATACTCCTTTGAGAGGAAAAGCGAGCATCACGCTAATGCAACGTAGACTTCAACGCAGCAAATGCCGTAGTAGATGCTACGCATCGGTACAAGGAGATCTTCTACGACGACAACTAAACATTAAGCATTAAAAGCGTCTAAGTGGTAAGAGATGAACATCTTCATGTACAAATATGTGCATTTTACGGGCGGATTGGATTAATGTACTAGTTGCCGAGCACTACTATAAGGATCACTATGCGTCTACGAGCAGAGAATGGAGGCCTCGGTCACATGATATGTACATTTACAAATCGATCCAATCAAGACAATGCGCTATGTGTTCTACTCTCGATGCATGGTATCTTCCGGCTAGAAATATAGCGCCTCCCAAACGCCTAACCATGCCAAAAAGAAGAACGCCCCTATAATCATACAATTACACGATGCGCTGATACATCCAGTTATCATAGCTTACTCCTTACACCCTCGAGTCTGAACTTGACGTCTTTGAGCTGTTTTCCGGTCGGCTTCCATGCCTCGAACATACCGAGTAATTTCTCGACCTCGTCTCCAAGTTCCTTCTTGACAAAATCCTCTTCTAGTAAACCTCTCATTGCCCATGGCAGGAAGAAAGGATTCGGGTTTGTCGTGGTAGCAGAGGGCTCATAGTCCTTCACACGAAGCTTGTACAAGTCTTCTTTTTTATTGTTATTCGCGAGCTTCTCACCAACGACGGGGATGTTGATGCCCTGGAAACTGCCGGCCGTGCTTGGTCGCTCTTTAGTCGTTGGTATAGGGAGAGACGTTGTTTCGAGAGCATGCTGTACAGCAAGGGAGTAGATGGCAGGGTCTTCGTAGACACGAGAGTGACCTTCACCGCCATATAAGGAGCCTGCTAAGGCGGGCGACAGTTCGCGGATCAGACCGTGATCAGGAAGGCCTAGGTTGCGCAGTTTCAATGCGAAGCCAACGAGATGGGTGAGAAAGTCTGGTGCATGAATGCGACCATCAACGAAGACGGCTCGGTAGATGTAAGGGTGCGAAAGCGTTGAGAAGGTTGACGACTGGCGTAAGTTAGCAAACCGCAGAGCTAGAATAGAAAAGAAATAGGCTCACCTCAAGAGAGACAAGCTGGTCGTCGATGCTACCGACGTACAATATCCGTACACCGAACCGGAGGACTTCGTCTAGAGCGGCAAGATACATCTGGCTGACCAGACTTTTGGGATTCGAGAACTCGAACAATTCAGCAGCTGTAGGACCGAAGTACTTTGTCTTGTACTCAATGAACGGACCCATGTTTACGCCAGCCATAGCGCATACTCCGATCCTCGTCGCGTTGACACAGCCAAACTGTATGAGCTTCGCAACCAACATCATAGCTACTGGTACACCCTGCGAGTGGCAAGCGACCAAGATGAAGTCAGCTTGCTTGAGATGGTCAATCCAGTTGAGCAAGAGCTTCCATAGGGAGTTGACCCGCTCAGCAATGAATCCCTCGCCTTCTAACGCTATCTGCTCGATCTCTGGACTGTACCCTCGCGCTTCAGACCAGTCCTTGATTGCTGCGGCTGCGGCATTTGCAAAGCGTATTGATGTGCCTGTCGGCTGCCCTAGCACCTTTTGTATAATGGGCGCAGGAAAGAAGCCATGTACACCAATCGCTACGGCCTTTTTGATCCTCGGTGGTGCTGGGTTGATGTGCAGGTGAGGAGCCGCAGGTTCGCCTCCAAGAAAGTATTGACGGATTTGCTTCCAGAAGTTCGGTTGCTGGACCATTTGGTAGGTAGTTCTAAACTCCGGTAGCAAGAGGTTTGGCGGACCTTGCTTGGCCTTGGCCAACTGCTTCGATGCTTGTTTAGCAGTAGATGCTGTTTCAGGCTTCGTCGGCTCGAGCACTGGTGAGGCTCTCGTCGGTGTGGCAGTCTTACTCGACGTAGGGGTGTCGGCTGGCGTGTCTTTGGCAGGAGTCTTGGGCTTTGGTCGTCCCCGTAACGAGGCAAAGGATTTCTTCGGAACTGGTTCGTCCTTCGGTGGCTGTTGTGGTTCCTTGGGTGTCTCCGCATCTGACTTGGGCTGTTCCTGCTCGTTGAATTGCGCCGCTTCAGGGTTCGATTGCGAAGGAGTATCGAACACTGCCACCTCGCCCACATGCTTCTGTGGCCCAGCCTCGCCCGGCTTCTTTTCTTCTCCCGGTTTGCCCCTATACCAGAACGCCCATGCAGAAGTTTTTGACGACCCTGTAGTATTCTTCTGAGCAGTCTCGGGAGGTGTAGCTGGGGCTGGGGTTGCGGGGCTCTCTTGCGGGGCTGGGGTCTCGGTCTCAGCAGGTGCTTCTGGCAGAGATTCAGGCACAGCATCCACTTTGGGCGTAATACTATCATCAGTCGGAGGATCGACGGGAGGAGGGTTCGCTTGCGCGTTCTGCGCGCTACTCCATGTCCAGAACCAAGAACCAGATGCTCTTGCCAGAACTTTAGCAGCTGCGGATGGCGCAGCCTTTGTCTCAGTGTCTGAAAGCGGAACTGCTTCTGTTGACACATCCTTATTCTCTGTCTCTACCACTTGGTCGGGCTTAGACGGGATGGCACCCGCGTCTAGACCCTTCGTTTGCGCATCTGGCTCTTCTGAGGGGGTCGGTCCAGGTAGCGGCGTAGTGGAGGCTTCTTCAACACTTGAGTGTGCCTCACTTCTAGCCTTGCCCGGGTCATAGCCGTCCGGCCGCGACCACCAGCTTCTCCAACCCCATGTGCTAGCAGCCGCGTCCACTTGTGACTTGGGCGGTTCGGGGGGTAACGGCGGTTCGTTGACTTGGGGCGCTGGTGTCTCTTCGACGTCGTTTGGCTTCGGCTTGGGCGGCTCGTCTAGGGGGCCGTCTGAGGATACGTTGACCTCGGTGATGGAGGCGGGTATGGCGTCGCCCTTGCTCGACTTCCGCTTGGTGAGGAACTTCTTGGGAGACTCGTCTCTTGGCTTCTTCGCTTCCTCGTCGGGCAGTTCGCCTGTCGCACCCCCGCTAACGCCGATGCTCTCCTTTGCGGTTTTGACTATGGCGGGCGCCTTGGATCGCCAGCTGCCTGAGCCTGAAAGCCACCTCTTGGCTCGGGGTGTTTGTGTCCCAGAGGCTGTCGGCGTTGTGGTGCCAACCGAAGGCGTCGATTCCGCTACAGACTTGTCTGAGGAGGCATCTGGCAAGACTCGACTACCGCTGGGAGTGTTGTTGGTGGTAGTGCTGGCGTCAAGTGGGACTTCTGGGCCCTGGGTGGGTGCGGCGGCGGGAGCCTCGGTGTCTGGCTTGGGCTTCTTACTTGGCTTCATTCCTGCAGGGACAGTCAAGGAAGTGAGCAGGCGGTAGGGCCTCTGGAGAGGGAGTTAGCATGGAAAAGACATGCGAGGTTGGCAGCACACCTTCATCCCGACGTGGACCAGGTGCGCGTCGGGGCTGGCTGGCTGCGTCATGGGCCATGCCGTGGAGACTAGTCCTGGCTTAGCGCAGCCCCGTAGCGCGTCCACTAGCGTCCATTCTGCCACCGCCTAGCGATATTGTCGGCCTTCCTGAAATTTGTAGCGCGAACTTTTGCCCGCAGGACCACGACGCCGAACCGCAACAATGGCGATCCAAAAGAAGGTGCGCAAACATGGGAATAACACGTGCGACAGCAGCTAATCCCGCAACAGCACGGAAAAGGTCGTCTCGACAAATGGTACAAGCTCGCCAAGGAGAAGGGCTACCGTGCCCGTGCCGCCTTCAAGTTGATCCAACTGAACAAAAAGTACAACTTCCTCGAGAAGAGCAAGGTCTTGATTGATCTTTGCGCTGCGCCCGGATCATGGTGTCAGGTCGCTTCAGAGGTATTTCGCTGTGCTCAACACCATGCGCCTACGTACTAAAGACCCCAGGTTATGCCCGCGAACTCCCTCATTGTCGGTGTCGATCTCGCCCCAATCAAGCCTATCCCACGATGCATCACCTTCCAGAGCGATATTACTACAGACAAATGCCGGGCGACGCTGCGCCAACATCTCAAGCATCTCAAGTGTGACACGGTACTCCACGATGGTGCGCCCAACGTCGGAACTGCGTGGGTGCAGGATGCCTTTACCCAGGCCGAGCTTGTCTTGCAATCCATGAAATTGGCTACAGAATTCTTGGTCGAAGGAGGAACTTTCGTAACCAAGATTTTCAGATCCAAGGACTACAACTCACTTCTCTGGGTCTTCAATCAGTTGTTCGCCAAGGTCGAAGCAACCAAGCCTCCCTCCTCCCGAAACGTCTCCGCCGAAATCTTCGTCGTCTGCCGCGGCTACAAAGCCCCCAAGCACCTCGACCCCAAGTTCCTTGACGCTCGCAGTGTCTTCGCCGAACTCTCGGACCCTACGCCTAACAACGAAGCCAAGGTCTTCAAGCCCGAAGTCAAGAAGAGGAAGCGTGAGGGTTACGAGGAGGGAGACTGGACCCAGTTCAAAGAGGCACCTGTATCCGACTTCATTCAGACAACCGACCCCATCGCCATGCTGGGTGGTCTGAACAAGCTCAGTTTTGAACAAAAGCCAAACGGCGACATCGCCGTCGCAACCATCGACAAGCTGCCGGAAACAACAAAGGAGATCAGGGATTGCTGTGCCGATCTCAAGGTACTAGGTCGGGCTGACTTCAAGCGCCTTCTTCGCTGGCGACTGAGGGTACGCGAGATCTTTGGTTTTGCCACTAAGAAGACAAAGGCTCAAGAAGAAGAAAAGGCCAAAGAAGCGCAAGAAGGCGACGAGGTCGCGGAGATTGAGTCAATGGACGAAGAGATGCAAATCCAGGAAGAGCTGGAGCGACTGAAGGAGAAGGACTCCAAGGCGAGGAAGAAGCAGCGCCGAGCTGAAAATGAGCGCAAGCAAAAAGAGATCACTCGTTTGCAGATGAACATGGCCACACCTTTCGAGATTGGTTTGGAACAGGCTGGACCAACAGGCGAGGATTCCATGTTCGCCCTGAAGGCTGTAGACAAAGCCGGCGCTCTCAACAAGATCGCCAAGGGCAAGATGGCTCAAGTCGTTGAACGCGAGCAGCCAGAAGAGATTGAAGAGGAGCCTGAGACTGACGACGAAGAGGATCGTCTGGAGCGAGAGCTCGACTCCATGTACGGCGATTACGTCGAGCAGAGATCAGCACGAGACGCCAAGTACAGAGCCAAGCGCGCGAGGAAACAGGACGACGATGGAGAGTGGAACGGATTCTCTGATGAGGACAAGGAGCAAAGTGACGACGAGGAACTCGTACAGGACGCTGACAGTGATTGGAGCGATGACGAGGAGGAAGGGCCCAAAGGACTGATCACCGATCTTGATAACGAGGAGCAGCCAAAGACAGGTCTCACAAAGCGCGCAGCACGATTCTTTGACCAGGACATCTTCAAAGGCATTGATGGACTCGAGGATCTGGAGGAAGATGACGACAGCGGTATCGACGTCGAACATGACACCGAGATGAAGGATGAAAGCGCCACACCCGCGCCCGCGGCTGAGACAGGACTGAGCATACGGACGAGCACCAAGACCTCTCAACCAAAGCCAGCCTTGGACGACGAATCCTCAGACGAAGAGGACAAGATCGAAGAAGTCAAGCGCGACGAATCTCAATGGGAGCAAGACAACGTGCCCATGAAGAACGGCAAACCCGATATTGACATCATTACAGCTGAGGCCATGACCCTCGCTCACCAGATGGCCACAGGTCAGAAAACCAAGTACGATCTCCTTGACGAGTCCTTCAATCGTTACTCCCTCCGCGACGTTGAAGGCCTACCAGATTGGTTCCTCGACGACGAAAACAAGCACTCCAAACTCCAACGTCCCACCACTGCTGCAGCAGCTACCGCCATCAAAGAGAAGCTTCGCGCTTTGAACGCCCGGCCAATCAAGAAGGTCCGCGAAGCGCAAGCTCGCAAGAAGTTCAAGGCTGCCCAACGCATGGAGAAGCTCAAGAAGAAATCCGCGTTACTAGCGGACGAAGAGGGTATGACGGAGAAGGAGAAGGCACAAAGTATTGCTCGGTTGATGTCGAGAGCTGCGAAGAAGAAGCCTAAGCAGAAGGTCAGTGTTATCGTGGCCAAGGGTGGTAACAAGGGTATCAAGAACAGGCCCAAGGGTACCAAGGGTAAATATAAGATGGTTGACGCTCGATTGAAGAAGGATGTCAGGGGTGAAAAGCGGGCCGCCAAAAGGAACAAGAAGAGGTGAAGTGGTGCGTGTTTATAAGTTTTTGAATCTGCATCATGGAATACGATGTAGACATGTTAGTCGCTGCAATGAAGAAACGTCTTCAGCTGATATACTATATCTCTATCAAGCTTGTGTTATTGGAATAACTTGCTGACGCTCTCCAAATTGTTGAGCCAGTAAGCTTGTGCTTGTGTTTGATGAACGTTGATGATAGGTATACGAACGCGACATTCTAGTTTGTCCCTATCCAGCGTTATTCAATGTTCTTTCTACTTGTTAGCGTCAGAGGGGACTCTGACACTTCGGGTCTTTTGCTGCCACGCTGACAAAAAGAACGCCGTCTCTCCCCACAACCGCTCTTCGATTGACGTCGAGATGCAAAAATAATCCTCCTCCGGGAAGGCTCGAACTTCCAACCTCCTGATTCGCTACTGCAAGCTGTAACAGTCAGACGCGCTAGCCAATTGCGCCACAGAGGATTTTGAAATGCGCCACACTTGCTATGCGCTTTTCGATGAAAAACTGGAAAATTACACTCTATATCACTTGTGACAAAATACACATACACATGGCGAGAAAAGTGAAACTGGCGATGTAGACATGTGTGCGTTGTGGGGGACGATGTGGGTCTGACTCGCTTACCCGAGCATAGAACAGCAGGAACTCCAGGATGGACGATGCGATGATGATACAAATGAATTGATCAAGTTGCGCCTTCGTGATTGTGAACTGGGGTATAGTATAGTAGAAAATGCATTTACCCCCTTTTTGTAACGCCAATGAGCACTTGCTCAGCTCGCTATGCAGTAAAAGATGTCGTATGAACGTCATATGTGGTCGTCCGATCCTCACCAGGGCCTGCTCAATGTGTGCCTAGGTGCTCTTCCGGGCTCGCTTCTTCTTTGGCTCCTTCAAAGGTGTCTCGGCGGCCTCGACGACCCCTTCAATCCTGAACTCGTCGCTCTCGAGGTCGAGGACACCCCGCAGGATACTGAAAGTGAAGAAGTCTTTCGTATAGCACGTTACTCCATCTTTCATCAATTTGTGGGCTTCTGCGTCGTCTCTGTCGTCTGCGAGGACAATGCTGCTTCCCGTCCTCTTCACCTTCGCCGCACCAATGATTACATTCTTCGCGCCCGCGGCTTTGCCTACCACCTCGATCTCGGAGAAAGACGCGTATTTCGCCTTAAGGCTTCTTGTGAAGTGAATACTGTATTCCATGAAAGGAGCTTGTGGTTTCCCGAGGACGTCGTCAAGTTTCAGCTTCCACTCCTCCTCCTGCTTAGGAGTGGATGGCTTGAAAGCAGAAACGGCGAGGAGGCGCTTGGCTGACGCAGACTCATACAGCCACTGATCGGTAACGATGGGAATACCGCAAGCAATAGCATATAGTACTTTTGTTGTTTTCTGGAGATCACCATCTCTTACACTTCGACGTATTAGTAGAGTGATACGACCGTAGAGAAAGTGCTCACCATAGAAGATTAAACTCATCCGTTAGATTTTCCACATATACCCCACCTTGCTTCTTCAAGAACTTCGCAACCTGGCTTGTCTTTGTAATGGTGGATTTGCTACAAGCTACACGGGGCGTTGGGCCGTCATAGTCTTCTGTTGTTGTAGATGTAAATCGTTGCGAACTTTTCTGCGCTCGCGGCGGCATCGTTGACAAATCTTCCTTAGCAACGTCGACATTGCTCAACCGACTGTCTTCGGTATCACTGTCAGCTGTCTTTGCGCGCTTACTAGGCCCAGCAAGTGCTTCATTGTCGGCTTCTGGTGCCTCTTCCTGTGATGTGGGAAGTGTGCGCTTCTTGGATAATCTGGCTGGAATCTGTACTTGTGGCGAAGATACTCTAGCACTCGAGAGCAGGTTTAACTGCGCACGGTCCTGCAATTCACTGGTCCGGGCTGTCGAGAAGGCCGCTGCTTCTTGCTCTGGCTCCGCTTCGGGGTCCTTCGAGATATTAGGCGTATACTTGGCTAGCTTGTTGACGTCGCTGGCGAAGTCTGGCGGATTGAAGTTTGCATCACGAAACGCAGGCGTATGATCTACACGATCCGTAGTTGGGGTTTCTTTAACGATAGTAATCGATCTTTGATTCGAGAGCTGAGGCGTCGCTTGAGGCTGCGGCTGCGTCTGCTTTAGTGACGTTACATCAACAACGGGCTCCTTCGAATCTTCATCTTCGGTATCTTCCTCGTGTATTTCAGCGACACCGTTCACATTCGCTGCAGCTGACGAGTTGACCTGAACCTCCGAGTCTGTCCAATGACAAACGAGATTAGTTTCAGCTGTTGAAAATCCCAACACATCGCCATGGCGCAGGAAGATTGCTTCTGAGCGTCCGTCACTTGGTGGTTGTAATTGAAAATGGGCAATCGATGAGCTTTTCGTGTGCGGTTGGAAAGGCAAGATAGTTACTGTGTCTGTGATGGCTTCTACTTTGACTCCAAAGAGCCCGACAACTATAACGGTAAGAGATTGCGCCTCATACCAAAGCTCATGTAGAAGACATACCGATGCGGCCAAGCTCACGAAAGAGACCCGGCAATGGCGGGTCGCGTACCACGGAAGGGTGTTTGGATGCAAGAGCTAAGACGATGTGTGCCACGCCCTCTTCTGGCAGGTGAAATTGACTCATGCCTGGCGCTGCCGCCGTGTGTGAAGAGACCTAAAGTTCGGTATACGAAGTCAGTACATGTCTCACAATTAGTACGTACAGGCACACGACTAACCAGCGTCCACATTCTGAGTCGTTTGACGCGTCGTGGCGGATGTTAGATCGCGTATGTCAAAGTCAACGCGAGGTCACGTTTGTCTGGTGGAGGTCGGGGCTGCTAGTGAGCTAACGGTGACGTGCATAATAAGTGGGGCTATATGTCGATTCGTTGCGACTGCCGCCAACCTGTTCCTCCGAAGCAGGAACGGCTTTGCCTCGTCCATCCTACAGCAAGGGGTTGGATGTGAATGATGTGGTGCTATGGTTGCATACCCGCATGTTGTGCTATGCAATTTGGCCACCGTCCATGCTATGTGCAATTGGTCCCTGTACACCGGTACCCAAAGGTCTCAAAGCTCAGGCGGCCGTAGTCGAAGAACAATAGTAAGGAATTCGCGCTATCTGATCACAACCTCGTCCCACACCACAAACAATGCATCTAATAGATCTGCGCTTTACTTTGAGCGACTCTGTAACCCGTTGCAAGACAGGAGGAGAGTGACAACCGCAAGCATTGGTTAAGCTTCACCGGGCCGAAGCGAGTACCCAGATGCATCCAGGTGAAGGAACCGCGGAACAATAGTAAGGGCGTCAAGTAACTCTGAGACTTCATCTTCACCTTTTTCCAGCTAGCTATAGTCATAAGTCGAGATATCGAAACAATCGCACGCTGTCGCTGCGGTTGCTATTATCCGCTCGGGATCCGAAAGCCATCACTCCCAGTCACTTTGTCGACGACCATGTCTAGCAACAATCTCCATTGCAGAAGCAACCCTGTCCTCTAGCTATTATATCCCGACCCGCTACACGATAAAGCTTCGATCTTCCTCACTACTGAGCTCCTTCGCTCTTTTCTCAAACTCTACTTCATCCTACCTTTCTTCCAATTTATTACCTCAGGCGGCTTCTATTTGGACCTGCAACCAGACACCGCTATCCCAAGCAATCCGCAAACTCCCGATAACACAAACTGCCATGGACGGAATTGCACAGAGCATCCAGGTTCCTCCTAACTTCGATCCATGGAACCAGAATTTCACTCTTGCTGTATCAGATGGCTACGGCGAATGGTTAGCCGTGCCGGTGAACATGAAGTCGCTCGATGACTATCGCATCTACGGCTTTCGTCTCGCTATCAGCTACGGGACAGGTTTTGGTGTATCACTCATGCTCTTGGTCGTTCTCCTCCTTCTGACCAAGGCTGAGAAACGCAAGTCCTTCATCTTCTTCCTCAACGCTGCCTGTCTGCTCACCAACACCATCCGCTGCCTGCTGTTCTGTACTTGGGTCACCGGTAACTTCTACGACCCTTACACCGTCTTATCTGGAAATCGAAGTCGTTTGACCAGCGCAGACTTTGCTAGCTTCATCACCATCAACATTTTTGGTGTTATCGTTACTATCCTCGTCTTCATGTCACTCAGTCTCCAAGTCTGGATCGTTTGCGTCACCACACCGCCTCTACAACGCAGCATCATCATGGGTACAACCACTGTCATGGCCTGCATTGCGCTTGGATTCAGACTTGCTGCCGTCTATCTGAGCACCAAATTGACTCTGAATGCTTTGGATACCGACTCCATCTTGGTCTTAATTGCGGTCTCTTACATCCTACAAGCTGTGTCCATCTGGATGTTCAGCTGCGTTTTTACGTACAAACTAGGCCACGCTATCATTCAGAGGCGTCGTCTCAATATGCCACAGTTTGGACCAATGCAGATTGTTTTCATCATGGGCTGCCAGACCATGTTCGTACCAGGTACATTTGCCCATGCGAGCTTGAGTCTTGAAACATATCTGACACACTTGTAGCCATCTTTGCGTCTCTTCAGTTCGCAAACATTCTCCCTGAGATCGTCGCCCATGTTCTCACGATGATATGCATCTTCCTTCCATTCTCCGCCATCTGGGCTGGCGTCGTCAACGACCAGAATCTTGCCACGAGAGGACCCGATGCTCACCAACGGCTGATCAGGAGCGACTTCCACGACAAATCTGCACCCTCAACCCTCAGTGAAAGCTCAACTGTTTGCGAAAAGAGCCGTCAGATGAGTTCATGGTCGGACATGAAGAGTAAGGATCACGAGAGTCTTATCACCACCCCAACCTCGCATATTCACAACAAAAGCATCGACGAAAACTGCATCCGAGTCGACCGTAAATTCGGCTTCTCGCGTGAAGATGCCACCGACCAAGTCTAGCCGCCAGTGGCTGCACCCTTGGCCTACACTCGCCCATCTTCAGTACCTCGGAGAGCGTACTTTCATGACGCAGTTTGCATGCGCATGGGAGACAAGGAATGAGTGCGGTGAGCGAATAGATACGGCGAACACTAGGAGGTGGATGATCATCATGCGACACGTATCAGTGACGCACCCAGGAGGCGTGCGCTTTTCAACATTTGTAATTTCAGGGATCTGGTTCGAGATGGTTCAGAGTCTACATTCATTGAATTTTTCATTACCCATATGTACACATAGTCGTATCTTCCCCACCTCTAAGTTATTTCATTAGCAAATACTACACTTTGCTACAACCACTTCGCTGGATATTGCCTGTAAATGTGATGACCTCAATTCTGCACTCAGTTCTATCTGGCATATCAGTCACTAGTGGTACGACAGATATGCAATATATGCAACGCCATCCCGACGCGCGGGACGGCAAGGAACTTGATTTCGGTCTCCGAGGCAGAACATGCCCGCATTTGCCTCCCCGCACCACGTCTTCTCCTCGCAATTAGGATGACATGCCATGTATTCTCTTGCTGTAGCATCATTGATCCTGAATGCCGTGAACATTTAAAGCCGACGATGACATGTAAATTTATATTGTCTTCACCAATTGGGGAAACCTCTTGGAGCACCTTTCATACGAAAGAAACTAAACCTCCTTTAGCGAGCTCTTCTACAGCACACAACATATAGCGTGCTGGAGTAGGCTAAAGGAAGAGGTTCTCAAGGGATATTCAGCTTCTCCCTTGAATATGGTGGGAACATGGGATACGAACATCTTCGTATGTGAGCCTTGACTGGGTTTAGCGCAAAGCTTAGCCTGCTGACACGAATAGATCGGCGTCATTGGCTCAGTTTTAGGCACCCCGCTTGTTGATCCTACACCAATGACTACGCACGCCGACACGTCGCGACGCGTCTGCTATGCGACTCATCAATGTTAGAACACTCGAACTCCAGTGGTTCAACGACGATGCTATTCCCAAGTACGCCATCCTTTCCCATACCTGGGGCTCGGATGAGGTCAACTACCAAGAATTCGTTTGGATTAGTAAAGCTCGAGCAATTTCCGCTTCTCCTAACCTAGCATCTACTCAAGATGCGCATAACACACTCATGCTAGCTCTGGAGTTGATGATTCGAGGCAGCTCAGGACCCGGAGGCTTATCAGAAGAGGATCTCCTGAAGCGGGTCGGCTACAGCAAGATATTGAACGCAGCTGAGCAAGCACAGGGCTTGGGCTGTAACTATCTCTGGGTGGATACGTACGTTGATTTCCTCACATCAACAGCATGTGAAACATAGGCTGACTTTATACGTTGATATTAGGTGCTGCATTGACAAGACATCAAGTGCAGAGCTCCAAGAAGCCATCAACTCCATGTATCGATGGTACAGAGACGCCGAAGTTTGCATCGTCTATCTGGGTGACATCCCCAAACCACGCTCAGGTAATTATACGACTGCCTCCGAGATCGCAAGAGCATCTCTCAAAGGTTGCCGATGGGCACGTCGTGGTTGGACTTTACAGGAGCTGATAGCACCAATTGTATGTCGCTTCTACTTCCAGGATTGGACCTTGATGGGCGAAAAAGTTGAATTTTTGGAAGAGTTATCCGACGCCACAGGTATTCCAGTTCGTGTGCTTGATGACAGAAATTTACTTAGCGAAGTCTCAATCGCGGAGAGAATGTCATGGGCGGCACATCGGCAAAGCACACGTATAGAGGATGTAGCATATGTGAGTGTCTCTATGCAAAGTGCAAGTTAGACACGCACTGATTTTGTATACGAATATCTAGTGTTTGTTGGGCATCTTCGACATTCATATGCCATTGCTTTATGGAGAGGGTAGTAAGGCTTTCATTCGCTTACAAGAAGAGATACTAAGGACTACTGACGACTACTCTTTATTTGCCTGGTGCGCAACGACATCCGAGCATTCAACGTACCGAGGATTACTTGCGCGCCATCCTGAGGAATTCCAGCACTGCCGTTCTGTAGAGCACGAGAATGTCGTCTCTACATTCCCCATTGGGTTCATGCCAATCGGGTTACGTGTGCAGTTCGAATTTTTACCTGATCAAGACAAGAGCCGTGTGCTAGCCATGATTCGCTCAAGCAACCAGCTGAACCAGCGCCTAGCTATCACACTAAAGTGCTTAGATGGAGGGATGCAATACGCACGCGTCGATGCTGGTGCTCTAGTTCCCATCGATGACTGGCCTACTGGAAAACTTCATACCATCTACGTACGACAGAAACCTTCTATACCACCTGACTTCACGACCACTGAGTTCAAGAGCTTCCATATTCGTCGTCGAGTTTCTAACCAGGCCACACCTAATGTTCGTATAATCAGCGTTACACCTCGAAATGCCTGGGATGAAACCACCCACGAGCTACGTATACCAGATCATGTCACAGAATTCTGGGGCGCTGTAATGCTGCGCGTCCAATCAGCAGCATATGCGCACTCCTTGAGCTTTCCAGTAGCATTTGGCTTCAACCGATCGACGTGTCACTACTGGTGTAAAGCGATTCCCAACTTTACCCCACCACAGGATGGTCAGACCAGTGGTACCTGGCCCCAAGCCGTGAAGAGAAGAATACCAGACGAGGTGTACGACCCACTAAGAGGGACTGATGTAAGGAATGATATGTTCTTAGTTGGAGATAGCATGCTAGGTATCAACGTCAGCATCGTGGCGGGATTGTGTGGGGACAGCATCGCATTGCAGGTACTCATCGATGGACTAGTTAGATGGGCATGAAACAATAGTTTCTTGATGCTGCTCATGTGTCAAAGGGTTTCAATATGTCAGGTTGTAATTGAAAGACAACGACGTTCTGCAAATCTGCTGTTCTCACCGACCCGCTAAACCAATCGGAGAAAGGACGAGTCGCCTTACTCTCACACCACCACGCACGATGTCCGAGAACACACCACTTTTTTTAATCTTTGAACATGCAATCTAATAAGTACATTAGAACGATGGAATCGCACTGGATAGTAAGATACTGGTGGCTGTCACAATGCCCAGCGTTACCACCATCACTTTCTTCTTACTCCTAACCCTTGCCATATCCATTCAGTTCTTTATCTCTTCGCCCATGACTAGTTCCGCTAACATATCGTGGGCCGAGGGTCCTTGTAAGCTAATCGCAACGCCGCAGTTTGGGACGAACAAGGTATTTCGCGCGTAGCATTCTCACTGGAACATGCTAATTTAATACTCAGGACGGCATCTTTACAACCGGAGCAACGCACATGGCACACATCCACAACGCCATACTGCGAGGGTACAACACTATATATCTGCAAGCTCCTCATGTTCGAGAAGTAGATAAAACAGCGTTCGTCGGGTACGCACAAACATGGTATCGCTTCATCAAGAGCCACCACGACGATGAGGAAGCGGAGTTGTTCCCCAAGGTAGAAGACATGTTAAGATCCAAAGATATCTGGAAAGAGACACATGAAGAACACGGTAATAACACCTTCTTCTTCTTCTTTCAGTTGCTATGGGGTCAACATCTAACATAAGACCGACGTAGAATCTTTTCTTAGCGGCCTAGCAAGCTACAACACCTACCTGAATTCCCTCTCTTCCCCGCAGTATTTCAACGGAAAAGAGCTTGTAAGCATTATGGACTCGTTTCAAACCGCCTTCATGCATCACTTCCACCACGAGATCAGCACAATAGCTGCTTTCGCAGACCACCCCTCCGCTCCAGCACCAAACACCCCAGAAGCAGAACTCGCCGCGACTGTTTTCAAAGCATGGGGTAAGAAGACTGTTACTAAAGCAGGAACTTTTGATGTCGTACCATTCTTCCTAATGAACCTGGATGCTACATTTGAGGACGGCAGATGGGCAAACTGGCCTCCGATGCCGGCGCCGGTGAGATGGGGGCTGGTCAATGTAGCCGGTAGTGTCCACTGGACGTGGTGGAAATTCTCTAGTTGTGATGGTGGAGGAAGGCCAAAGGAGTTGTATGCGTTAGAGCGGGAAGATGAGGAGTGAATTTATTGGCTTTCATGGCTCTGCAAGGATACGAACACGTTCAATAATGCAATCGAAAGATCGATAGTAAGTCCCTGAAGTGTTTGCTGAAGTTTCGAATCCCACGTTGTTCAGCTAGGATGCCATGAATTCTGGCAAGCTGCGTTGAGAGTTGTGGTATTCGAGTTCAGTATTGTCTAAGGTTTATTTTTAACACCAAGGCTGTATTATGCTCTTCCAACCTTGAAGCTCAAAATCTACCCATTGTTAGCCAGATATTCACTTTCACTTTCAGCATGTACTCACATCGTTCTTTCCTACAGCAACAACATCGTCTTCTGCAACTCTTCTCCCGCCCTCGGTTTCCACATATGCCATGGGTGCATCACCCATGACCTTCCGGTACACATCACCCACCGTGCTTCCCTTCTTAACAAGTACACAATCCCTGAATACAGCCGTTGAGCTCGCACTTCCGCTAGTATACGTATGTATATTCCGAACTGGGAAGACTGGAACTAGACCAAGGAGTTCAGCTGCCCGAGACAGGACTTGTACGACGCCTGTACTACCGAATCGGTAAAGAACCATATCTTTCAGGTTCTCAATACGTGTCGTGAGCTTCTCGTCCAGCTCTTTCAGTCCGCCTCCATCAGGGTCGCCCTGCTCGATCAAGTCTTCTCTTGTGTCGACGAACTCACTGCCTTCTGTGTATTTGATAAAGCCTTGTTTTGCCAGCTTCCTTAGGAATACTTCGGATATGGCACTGCACAGCACTATACTCTTCGGGTCTGCGGTTTTCGCAATCTTGGCTATGTTCTTGTCGGCATCGGGATGATCAATCTTGTTGAGGGCGATAACGGTAGGAAATTTCTCGTCGGTGAAGGCGTTTACCACTCGTTCGATGGTCTCGTCAGACCAGTCTTGTAGTGGTTCCTTGAGGGCAAGACGATCGAGGCAGCGCGCGACGACACTGGACGTTGACCCGTACCCCGAGAATTGGTTCTGTAGTGTCTCGACCGCCGTAGCTTTGATAGCGACATGCCTCCTCTTGATGCTGCCCCACTTCTCCATGAGGTTGCCTTGTATCCATCTCACAATCTCACTCCTCAGCCAAACAATATCCTGACTTGGATCGTAGCCTCTTGTCGCCTTGCCCTCTGCGTCGGTTGTCCCGCTTACATCAACTACGTGTACCAGCGCATCTGCGTGTCGCAAGTCGTCCAAAAACCTGTTCCCGAGACCTTTTCCCATATGTGCGCCTGGAACAAGACCGGCGACATCAAGAAGTTCTATAGGGACGGATCGCCGTCCTTGGACGCAGCCACCATAGTTGGGCTTGCAGCGGTCGGCAAGGTTGAGGCGCGCGCAGGGGCATTCGATTTGGAGGTAGCCAATGGCGCGCTGGGGATCGATAGTCGTGAATCTGGACACGTCGGGTTAGGAGCTGACGGTACGATGATTGCGATAGGAGCGGTAGAATAGTAAAGCGGTACGCGCTGCGCCGTCGCATGCAGCCGGTTGGAGAGGGACGACTTACGGAAAGTTACCTACTTATCATCAGCCTATACAGCTTCCAATATGTTCATACGTGTACGGACCGACTTTGGAGGTAGCATCTGTCAAACTGCCATGGAACACATCTCAGAAAGATTCACCAAGGAGGAGGAGGGATGGCGGGGCACTGCGCACCTGTTTAGAGTTGTCGACTTGCCGGACGACGGCTTGCCCACGAGGCCGATCAGCGGGTCGCGAGGCATTTTCAATCAAAGCAAGGAAAGAAGGACTGGGTATCAAACAAGTATTGTCGCGTGGTGAGGGCTGTGGTGCAGGAGTCGCAACCAACAGTCAAATTCGCGACAGTTCTTATCGATAACGCACTGACATCACCAGGAGTCAGCGACTTAGTGCAAACAAACAGTACATGCATTCCGCCAAGGACAGGCGACTCGTAAATCTCAAATCGCGGAACCCCATTCATCGCATTACAAATTCTAGAAGAACATGTCTATCTTGTTACAACGCCCTAGAATGCTGTTCATATCAAGATTTCACTGTCCTCCCCACTATCCAAGAAACCCACCAATACACCTGATGAAAATAATGCTCCAACTAGAGACTTTTTCGGGGTATAAACGTCGCTGAATGGGAAAACATAACATCCGCAACCATATCTGCACAAAAGTCCCTAACAACCTAACCCCAAGCTGCCAGCAGGCTAACACCCCATTATTATATAGTAAGAAACCTCATGAGATGCCCAAGTAATCGTTAATCTATATTGAGAATATCTCCCGGTTTCGTAAATTTATGTGTGCGTTTTCTACAACATTGTTAGCAGCTTGTCGGCCTCAAGCTAGGCGTCAAGTTTGCGACTTACGAGACTGGCAATGGCCGCAGCCGAAGCGAGGTCTGGCTTGCCTGACACACTTCGCTGCGCTGCGCGTGGCAGGCCACTCCCACTTGTGGCATTGAGTGGGGCTCCATTTGCGGCACGCTTAGTACCCGCTGCTCCAGGTGCAAGTCCTTGCACCGTTGAATGACGCCTCGCGGGAGCAGAAGTCTTTACAGGGGAGGTGCCGCTCGACACCTGGCGTTGACCGCTGGCTGCGGTCCCACGACTGAAACTAGACACTGGAGGCTCTGGAAGAGGTCGGACGCGTGGCTGCGCCGATTGTGGAGGCGGCATTCGCTTTGCAGGCGAAGAAACGCCAGAGGGGCCGTTGAAAGGTCGTCGTTGTTGTTGACTGGTTTTGCGAACGCCAGTGATGAACTCATGCTGCATGGCTTCATCGGGCTTCATTCTGCGTTCGGGATCCCATCGTAGACAGCGCGTGATGAAGTCGAGGAAAGCCTCGTCATCACACTTCAAAGCTTGCTGTAGTGTCTTCGAGCTGGGCCTTCGCCTGCGACCTTTTGACGAGACGGTAACTCTGGGCTTACCGAGCGAATCAAAGAACAATTTCTTCCTGCTACTCTTCTCGATAAGATGCTTCTCCGGGGGTCCAAATATCTCCATGATGCAAGCAAGCTGCTCTTGTTCATTCTCTCCAGGAAAGATAGGGTAGCCAGTTAGTAGTTCGGCAAGAATACAACCCAGACTCCACATGTCAATCGGCAATCCGTAGCTCATACCAAGGATGACCTCGGGCGAACGGTAGAATCGCGACTGGATATACGTGTAAACCTTCTCGGTCTCGAAGCAACTTGATCCAAAATCGATGACCTTGATTTCCGAGTGCAGCGGGTGCGCAAGCAGAATATTCTCCGGCTTCAGATCGCAGTGAATGACCTTCTGGGTCTTCAGAAGAGTCAATGAAGCCAACATCTGTTTGCAGAACCGGCGGATCAGACGGAGAGAGAAGCCCTTAAATTCGTGTGCCTTGATGAACTCGTACAGGTTCATACCGAGAAGCTCAGTAGAGATGCAAAGATGGCCGCGGAAGTAGAAGCTCTGGGTGAAGTTGATCATACTGTGCTTGTTGTCGGGATCCTGATGTTTGTCAGCAAGTTGTCCCTGTCAAATGGTTCAAGTTTACTTACCCATTCACGCAACTTCTGGAGAATGTTGACTTCGACCAGAGCTTGCTGATGGAACCTCTTCTTGTTACGAATGATCTTGATCGCTTCGAGTCCTCCCGTCTTATGGTCTACGCAGCGCACGACCTGTCCGAAACTACCCTTTCCGAGCACATCAACGACTTCGTATCTGTAGGCAAGATGGTCTCCAAGGACAATGTTGTAATCGCCACGTTCGTCGTCGTAGCCAAAGTTCGCTGTCTGCGCATTAAGGTCGCCGACGTGCTTCTTGGCATTCTTCGTTCCACAGAAGTACACTTCTTTGTAGTCGATAATCTCCCCCCTCTCGAATATGTTCAGGTTGGCCATACGTACAGCATCACTTGGAGTGACACGCTCCTTGGCCGTGGCGCGCTTGCGAAGCTCATCAACATCCCTCGCCGCATGCTCAAAATCTTTCCGCTTCGAAGCAAGCTTCTTCATCTCCTCGTCGGCTAATAGATCATCCCGATCTAGATTGGGGTCGAGATTACGAGCTTTGAGCATGTTTGACGAGCTCTTCGTACCCAACATCCGCTGCATCGGTGTCAAAATGGACGTGGACTTTTGTGTCACCTGGCTGGTAGCCTGGTCTGTGTGCCCCGACACAGCACGTATTCCACCGCCTCCCACGGGTTTACGAGCACCTGACTTCTCAGCCTCGGTGTCACTTGCGACAGCTGCTGTAGAAGTCTTGCGACGTCCAAAGTCGAGGGATGGTCGGGTTCCACTTTTAGCGGGAGGAGGAGTTGTACCAGTAGCGCCGCTCCAAGTAGCAGACGCAGGTAATCGAGGTGGCGGCATCTCGCTGTGCTTAGGTGGTTGAGGCTGCTGTCTTTGTTCGTCCGTCTTAGTGCCCGGTTTTCGGACCTGTGGATTCTGCGACTGATGTGTCGCAGCTTTTGACGAAGCTCTCCTCCAGCCGCTAAGGCTAAGCTTTCGGCGCAAGGATGAACCAGAAGAAGGCGTTTCTGGCTCTGTCGACTCAGAAGTCTGGATCGAATCCGATGTGTTTTTCTTCTGTAATGGCCGCGGTCCAGCAACCATGCTCTGCATCTCCACATCCTTGGCGGATGACTTGTATTCGCCGCTGGGTCGTGGCTGCAAGCGAGCGAACTCTCCGCTTCCCTTTGGTAATGAATTCGACGAGAAAGGTGTGGTGGCTTGGCGTGTCGGGTTCAGGGTCGGAATGGGTATCGTACCGATATTCGGGTGTGTATCAAGCGACGAGTCTGCTGCACGCAAGTTGAATGCTGAACTGCTGCTACGTAAGTGTTTGTGGTATTCATCATGATGGTTGTTCCTTGAGAAGAAGTTCGCCTTGGACGCTGTCATGGGCGTACTAGGCGTTTTGTTGGCAGCACGTTTAGGTGGCGGTGTGACATTACGCTCATCTACTTCGTCAGAAGGCGCAGGGAAAGATGATATCCGGTTGTTGAATGGTGTACCAAGTGGTAGCAGGTTCAGCGGTGGTAGTCTGATTGGCTGCAGATTCTTTTTGCTGGACTGCTGTACCGTGGTGGGCGTCCTCTCAGTTTCCGAACCAGCTCCGACGGTTAACCCTCTTCGATGTCTGATGGACCCTGTACTCCTGTTCAAAACGCCACCGTCCTGGGTCTCAATAGGCCGAGGTTCAACTCGTTGTGCATCGGGTGTCGAGACAGCCTCTTGAGATGCTGGAGGCGCGTTCATCTTCGAGTTTGGTGTATTGAATGCAAAACTGCTGCGCTCAGGGTCCTTGGGAGACTCATATGCTTTTGGTATAGCCGGTACTGGAGGAACTTCTTCTTGTTCTCCACCAGCTGAGCTTTGCACGTTTCGTGGCTTTGGCGCAGGCAAACGCGAGCTTGTCGGAGCAGGATTTGTACGCAACGGTATGGACGAAGGACCGACCTTTAGCGAGTTCAAGCTCGAGTTTGAGGAAAGCGAGATGCCAGAGGCATAAGACTTGCGCTTCTGCTCGGGTGTCGCACGTGCCGAAGAGGGCGTCATGCTCCCTCCCACGGCCAAGGCTGGAGACTGGCTAAAGGCACGCTCGTCGAATGTCTGGTCGCCTTGAGGTGTAGGAGGGCCCACCGGGCCGTTTGGCGGGTGGTTAGGGTTCATGGACAGCCTCCTCAGCCTCCGAGCGTCTGTGGGGCTAATAGTTCGCGCTCCGAGCCCAGATATGTGCGGTGCGGTTGACTGTCGCTTGCTCGACGAGGACGAAGGTGTGTATGATCGTTGCGCCGCGGGAGATCTGCCAGGTGAGCGGGAATGGTCCAAGGGCATGGAACTCGGATCGGGGCTGATAGAGACAGTCAGGTGGCCCGGTTGCTGTCTCGAGGGCGGCTGTAGGGACTTTGCTTTCGCATTGCGTGCGGCAGTTGGAAGCTTGGGTACCCCGGTGGTTGTAGTGTTGAGGTTCGTAGAGAGTGGCTCCCGCCTGTTTCCCTTGTTCAGTGAAGGGGCGCGGCCGAGCGTAGGCATCGTGTTGTCATTCGCGAGTCTGTCCATTTCAAAGCTATTCGTTGGCAGCATTCCAGGGCCAACGCTCTTTCTCGGGGCTCGGGCGGCCGGGTTCGAGGGTGCCTGGGCAGGGAAGTGACTTTGGCGGCGTGATCGGATGGCCATGTTGGTGGGCGGCGGAGGCATCGCAGACGGGTCAGAGCCGGATGCGGTGGAAGCACCACTCGGCTTCCTCGCAGTGGACTGGCTGAAGCGGCGAACGAAAGAGCTGCTACGTGCAGGGCGGGTATCGGTGGGGGCTCCCGTAAACGGCTGCATGTTGTTGCTATTGCTATTGTTATTGCTGTTATTAGGGGTGGTGCTGTCGGCAGGCACGTTGGTCTTGAACGTGCCGGGGGCAGGAAAGTCGCTTAGCGCGGGCTCGTAGGAGAGGCTGTTGGCAAAGTCATCGAAGTTGACGGCGGGCAGGAAGTCATATGAGCCAGTGTTCTCGTTGGACTCTCCCTTTGCCGGGCTGCTGATCTGCGGTTGCTTGGTGAAGCTGAAGCGTGGGTTCGAAGGGACGGGGCGCGTGGCCGTCGTCTCGTTGGCGGGCGTGGGGAGGAAGGAGCGTGTCTCAAGAGAGGCAACGCTGGCGCCGCTTGCCATTCTGCTGCTTCACGCGTCAGCTGATCTGTCGTGCAGTTACCTACGTAGGCCCGGGAGGCTGCGGCGTCGTACCTCTGCTTGTTGAAGTCCTGGGGCCGCTCGCGGGGGCCCAACGGCACCTTGGCCCTGCCTCGTCCTGCGGCGTTGTTGTTGATGGTCGGCAGCGGTCGTGCTGCGCTTATAGCATTGGATGCGCTTGTCTTGCGCAGGCGGCTGCCCTGGTCGCCCGTCTTCTGGAACTTGCGTACGCGGTCTTCTGATGAGGCAGGGTTAGCTCCGTTCGATACGACGTCGCATTACGCGACTGCCCCCATATGCTTTTTCGTACCTGAGGAGCCACTAGAATCCTCGGACATGTTGGACCCTGACCGTTCGGGCACGTTGGTCGATTCCATGGTCCGAGTTGTCGTTCGCGGCTGCGTCGACATGGTCCGCAGATGTCAGCTCCACAGCTGGTCGTCACGACACAGGCAATTGGAGCTCTGCTGTCACGAGATGCTTCAAAGAAAGAAAAAAGTCTTCCTCTTTCAAAGAACGCCGAGAGGGTCTCCAAGCGTCGAGCTTGGGCACCGAGGGAGACCTATGCCGACATGTCGAACGGACCCGGCTACAGCGGTGAAAGCGATCGGCGGTCGGTAATGAGTCGAGCGAACGGCTATCGGAATTATTCAGGGTTGGGCAATGTTGCAGCGCAAAAAGCACGGCGCGGTGTTGCTGCAAAGGGGGCGAGGTGGTCGCTGCTGCGGTAGTCGACGTTCGTCAAAGTTACAATGAGGGTCGGCAGCCCGCAAAAGCCACAACTAGGCACTAAGGTTGTCTAGTTGACAGGCCCCCTGTCCATATCTGCCCGTTGCGGCGAATAGGATATTATCAAAACAACTCTCCTCTCCCAGGAAACGGACGCATCGTCCAACGGCCTTACTGTCTCGCTGTCAAGTCAGTCAAGCTGCCACGCTCCGGTGCGGAGTAGTTGTCTCAAGCAGTGCGACCATCACCTGCCAACGACGACTGCACCACCCAAACCACCCCTAGTCCGACTGCACATGGCACGGCTTTCAGCATGTGCATGATTGAACCCTCTGTTGTGCATGCTATAGATCATGTCCATGTATCGTACATACGACCCCGAAACATGACAGCGGGAATTCCGCAGCTGCTCCACAGTCTTAATCTCCATCTCACCACTAATCTGAAGCGGAGGCCGTACAGTACCACAGGGGTCACCGACATCCTCTAAATACATCGAAGCCTAAAGGTTGTCTGTCCCTGATCACCAGGATTGCGCACCACCACCACCAGCCCAAGGGTGCACGGACGCATGTGGGGAAAACGTCGGAACGAACAACGTGCCACGGCACAAGCTCAGCGCCACGCCCAGTTCGCATGCATGTGCGTCATCCGCTTGCTGCATCAAACACCACGCCTGTTTCTGCATCTTCCACATCGAACCGTGAGAGTAAGCTGTTGAGATATCGCCATCGAAAGAGCTAGGATAGAACACTATCTTGGTGTCGCCTGGGCAGCTGCTGAACGTTTATACGGATCGAGAAGTCGCGACTCAGCCACATGTGACACGCCTGCCTCCAACAATACGCAACAGCAGCGTGACTCCCTTATCAATCACACTTCGATACCTACGGCCTCGTTCTTGACTCAAATTCATCTAGTCTTGTCCTTATCAATAGATCAATAGAAACACACAGTGGGTCCCACTATGGGCTCTGACAATGCAGAGTCATTGGCGAACCGCGACACACCCATCCCAGTGGTCCAGGTACATCATGCGTCAAACGATGGCACTCCCACTACGGAGAGACCGCATTCACATTCGCGCCGTCTGTCGGCTAGCAAACTCAAAGACAAGCTGGAATCTTTGGGCGACAACATAAGTCGGGAGTCGAGTAGCAGGGTAGGAGATAAGATGATGAACATGTGAGTACAGTCTGCAAGGCAAAGGTTTTCATATCTTGTTGTATATCGAAGATATTGTTTCCTCGAGCAAACGAATTATGGTGTTGTCGCGAGGAATAATCCTAGACCAGACAATACGTTGTTGATGGAGCTAATGCTTACAGGCTGCTCGCACAAGTCCTCCCCTCAGAAGACCTCTCCGACAGCTCGCCTCCAGACTCATCAACACCAAGTGGCAATGCACCACATGTCAAGGATCGGCGCTCTCGAAGCTATGTCGCTCGCCCCAATTTCAGTATCCCTACCATGTCTTCCAACTTTCGTCGCTTCAACTCGCGCATCGGTGTTGCCTTCATTCTTCAGAATCGACTCATTCGTTTGTTCACCTGGGTACAGCCCACACAAACCCTCTCGTTCCTGTTGGTCTGGACATTCGTCTGTGTTGATCCATATCTTCTACCCGTACTCCCGCTGGCGTGTGGCATGTTTTTCATAATGGTACCTGCGTATCTGACTCGGCATCCAGAGCCTATGGCAAACGCAGTGGATATCGATGGCGATCTTTGGAGGGGGAGCTTAGGAGGACCACCGCTAGCAGACGCAAAGACAATCAAGCCTGCGCCCGAGTTCAGCAAGGACTTCTTCCGCAACATGCGCGATCTGCAGAATTGCATGGAGGACTTCAGCCGCGGCCACGACGCTGTACTGAGCTTCATCACTCCACTTACTAACTTCAGTAACGAGAACCTCTCATCGATGCTCTATCTCATCTTACTTGTCGTATCGGTTTTGTTGTTCATATCAGCGCATCTACTACCATGGCGTGCGATATTCCTCGTTATCGGATACACTTTAACGGCGTTGGGCCACCCTAACGTTCAGGATCTCCTTACAACGCCCGAAAGCGAAAAGTTCATCTCCGATGCAGAACACGAAAGCCGTTCTTTTCTCCTCACCATCTCGCGCGCAGACATAGAACTGGAGACATCGCCAGAGACCCGCGAAGTCGAGATTTTTGAACTACAGCACCGCGCACTGCACGACGAGCATGGCGAGTACGAGGGTTTCATGTTTTCACCATCGCCTTACTCCCCTTTATCGCCTTCTAGGATCAGCGGCGACAGACCCCGTGGCACACCGTTTTTCGAAGACGTGCTCCCACCTCGCGGCTGGCGCTGGAGCGACAAGAAATGGACACTAGATCTCTTGTCCCGTGAATGGGTCGAAGATCGCTGTGTCACAGGTGTGGAAGTTGAGGTCGAGGGTGAGCGATGGGTCACGGATTTGCACTACGAGGTCCTAGAGAGTGATGGAGAGAAAGCCAACGCAGCGAAGGCAAAGTTAAAGAAGCGGACCGGATCAAAGGGAGGTAGCAAGGATATTGGCGATCAAGAGAAAGAAGTTCTGCGTCGGGCATGGGAGAGCCATGCGCCAAGTCGCAAGGGCGAATGGAGGAGGCGGAGATGGGTGCGGGGTGTGGAGAGGATGCCTTGGAGAGAGGGTCAGTAGTGTTGGGTTGTCGCGAGAAATGGACATAGATGTTGTAGTTCTCGCTCGCAACACTAGACTTTTCCATCCTACTTCGCCGCTTTCACCGATGTGGTGCCGTTCGCGTCTCGGATTCCATCACCACTTTCGCACTCCAACTCGGAACTATAACAAACACAGTTGCTCCTATCGTTGCGATCTGAGCCGCACTGTTCAGGCTGATGGGAACTTTACTGTATGTACAGACAGCCCAGTGGCTAACATGTGGTTCCTGATCTGCGACCTTAGCTTGCTGCCGCTGCAGTAGCGTCGGAGTACAGGAACGGGATTTTGCGGGGAGGTATACTGTGCTGGCGAGGCTAGATAGGCTGTGCGTAGCCTTGTGCGAAGATTCAGTCCTGGCGTCGTGATCTCATCACAAGAGGCGAAAACCATCATCGAGCATTCGCGTTGCTGGTCTCAGCCATCATTTGCGGACTTAACAGCTTAACCCACGTTTCCTCCAACGGCCGATTCACCGACTTCGGCAGCCAGCCGTTTGCATGCAGGGTACCTACGCTAGTGTGGAGAGAGGGTTAGCAGCCCGTCGGCCAGCCGCGCTACCTCCGCCTGTAGTGGAATCATCGAATCTGAGAGTAAATTGATTGCTAATGTGACCCAAGGTGACGCCCACGAAACCGATTGCGCGGACAGCTCGGAACGAAGATTTCTCTTAGGCAATTACTGAGCATTGCGCGTTTCGGCCTGCCTCTTTGACATAATCCACCAAGGTTCGCAGCCGCGGCCGGAAGGCAAATATAATGCTGCTGCTCCTCTCACACTGTTTCTCTGACTACTTTACTACTGTTCGTGTTCCAGTTGCAGCTCAGTCGAGTCAGCTGTTTTCTACTATTCTTTGGGCCTAACCCCTCCTTCAAACTCGGACCCAACTCATCTGGTGCTTAGGTCCCGCCTCCGAGACAGCCTACCCGACAAGCCTAGGTTCCTTTCGCCCACACGCAAGCACCACATAATTAGGTTATACCTGCTTCAACCTCCACCGATTGTGCCTTTAAAGATCCGGCAACCCCTCCATCAATTCTGGGGAAATTTTTGGGTGGCAACAACCTCGACGGCCGTTGGTCAAGGCACATTCACCCTTCGGCTCCGATTGCATCACGCGACATTTCTTGCGCACCAAATTTCGAAAGCTAAAGGCTACTGGTCAACAACCACCTTGGACACCACTTTAACGTCACCTTTCTAACAAAAACACCATCAATTTTCTTCGCTGTCAACCATCACAATGCTTCCCGCTCTACCTCGGTTGGGCGATTATGACATATCAGCTCGGAACGGCTTCTTGCCTGATGAGATACCCATCGATGTTCTACCAGATCGCTACTACCAGCCATGGGAGACAATTGTACGCAACTTCCAGAGTCTGATCCTGGCCAAGCGGCTACGTCGAATAGTAGATGCACTTCCAGTACTTGAGACCGACCTCCTTCTCACGAAAGCCGAGTGGCAGCGAGCCTATTCCATCTTGGGATTCATTGCCCATGGGTATGTCTGGGGCGGTGACAAGCCCGCCGATGTAAGTCTTGATAGTCTGCATACATAGGTGTATCGCGTTGCTAACGATTCTGTGCAGATTGTCCCGCCCTCTATCTCGATACCTTTCATGGAAACGTGCAGACACCTGGAACTGCCACCGGTGGCAACCTTTGCAGGGGTGTGCCTGTGGAATTGGCGACCTATGTTCGATGGCGAGCCTACGGATACACTGGACAACCTTGCAACGCACATGACCTTCACTGGCTCAATGGACGAATCATGGTTTTACCTGGTATCTGTAGCGATAGAAGCGAGAGCTGGACCAGTTATTCCGATGATGATCGAAGCTATCGCAGCAGCTAGACGTGGCGACAGCAACACAGTCGTGCACTGTTTACGATCCTTTGCGGAGCGACTTGACGAGATAGGTGCTCTTTTGGAGCGCATGTACGAGAGCTGCGACCCACACGTCTTCTACCACCGCATCCGACCATTCCTAGCTGGAAGTAAAAACATGGCAGACGCGGGCCTTCCAAATGGAGTCATGTTTGATGATGGCACTGGTCAACAGCCATATGTGCAATTCAGTGGTGGCAGCAACGCTCAGAGCTCGACCATTCAGTTCTTCGACATCGTCCTAGGGGTTGAGCATAGACCTACTGGTGAGAAGCGGACTAACCTAGAAAACCCTGCTTCATCTGGACCTTCGCATGGTTTCATCCAGGATATGCGGAACTATATGCCTGGACCTCACCGTAGGTTCCTGGAGCATATGGAGAGCATTGCAAACATCCGGGAATACGTTACAGTAAATCGCAAGGATCGGGCCCTTACCACTGCCTACGATGCATGCCTGGCCATGCTGCGAAGCCTGCGGGATAAGCACATCCAACTCGTCTCGCGGTACATCATCATCAAGTCGCGTGAGACACAGTCGCACGCCCGATCGGTGTCGCCCAAGCAAGCAAACAACCAGCGCGTCAACCTCGCCAACACTATGGCCCGTACAGGAAGCAAAAAGCTCCGTGGTACGGGAGGTACAGCTTTAATTCCATTCCTGAAGCAAGCGCGGGATGAGACGGGCGAGCCGGCAATCGATGCGTGGGCAAAGCGATTACTCAACAACGGGCCAGCAGAGATTGGTGCGTCCTTTGGTGTTGACGATGGCGTTGCGCGGCTAGGCAAGATTGCAGAGGGTTTCAATGGGCAAGTTGAGATTGTTGGTCTGGCTGGTACTTGGAGTGTTGATGATAGCGAGGGAGGTATCTGTCATTGGTGATGGATGAGAAAACCCTCAAAACTCAAAAACGATTGTTTTCTGGCGTTTGGATCTGGAGCAACATACCCATCTCGACACATTAGTGTAGGTCAATAGATTTTCATAGAGTAGCAGTTTGCTCTCTACCCACCCTGCGCTGGTTAACATCCATGGAATACCGGCGTCTGCTCGGTGAATCTCTACATTGCATCATAGTACATGTCGAAAGATCAGTTGATCCCTAAAGCGATGTCATCTAGACCCACGAGCATTATGAAACAGACCACGAGTGTTGCACATGTCGCGTTTCCAAACGCCACTTTCGTCAGATCTCCCGCGCAGGGCAAAGTTGCGCGTTGCGGGAGCCCAACGCGTGGGGCGTGACGTCATACTTCACATGCTCCACCACCTTGCCAAACAAACAGAGGGATATATATAATCCCACTGCGACGACGACTCAAGGGTCAATACAACTACAGCTCTCTCAAATACACTCGAGATCCTCAATCCACACCAAAACACAACTACACAACTATGTCTTCAAACAAGGACCATACCTCGACTCCTCAGTCCTACTTGGACCAAGCCACAGGCGCTGTCCAGAGCGCCATCGGCTCTCTGACGGGTAACACCGCCGACAAGGTTAGTCTCTTTGTTTCCTCCCCTTTGAACTTCTGTACTGACTTCCACCAGGCTCAAGGCGAGAACCGCAAAGACACTGCGGCCGCCGAACATGATCTCTCTCACTCAGCCGCCAAAGCCGGTCCCTTCTCCGTAACTCCCTCAGGCGGCGTCGCAAAGGACAACTCGGATCGCACCGAAGGCTCATGGAACCAAAACATGGGCGCCGCCAAAGAAGCGCTCGGCGGTCTTGTCGGTGCCGAGGGCCTCAAGCAGCAGGGTATTCAGCAGAACAAGGAGGGCAAGGAGCAAGAAGCTGCTGGACAGGTCAACGACCTCGGCAAGGGCATCGGAGATAGGCTTGGTGGTACGGTTGGTGGTGCTGTTGCAGGTTTGACCGGCAATGCAGCGCAAAAGGAAGAGGCGCAACGGCAGCACGATGAGGGAAAGGCGAGGCAGAGGGGTGTCGAAGCAGACTTGCAAAAGCAGGCTGAGGCCGAGAGGCGTTAAGCTGTGGTGGTAGTATAAAGGTCCCCCTTTGTGAGGACGGTCACGTTTGATGGCATTTTGGATTGATACCCGATGAATGATATCCCATGTTCTTTTGACATCTGTCCTTCGCTTTGTGCATGCGTAAATGTGCGTTGATATCCTGGTTGATCTTGATGTTATCGTAAACATGTGAAAGTGAAGGCATCTGTCTGAGCTCTGTGAGATTAAAGCATAGGTCGCGCAGTCGCAAATGTAGTGCGCATATACTGCAACAATGCATACAGGATATAGCTCACGCTCTAAGAAAGATATGGCAGAGGCTTTGACTCATTACACGTACCAAAGAGATAGTTTTTGTTATATATGACCCTGATGGTAACAGTCGTGTTCTGTGTCAAGTCTCAACAGATGAAGGCAACGTTCTCTGCCTAGGGAAGATTGACTGCGGTATCTAGCAGCCGTAGTGTGACGTTGATGCAGATCTCTAGTGTTTTGTGCACAGTATCGCGATTGCTCGATGGGCAAAGCAATTTCGATCGATTCCGGCCGCACACCGGCATATTCCTCGAGGTGCACAGCTGGCACAATGCCAAGCTAACCGGCGATCTATCCGTGCAGGACTTTGAGCGACTCATCGCTAGGGGCTTTGCGAAAGAAAACTGCGGAGATGCGTCGCTTGACGCCAACCCACCAGGGGTGCAAGCAGGCGCGGCCAAGGTGGAACGAAAGCTCCAGTCGGTTGACCTGCTCCCCAGATTTTAGCCACTTCTAGCTATGAATAGAAGCCGACGCCACATGTTGAGGCTTTGCATCATGGTTAGCGGCGGTTGATGTGACGTGAGGTGATGGGCAGTGGATCGACGGCACATGGTCGTCGAGCTTGCGCAGCTCTTGTGGCTGGTGAACAGTCCAGGCCTTTAGCCAAGCGCTTCTTTGGCCGTCCAAAGAGATGGACGTTTAGCAGACAAGGCATCGGAAACACGTCCGCAAGTGAATGCAGGCTAGACCAAGTATCTTGATGCGCTTCTCCATAGCCTCAGAACGTGGCATGCGTCACAAAGATGGCTTGACATGCAATTTCCACCTGGAAGCGCTGCTTGGAAGTTTGACTGCGCAACTTGCTTTGTGAATCGGAACACTCGGCGCATTCAAACTACGTATGACGCCACACGGGGTGTGGCAGTTAAACCGGCGGCGGGTACGCGGCTTATCCTTGCCAAATTCCACCGGCTACGTCACTCTTATGGTCATCAGCTGCCTGCGTCACAACCATAAATACTAACCTGGCTCCCGCTGTTTGGCACAACTCATCACACCATCAATCCACTCTACAAACACTTCTCCAGTACCAGAGAACTTCTCTCCCACACAAAAACAACCCACCCAACATGCCTTTCACCGCCAGGTATGTCAGCTCCAGCAACTTCCGCAGCGCAAGACGTCGATGCTAACCATCTACAGCGACATCTGCAAGATCCTCCTTGCCATCATCCTGCCTCCTCTAGGTGTTTTCCTCGAGCGCGGATGCAACGCTGATTTCCTCATCAACATCCTGTTGACCGTCCTCGGTTACATTCCGGTGAGTTCCGGGCTGCGCACCCACCATCCATCAATAGCATACTAATGATCATGACAGGGTATCATCCACGCCCTGTACATTATATTCAAGTTTTAGCGGGGGCGCGCAAACACCTTTCACGATGCCGCAATAGCGGCTTGACGAACAAAGTCACATCACGATACCCATCTTCATCTTTTTCAGCCAACGTCAACACTTCACCGACATTCGACTCTCGCCGACATCTATCGATATCTGCGATGCTAGGTACCACTTAGCATGGGGTTGTCCGGGTATGCCGGAACTCCCGGTTGATTCAAGGCGGTTTGGCTTGGCTCGTCTGTAATGTCATGAATAGTTTTAGGTTATGGCGTCTTGGTCCCCTAGGACTCTCTTGAGTTTTCTTGCGAGTATCCTGGTGCGTTCCTATGAGCGTGCTGTAATGAGAATAATCCAACATTCCACGAATATCTTATGACCTTTTTGCTCGAAGTTTAATGACCTTGAAGTGTATCTTGTCATAGTGGATCAACTTTTTGCTCCATTTTTTACCCAATGCACTTGTTACAACAGTAGAAATATCATTCACTCTGGGGACCGCTGATGCTTTCGTCGTTTCCCCAGTCCGATGTGTGGCTGAACCAAAGGCACGATGCGATGCTTGGCACGTGCCTCGCCGTTCTTTCCAAGGTTCACGCGCTCCGCACCAGCACTCACAACCGTGACACCTCACCCATTTCGACCCTTATGTATTCCCTCCAGTCCGAAACGTATCACTCACCACATTCCTATCGTTCGAAGCGCAAGGCGCGATATAAATACCGCCCAATATGAGCTTAATGACAGCCACACTTACAGCCGCCGAAATCAACGCCCTTAGCGACCCGACCAAACCAAACGACGACGCGATCCGCGATCTCGACGCAGCTTCCCACTCGTTAAACATTGATGACGCGCCCTTCTTCCAGTCGATACGGGTAAAAAATACGCTCGATGCATACGTCGAACGGGCGGAGCTAGAGCCAAGTGTAGAAGTGCTTGTAGTAATCTTAAACTGCGAGTACAAGCTCTGGAAGGCGCATGAGGAGATTCCCATGAGACAAAAGCCTTATTTGACGCACTGGGTGGAGGCTCTTATGAAGACCAATGAGAAGTCAGGCATGGAGCAGGTAGACACGGTCAATAGTAAAGGCACGAATGCTGGGCCCACTACAGCGGACATTCGAAAAACTAGGGCGAGATATATCACAACTTTACTGTCGAAGGAACCATCGCCTTCGCAAGCGGCGCCACAAATGGTCCTTGCGAGACTATACAACGAGGATACGCTCGAAGTATTCGATCTGCTACCGTACATGCAGATGCTTGTTGAAGAACAAGTCTGGGACAAGCTGCCCGAGCCGCAAATACAAGCTTCTGAACAGCCCGCTCAAGAGCCTGTACCAACAGCGAAAGAGAAAAAGTCACTGCATAAGAATCAGGTGCAAGCACTCGATAGTTCACAGTCCTGGGACGATGTTATACTTCGAAAACTCAAAGAAGAACCCGAACAGGCCGTTCAAGAACTCGCGCACCTTCCACTTGAGATCCCTTCCCTCGACTTTCTCACCAAACTTCACGTCAGCCGCACCTTCGAGGACCTCGGCGTAGATGGTCAGGACGTGACCCTCCACTATATACAGCATGCACTGCGGCTCATAGAGAAGATGGAGGCGCCACCCCCGACCTTACAGCAGGATACAGCGACCAACGGGACCGCCAACGGCGTTGGCAATGGAACTCCGATCGTAGAATACGGAAAGGAAGCGCAGAGCCGAGCCGTTATTATACTGTTGCTGTTCATCAAGAGCTCAATCAGCAAGGGTTTCTTGGAAGCAACATCACTCTTCTTTGAGCTTCAGGAGATATGCGTGAGATATGTGTGGATTAAAGAGGTTAGGGACTTCCGAGCTTGGGCACAAGGACAGTTGGGTAACTAGAAGTTGACCAAGACGAAGATGAAGAAGAAGGCAGAGTGGAGCCGTGTTGCACGAAAAGATTGTGGATGCTAGAGATCGACATGTAGTTGATCAATAGGGAGAAGAAAGGTGCAATCATGCACTGATTCAGGGCTTGCATGCACACATGACGAGTGTTGTTGACTGTGGTAGTGGGCTCCCAGGCGGTCAGTTTCTCCGGTTTGTTGTGCTTGCCTCACAATGCAGCTACTGCAGCTACTGCTCCATATCGTGGGGCTCTTACAAGCCTCGTTAGAGCCGGACAGCCCGTAGCGAAACATCGTGGAGGTTGATGGCATGAAATTCCGCATCCAGAACCTGCATCTTGCTGGACCATCTCACCGCCTCATGTTCTCGAAGCTGTCACGACAAACTTTCTTTGCTATTACAGTGCTGCGGTGGAGTGCATGACCGTGTCGAGTCGTGCTTGAGGCTGCTTCAAGGTTTCGGGAATATCCGGGACTGAGGTTGAGGCAAGAAGCAACGCGCTAACCCTCGAACGATGCTAAACTTTAGAGTTTCAAAACCCGCTACTGAAACAACCATCGCCTTTCTACCTCGGCCGGATTGCTAGCTAACCGTTCACGAACGACAAAGCGGTGCATAGTTGCCGGTAACGGCGAGCGACTTTTTCTGTTGCTTTCTTCTGGTATGCGACCGCGAAATGCGAACAACTGCGTAAACTTGAATAGAGCAGCAACTACTTGGAGACAAGTGCCAGCGAAACGGTCTTCCCACGATACTGTTTCGATCGCCGAGTTTAGAACGAAACTTGGCTGCTGATACACATCTGCGGGTGATGTGCCTTCTCAGATACCAAACGTCAATGCGCACTGCCACAACGCGACATTGTTGTTCCGAACAAGCCTTAGCAAAATCCTGAGTCAAGCTTCTGGAGATGATCCTCCCGCTGTGGATATCCTAGCGGAATGGATCATAGTGGAGTAACCCTGACCATCGTTCGACCAGCATCGTCTCAGCTCTCCGTTTAGAGTCTATGCTCACAGTATCACGACCTCGTCCCACAGCCATCATCTTGTTTGGCCATGGCAGCAAGGGGCTGCGGGCGCTATCATTCCTTGGTGGATCGGAAACGCAGACCGGTGAATGCTTGTGTCTATGCTAAGCTTTCGGCAATGTCAGATGCACCATGAGAGAGTTGTATATAAACCTCTCTGCTCGTCCTCCTAGAGTCGATATCACCATCACTCAACAATTCAATCAACCAGACTCGCTTCTTTCTTCTTTTCCATCCTTCTAATTACATTCTTGCGCCGGTCGCTTGCTTAATTCACTACTCATTTACATCTTTCTCATCAATCCTTTCGACATCACAGTCCTTATTTTCCAATCTTCAACAACCTTTCTATAATCCAACTCCATATCCATCAAGATGCGTTACTCTCTCGCCGTCGTTGCTGCTATTGCCGCCTCCGTCCAGGCCCACGGTGTCGTCTCTGAGATCCAGGGTGCCAACGGTGTAAACATGCCTGGTCTTTCCGTCCAGGATGGTACTCCCCGTGACTGCGCCTCTCCCCTCTGCGGCTCTGAGGCTGATACTTCCATCATCCGTACCCGCGAGATGGGTGGCAAGGCTTCGGCTCTTGGACGCACTCAGGGTGGCGGTGCTGTTGACGCTGGTGCTGCTATCGCCATGTTCATGGGAGGAGGTGCCGGTGGCGCTGCTACCGGCGCTGCTACTGGTGCTGGTGCTGCCACTGGTGCTGGTGCTGCTACCGGTGCTGGTGCTGCTACTGGTGCTGGTGCGGCTGCCAACAACAAGCGTGGTCTTCTCGACGCTCTTACCGGTGGCGCTGGAGGCGCTGGAGGTGCCGCTGGCGGTGCTGCTGCTGCAGGCACCAAGACTCCCAAGGGAACTACTGAGAAGGGTGTTGCCGCTGCCGCAGGCACTGGAGCGACCTCTGGTCTTCCCACCACTGCCGATGACGGCACCATCACCATGACCTTCCACCAAGTCAACCAGGACGGTGCCGGTCCCCTGACCGCTCAGATCGACGCTACCTCCGGTGGAACTGACCCTGCCGCCTTCCAGGACGCCACTGTCACCCAGAACGTCCCCGGTATCGGTATTGGAGGTCTCTCTGCCGCTTCCGTCATGGACTTCCCCGTCAAGGTCCAGATGCCCGCTGGTATGACCTGCCAGGGTACCGCCGGTGGTGCCAGCAACGTCTGCATCGTCCGCATGCAGAACTCTGCCCTCGCTGGTCCTTTCGGTGGCTCCGCAGCCTTCACCCAGAGCACTGCCGCTAAGAAGCGCGCTGTTGAGTACAACCTCCGCAAGCGCCACATGGCCCGCGGTATCCTCGGAAAGCCTGAGTAAGCATCTCACTATGCTGCTTTTCTCTACATGGTCCATGGCAACAGCAATCTCGATACACGCACGACAAGCAAGAGTTGGAATAATATAATATTTGAAAGAGATTACGATGACAAGAACAACTTGTGGTTTGCTGGGCAATTCACGGGGATGAAAGAGAAACAAAAGAGTATGAATAGAGTGAGCTCGGCTTAGGATCCCTTCCGATGGGTTTGATGCCGCTCCTTTAGTTCTGTACATAACTGACCTACCATACACTCATTTACTTGAGCTGTTGTTTTAAATACTGTAATTAGATGGATGGAAGACGGGGGGTGTTCCTTGACGATCTCGGAGGGGAGCATCTCAGTTTGTATATAGATGAATTTAAGCGAGTCTGGTTAATACTACTTCTCCTTGGATCTGTGAATGGCTAACAACTATCAAGAAAACAATAGAGTAGAATAGCATTGCCTGCAGCGGTGCCCTCCAAGCATTAGTTATCACTCTTGCAACATCCGATTTGGGTCTCAGAAGACACCGCTTACCTCCTTGACAATGGTTTTAGTTGGCTCCTTGTAGTCGGCCATTTCTGGGGACTTGAACCGAGAATTCGCGTTGAGTGAGGCTTACGGATAAAGTCGTTGAGACAAGAGTACTGTACGAGTGGATCCTCATGTGGAGCCGCGCTAGGGTGGTTGATCGCTGGCGCGTCACCTCTACAGACATTTTGCGCCTCACGCAATACCCATTGAACGACATCTTCCAGCGCTACGTATATTCAGCATGGGGAAAGGAACCGACAAATTGTACATCACACACTCGGAGTGGTCGTCGTCGGACGCCTTCGGTAATGCGCGCGGCGCAAACAGCGCCAATCGAGCTTCCGCTGCCGGCCTGTCGTCGACCTTCAAGCGCCTCCCCTTCAACTACTGCGCCGTCTCGCTCCAGCCTTTCACCGATCCCGTATGCACGTTGTCGGGCACCATCTTCGATCTCACCCACATCCTCACATGGCTGTCTAAACACCCCGATACGAATCCCGTCGACGGAACGCCATTGAAGCGCGCCGACCTCATCACGCTGAACTTCACCAAGAACGAGGACGGCGAATACGTAGATCCCGTCACATACAAAGTCTTTACAGACAACACCCATATCGTTGCGCTGAGGAAAAGCGGCAATGTCTTTGCGTGGGACACGGTCGAGAGATTGAACATCAAGGCGAAGAACTGGCAAGATCTGGTCAGCGACGACCCGTTCACGCGAAAGGACATCATAACTCTCCAGGACCCTCAAAGCATCGAGTCAAGAGACTTTAGCTCATACAAGCATGTCAAGGATGGAGAAACAGTAGTGGCAGATGCCGAGGGTGGTGTCAACAAAGAAGCTCTGGGAAACGCGGCCAAGATTCTCAAGGCGAAAGAGGCCGTCGCGAAGGCGCGTGAAAACAGGAAGATCAAGGAGCAAGGCGGAACCACATCCAAGGCGCTTGCCAACTTATCCAGGAATGGCACAGCAGCATCGACATCCACAGAGCCTAAGAAACCCGCATACAACGCTGCCGTGTACACTTCAGGCAAAGCTGCTGCCTCCTTTACCTCGACGGGCGTCACGCCGCATACCTCCGGCGAGCGTGCCCTCCTCTCCGACGAAGACTACATGCTCAAGCCGAAGCGCATAAAGAACAAGGGCTATGCGCGGATATCCACCTCACTCGGCGACCTTAACGTCGAACTCCTCCCCGAATACGCGCCGCGCGCGGTATGGAACTTTGTCAAGTTGGCACAGAAGGGATACTACAGCCACACTATCTTTCACAGGAATATCAAGGGCTTCATGATACAAGGCGGTGACCCGACAGGCACTGGAAGAGGCGGACAGAGTATATGGGGTAAGCCTTTTGAAGACGAGTTCGAAGGACCGGAGAGGCACAACGCCAGAGGTGTACTCAGCATGGCGAACAAGGGCAAGAATACCAACACAAGCCAGTTCTTCATCACGTACCGCGCTGTTCCACATCTCGACCGCAAACATACTATTTTCGCGCGAGTAGTGGGTGGTCTAGACACAACGTTGCGATCCATGGAGATTGCGGAAGTAGGCGAGAAGGACAAGCCTGTCGATGACATTGAAATTCTTAATGTGGTAGTCTTTGTAGATCCCTTCGAAGAATGGCAGAAGGAGCGCAAGGACAAGGAAAACAAAGAACTAGAGGCTGAAGAGATCAAACGACAAGGCGGTACAGCCGACGACAAGACTACGTGGACAGGCAAACGTATACGCGCAGATGGTACAGTGGACAATGGTACTGGAGAAGGTCTCGGTGTGGGCAAATATCTGCAAGCCGCGAAACAGGAAATGCAAGAACAGGATGCTGATGAGATAGTCGGCTATGTGGACGACGACGAGGACGTAGCACCCGTTAAGAAGAAGGCCAAGACAGGTGGTTTCGGTAACTTTGATGCCTGGTGAGGCGTTCACGAGTCCATGTTTAAGTTCTAGACTGGATGCTAGATAGCTTAGGAAATGATACCCCCAACCTGTCTGACTTGTGATCCAGACTGTTCCAGATTCGGTTGCATGTGTCTCGCTGTTAAGCAACTGCAGAAGGTGTCTAAATCCCGCTAAACCCCGCGCTACGTCAGCATACACAGAAAACACCCGCCGTGACTTGCTGACTACACACATATAGTATGAGTATACTTGTGTGATAGTCTTGAATCCGTCGGCGTTAGCCTAAGTCCTATTAGGCGCACCACTTTCTTCCAATCGGCACGCAAGAGAACAACTTACTTAGACTATTAATCGTGGGGATACTCGGCCTGATGGTGAGCAGAGGGGTGTACACGGCTGAGACATGGGTAGCCATATTTGGGTTGTGCCCCTAGTTGGATACACAGAGCGTTGAACCAAGCGTTGCGAAATGGTTCTCAATTCCGGTTGTTGGTCGCTGCGGGGAAGCAGATCGGTGATAAGGATGATGTATGCATAGGTGCATGACGGAGGTATTGATAAAGAGGGCTAGGTCGCGCCTACCTCAGCTCATTGACATCACGAACGAGCGCCAACTTGACTATTCTGCATTCCAAACAACTTCGCACTAGAATTGAAGGAAACCGCACGTTCCCCTTCTCACCTACATCTACCCGCACGCACACTGAGCAACATCATGTCTTCATCTGATATCCCGTCTTCCTGTCGTGCTGTCGTCATTGAGAAAGCCGGCGCGCCATGGACTATTAAAGAAGTCCCCATCTCTGCTCCCAAGGCGGGCGAGGTTCTGGTCAAAGTGCTTGCCTGTGGCATCTGCCACTCTGATAGCTTCCTCCAACAGGGCCATTTGGGTGAAAACGTCTTCCCTCGCGTCCCAGGACATGAAGTCATTGGAAAGGTAGTGGCAGTTGGTGATGGTGAAAAGAAGTGGAAGGTTGGAGACCGAGTGGGCGGAGGATGGCATGGTGCACACGACGGTGCGTGTAAGGCATGCAACAAGGGACTGTTCCAGATGTGTGAGAACGAGCTTGTTAATGGGGTTAGTAGGGATGGTGGATGTAAGCTTTACCTTTCTGTTGGCGAATACTGTGTGATTCAAGACGACGAACTGACATGATGCAAAACTAGATGCCGAATACTGTACCCTTCGCAGCGAGGCTACAGTGCGCATTCCTGCCGATGCAAACCCCGCCGAATACGCTCCGCTACTCTGTGCTGGCGTTACAGTTTTCAATGGTATACGCAAGATGAACATCCAACAAGGTGACACTGTTGCCGTACAAGGGCTTGGTGGCCTAGGTCATCTTGCACTACAATACTCTCGCAAAATGGGCTACCGTACCGTTGCTGTGTCCTCTTCGGGCAACAAGAAGGACTTTGCTTTCCAGCTCGGAGCAACAGACTATATTGACACTTCGAAAGAGAGCGCAGCCGAGGCACTTCAAAAGATGGGTGGCGCAAGTCTTATCGTTGTTACGGCACCGAATCCGCAGATCATAGGGCCATTGGTCGAAGGGCTGGGGTCTTTGGGCAAATTGCTTGTTCTCGCGCCTGTGGGCGACATACCTGTCAACACCGTGAGCTTGATCATGAAGGGCAAATCAGTCCATGGATGGCCGTCAGGACACGCACTGGATAGCGAAGAAGCAATCGACTTCGCTGAGAAACAGGGTGTGAAGTGTATGATTGAGAAATTTCCATTCGACAAGGTGGAAGATGCAGTTCAACACATGGAGAGTGGAAAGGTGCGGTTTAGAAGCGTAATCGTCATGGAGTAGAATCAGCAAGAAGCAATGTGCGAATCCAGCTTGGACGCCAAAGCGCCAACGGCGCGGACAAAGAAAGGTTGAAAATGCGAAGAACTATAGCTGAAGAAATTAATAAAACAATGAAACAATTGCAGTTCATGCGCGATACTGTACTACACTGTGCCCCGCATACATAAACTCTCGGTGTTCTGGGATCATGGAGGTTTGCGTGCAAGGTAGCGGCAGGATGGCAGTTAAAAGCCAGAACAGCGGCCATCAAGGTAGCCCAGTGAAAGCTATTTCCATCACACACACGTCAAACCGTCATACGTACATCCCAAGGAAGCCAAGTCCGCATCTCTGTAGCTTTTCTGTTCTAGGCACTTGTGCTCCACGTGCGAACGCACCTGGGCAGTCTCGCGCCACAGACATGCAGCCGCCATAACCGTCCGGCTTCATGCCACGGTGGTTCGCGCCTCGACCTCCACTCCACACGCAGCCGCTCAAGCAGCTCAATTGAGTACACGCGCGACACACACCTCTCACCAACGTCTCCTGTTCTGCTCCGGGTACCTGCATCTGAAGCGCGGTCGTGACATGTAACGCCTGCGCTGTCGCGCTCAGCGAATGGGCGGCTACAACGCAGCGACGGCACTAACCCCGTTGTTTCAGAAAACTCAATATCGGCCACTTGCGACACTCACATAGCTGTACAGGGACTGCTGGTCTCGTGGCTACCCGCTTAGGCTATGATGAGGCAAGGCAAGGTAGGGATTCTTTGGAAGCGGATAGGACGGGTGTCCTTGTAGATCTACCTTAAGATGTGGCGGGTCCCGCAGCAGGTGCCAACTCTGCCTGAATTTGGTTGTTGAGTGACTGAATATCACGAAGATCACGGCTCTCCTCTTTTCTCCTCTCTTTCCTTTTGCACAACGTTTCCTTTCTTAACGCTGTGCGCCTTGTTACCCCATCAGTTTTTGTTTCGGAGTAGTTCTCCAAGTCGTTCTTTTGCAGGCCTGGCGCCAGGAAGAAACAACAGTCGTTCACTCGTTTGTGCATTGCATCACTCACGTTCCTTACAGCAGCTGTTCCGGGTAGTGCTGGTATAGACAAAGAGGTTATTGGCCCATCTACGCAGCGTAGTTACACCATTGTGTCGAAACATTTCCCTCGACATTGAATTGCATGCCAAGTGGGCGCGCACCACCAACGCTCTGGGAAGGTTGACAGCAAGAGCTTTGGAATTTGGTTGTCTACGGCAACGCACAGTCAGCGGGACATCACAGTGAAAGAATTTCCAGCGCAGTCGGCAGGCAGCATAACTCGGTATTTCACACGACGCAAACAGATCCCGCTGTCGGACCAACGTCATACCGCCAACCCAAACACCAGTCGTCTCAGCACATCCGGAAGACATCTTTCCACGAGGGCATCCAAGCTTCGTGGACAAGCATTGAAGACTGGCACTTGGGCTTTCCTGGGCCACGTTCCTGTCTCCATTCGAGACCTACGGGTCCACCCAACCCAACTTCCAAATACCTACACATCACTCGCGATGGGTTCATCTTCATTACGTGCAGCCTTGCTGGCGCTCGTTCTCGCGTCAACATCGTCGGCTACAACAGTCTCACTTGCGTCCTTCATTCCGCGGATTGACAACCTGCCAAAATCCTGCAACGCCGTCTACACCAGTTCCATCTCTGGATGCGTAGCCGACGACTTCAAATCGGGCGCAACCTGTTCCGCTGCCTGTGTGCGGGGCCTGTCGGCGATCGCAGAGAGCGTCAAGGACAAGTGTGCGAACGTCGATGCGGGCGAGCTGAGCATCATCGGGGTCTTCCAGAACGGACTGGGTATTCAGAGCCTTTGTCCGGGGGTTACAATTACAACGATTTCAAGTGAGAGTGCGGGAAAGACAGATACGAAAACATCGGAGCAAGCGACGAGCACCCAGGCGGTCTTGACCACTACAAGCTTCACAAATTCAGCCATCCAAGCAACATCAACCTCATCAAGTTCAAACACGGACGCGGAAGACGGAGACGAGGAACCGACGAGCTCAGCACAAACGACAAGTTCGAGTTCATCAACGGGTGGCTTGGTCCTGGATCCGAACGCTACGGGAACATTCACAGCTTCAGTCATCCCGCCCACAGACACTGCGCAGGCGACACAGGCACCCAACGCGCAACTATCGAACGCTGACTCCGGTGGTGGTTCGCCGTTTGACGTCGTTGCTGTGGGTGCTTCATCACAGCTCAGAACTTTGGAGATATCGATAGCGAGTCTATGCGGGATAGCGGTCGCGTTGCTTGCGAGTTCATAGCCGCGCAGCAGTCTTTCTTTTTCTTTTTCTGATATTGATGCATTGCCGAGATGGCTCACGATATGGCGTTGGAACTTGGAATTTTTGTACTATACCCGCATTGTCGGAGCGACGGAGAAGAGTCACGACCAGTTGAGCGTGTCACAGAATGCTCGTGTAGCATCTATGGTCAACTACCAGAGCGCTCATAGTAACAAAATGTGTACAAGACGAAGAATCAAGTGTGCACGATTACTCAACCTCTCGACCATCGGTCTTCCTTCAATCTTATCAAATTAGCGTCATACGTTGTGGTCTACGGTAATGGAACCTTCCGGCCAGTCCACCCCCCACCACCCCCTGCAAGGTAAGCGAAGGTAGCTGCACCCCAGACGTAATCGCCTTCCCGCCGCGAGTAGACTTATCGTCGGCCTTCGACTAACTTGGCCCCACCATGCAGGAGCACAGTCGAGGACCATGAGGAAGACGTTATTGCTGTGTTTCATCCACGGCTTCAAGGTATGTTGTGTCTTGCGCGCGACAGGCGCATTACGTCATCTCCAGGGTCGTGTCTGCGTGTCTCAGGTCCAGCCATGGGCAATGCAACACGTCGCTATTTGACATAGAGGACGAGTGCCATGCTAACATCGTGTGCAGGGCGGAGATGAGACATTCCGGACATTTCCAAGCCACGTGAAGGCGCTCCTCCAGCATGCGCTGCCCAAAGTCACCGTCCTCACCATCACGTACCCCCAGTTCGAGACGCGAGGCGACTTACACGAGTGTGTCGGTCGCTTCAAAGAATGGCTGCAGAACAAGGTCATAGACCTCGAGGTCGCCAACTCGACCCCTTCGCCCACAGTTGACCCTTCTGTGCGCACGATACTCGTAGGCCATTCCATGGGCGGCATCGTTGCGGCTGAGACGCTCCTCTCCATCCTCGCCGAACAGCCGATACATTCGCAGTCCAACTCGCAAACTGGCTCTACGTCATCGCTTGCCGACCATTCGATGCTCATGTTCCCGTACATACAGGGCATTCTCGCCTTCGACACACCATACCTCGGTATAGCACCTGGCGTAGTGGCTCATGGCGCCGAGAAGCATTGGAACACAGCAAGCTCGGCATATTCGGCATACAACAGTCTTGCGGGCGCTTTTGGATGGGGCGGCAAGGACACTGCATCCAGTGCTGTCGATACGAGCAAGATGCTCCCAGCACCCTCATCTACTGGAGACGCAGCAGCAGCACCCATGTGGCAGCGTTACGGCAAAGTAGCCATGTTCGCCGGTGCAGCGGGTGCCATAGCAGCAGGCGGCGCGGCGGCATATATGAAGAAAGACCAGATAACTCAGGGCGTCACATGGGCTACATCACATCTGGAATTCGTCGGAGTCCTGGCCCGCCCTGAAGAGATGCGAAAGCGACTCGAGAAGATTGCAAAGCTCACTACAAGCCAGGACCTTGGCTTTTGTAACATGTACACCACTCTTGGCCATGCCATCAACAGCGAGAACAAGGAACACGGCTGGACTGGCAAAGTCGCCGGAAAAGACCGCACCTTCTGCAACCTACCCAAAGGGCCTCTGAAGAACTTCTTCATGCCTGCTGTAAACGACAAGGCCACGGCGGAGACTTGGGCGCACACTTCAATGTTCGAGCCTCGAAACAACCCCGGTTACTATACTCTCAGCGAGACGGCCAAGGAGAAGATCATCGAATGGACAGAATCCACAGATTGGTACGAGGAGAGTGAGGGACCGTTGACTGGGGAGGTTGGTGAAGAAGCAGAGATTGTAGAAAGACAAGAAGTAGATGAGCAGATGCAGAAGGAGGCTGATAAGAGGGAAGCAGAAGAGCTAGAGAAGGCCAAGGCTAAGGGCGATGTAGATGCTTTAGAGGAAGAGGGCGAGTTTGTGGATTTGAAGAGAACTGGCGAGGTGGCTGAAGGGGAGGACGAGGCGAGGAAGAGGAGAGAGCTGTAGTAGGAATTTTTGTGAGTCTACATACCCTTGTACATGGAAGAATGAATACATGTTTGCGCCACGTTTTTCTACTAGCTAGGTTGACAAGGCTGAGCACCCATTATCGCTTATCAACTCATGGGGGCGAACACACCACTGCTGGACGGCTTTCGGACTGATCTGCAACGACTCGTTGAAGCTGTATCTCGTCAACGGTACCACGCATGCACGACTGCTAAGTGAGAGCCCTGAGGTACGATTCTCTCTCACAGATGGAGATTCATCAAGAAATTATACTCTTCCATATTCGGCGTTCGATCTTAGGCTCACGTTCCCGTTTGTAAACACCTCCACGTACTACTTTCCACTGAAAAGAGCTTCTAGCCCGGAGCAATACATGCTGGGCCGAACATTTCTGCAGGAGACATACATTACGGTGGACTACGAGCGCCTGAATTCCAGCCTTAGTCAAGCGTATCCTGATGGCGGCTCTGCGTATATCGTACCAATAACTTCATCATCTTCCACGCCTCAAACCTCGGATCCACCTCGAATTCCACCACCGAACAACTCTAAAAGCCCCTCTTCAGCTGCATATGCTGGAATCGGTGTAGGTGCAGGCATCGCAGCCCTTTCAGCATTACTTTTCACCATCGCCTGGAAAAGGCGCTTGGGGCCTTTTCGACGCAAGGCCTCGATGGGAGGCCATACCTACGATAAAGCAGAATTACACGGCGATCACAAACCTTGGGCTGAAGCCATGGGAAAAGAGAGAACTGAACTTGATGCAGCTACAAGTACGCACGAGGCAATGAATAAGGAAAGGTCAGAACTGGAGACTGTGGAAAATGCCCACGAAGTAGGCACTACGGAGATTCAAGGTATTGACCATGTACATGAGTTGCCTGGTCATGACGAGAGCGTGCAGGCAGCAGATGAAAGAGCTCGTGCTTCTTGAGCTACACCATGAGTGCATGTATGCTGTATACAGTCGCATTATGATATGATACCGTAGGTAAATAAGGTCCCGCATACTACAGAGTGCAATAGAAGTAGTTAGTCATAGTGCGGAGCGCACGGTATACTTGTACGTTAGATTCCATATGCCACCCATTGATCTCGCACCCATGCTTGATCGACAGGTTGTAAGCTCGGATAGGCTAGCGCTGGACAAGCTTTTCCAGCCGCATTGGCATGCTCAACGCTTTGTGCGCCATCCGTTCATCTCCTGTCTTGGTGTCACCCACGCATTGAGGCGTAGTCCAGGCTCGCTGGAGTGAGCCGACTAAAGCCTTGACCACGATTGCCCCATAAGCCATGTCAGGTCACCCGATTCCCACTCGCACGGCATCCTACCGCGTACTAAGGAGACTCTCCCAACACCGATATTTCATGATCGAGGCGCTTTGTATCTTATACAACTATACAGTTACTAATTTAAGCGGTATATGAAGGACACAATGTATCATCCTCCTCCTAGGCGTCATCAACATCCATCTCATCCACGTCCATTTCATCGTCCCAGTCCTCCTCATTGGCCTCTCTGTATTCCTGAACGTCTTCACCGCGTACTGTTTGTGAATGGGGAGGTTGGTTTCTCTCCACGAGATACGGATTACTTTTGTCAAAATCCTCTCGCCACATCGCCAAGCGATCGACACCAAAACCACCACCAACAAAGTAAAGGTACCCAATTTCTCCTGCAGCCTTCTTGACCAAACGCTCCCATTCCTCTCTGTCTTCTTTCTGTTTCAGTGTTTCCTCAAAGCCTGGTTCGACATTCAAGTCTTCCGTTGTCTCTGAGTAGGACAGTGAGCTGCGTGGTAGTCTGGGTCGCGCGGTGCCACCGCGTGCGCGTCGCTCTGCCATACGGATCTGGTCTTTTTGGTTTTGATGGGCACGTCGACTAAAACAGCCGGATATTGGCTCTTTCCAGAAATCGGCGGCTATGTAGCAATCGCCCAAACCGTGCTTGCGACGTATTGCTGCCTCGTTCTTTTGCCGGATTTCCCAGGCTAGCTGGAGCTGTTTGTTTTCTTGTACGGACCTGCGCACGGTCTGAATTATCTGGCGCAATTTCGAGTTTTCTCTTTCGGCTTGCATATGGATAGGGTTCTGGTTGCCCGAGCGTAATGGTGTCCGATGCCTATGCACATGCACAAGTGCGTGCGAGTTGGCAAGAGCGCCTGATTTCTCCCACCAAGCCACATATTGGGCGATTTGAGCCTCAGGCATTGTTGTCGGGTAGGACGCCACCAAAGAGTCACAAGCTGGGCACGAAGAAGGATTTGGGGACAGGACTGCTGCCTGGACATTGTGGGTGTCGAACCGTTGATGAGCCTCGTCCCACGCCCGCTCACGTTCCCAGCGTAACTGATCGGTCAGGCGGGTCCTCTCAAGCCGCTGTTTCGCTATCAGATACCCTATTCTTGCTAAGTTCCACCGCCGGTTGCGCATGTGCTCTAGAGGCCTCAATCCACCCTCGGCTGCCAGCTCCTTCAGTGCGACGTCGGACTTTCCTCTGGCTAGGGAAATAGTGCACTTGGGACACCTGGGGGTATGTGGTGGGTTGGAGGGGTGGATTTCATGATGACATTGAGTGGCGATCCTAGTCTGGTGACCATATGGTGAGTGAGTAAACGGCCGTTTCCTGCTAGTTGAGAACAGCAACGTGTCGGGACTGAGCATCATCGGCATATTGAAGGCTGTGGTCTGGCTGATGTATTTGTCGATTTATACAGGTGGAACTAGTGTGCATTATGGTTGCGGAAAAAGATGGGGTCGCTTGCTGTGGTGAACCACGGATTAGCGAGGAACTGGGAATGTGAGCAGAGAGCTGTCGACCTGTGAAGAAAGGCTTGTAGTATGAATGCAACAGGCGCGAAGGGGTGTGTAGTGCGAGATTTTAAATGTAAGTTACACTCCAGCCCATTGAATGAGGCGCGTCAGGGCGTCATCGCCCTCTGCTCTGATTGGCCCGCTGTCCCAAAAGTTACACGCGAGCAGTTATGGAGCTTGTCCGTGCACTACTTAGCTCCTTTAACACCCGCACTGCTGACTGATTTCGTGGGGGTCTTAGACATCATAAAAGCGCGGAAGCCGACGTGGAAATGTTGCAGCTGACATGGGAAGCTAGAAACATGCTTCGCCACCCAGACTATAGCCTTCACCATGTACCGTTGTCGTTGTCCAGTATGGAGGCTACCTTTGCTTTCGCAGCGAGCGCTAGCCACGCTAGTATGTCGCTTTGCATTCACCTTCACTTGGACGGCATGATACTGGAATTGTGAGATCAATGAATAATAGTCTTGGCTGCTTGCTGCGATGATATCGCCAACACCGACTTCTCTGGATATGCACAGCAGCGTACGCATGTCTTGACTCGGTCGCTCATTGCAAGATTCCTACTACCATATCACTGTTGACAGTGAGACTTCAAAGTCAGTTTGACGACAGGCCGCGCTCATAAACGAAGGTGACGGGCGATTGAAATCGCAGGTCACTGCCGCATTCACTGTCGTAGATAGGTATAAGGATTATGCTCATGCGCAGCTATCTCACGTCCCTACAGCAACGCTCCATTGACAGCAACTCTGTCAAAAAGCGCGACATGGAGCAGAAGCAGCCACAAATATCTCGGAGGTCTGGCTCTTTCAATCCAGAGGCACCAACTTTCAGTCCGACGACCGCCGAGACTAGCATGTTCACTGGGCCTGCAGGACCAACTCCTCCCACCAGTCCGCGACAGAAAGCAAAGATGTCAGATACGTTCGACGGCAAGTCTTCATCCGCGTCGAACTCACCACATAAGACTGACTTGTGTGCAGAAGACTCGCCTTTTCGCCCTGCTAGAGACATGCGACCGAACTATCAAGGCTACGAAGAGGTCAACGCTGTATGGATGCAGAGGAAGTTACCGGATCAGAAGGATATGCCACTGAACTCTTTGCAAGAAATGCTACAAGGTGAGACCAGCACCATCACAATACCAAGATCTCATGCTAACCTAATAGATCACCATATCGCCTTGAATCAAGATCGACCTAGTGCAGACTTTCGCAGCAATTTTTCCGAGGATTCCTCGAACTTTGCCATGGCATACACTGCAAATAGCCCCTTCTTTACGCGGCGACTCCGTTCAGACTCTAACGCCCCAGGCGTCGACGAGCTGAGTGCGGGACTTGGTCTACCCAGCATCCAGAAGAGAGGCACCAACGTGGACTCACCAGCCCGCTCTCACAAGTCACGCGGCTCTGAAGTTTTGCCTCAAGATCTCTTTGGTAAGCTCATAGGGCGGGCGCTGGACAAGCCGTTGACCGCTAACGCCTTAGCCCAATATATGGACGGCAAGAGTGTACTCTTAAACGACGTCTTTAACACGCCTCGGGGCCTCAAGGGCGATGGTCGTGATATGTATTCGGGAGAACGTGCAGGTGTTGAGCGTCAACTTACGAGACTAGTGCCTCCGCCTCCTGGCTTTACTGGAGAACGCCCTCGCAGGATCTTCGCAGAGGAGCATAGCTCAGTCAACCCAGTGGCTACGGAGTCCCTAGTTCGGCAAATACCCACTGGTCCTGCAGGACTTAGACAACTGCGAAGAATTAGTGATCTCAATTCCATCAACCATGCGCAATACCATGGCCATATACGTGGACCGTCTAGGCATTACCGTCCAAGAGCACTTCCCCGTATCAAGCGCACCGATCAAGGTCCCGAGCCTTCAGATGCCGATATATACCCCGATGATGCGAATTTCATACCCCGACGTCCACCGTATCAGCCCGAGTCTGTAGGTTCCCTACCCAGCTACATAATGGATATGCCATCAACAAGGCAGGTCCATGCAGAAGACGTTATGGTTTGGCCCACCCCAGCAGAAGTTTACAGGCAGAAACTCGGCAGTCCACCCAGACGTAGTGTTTTCGCTCGCAACGCTCCGCTCACGCAGAATGGCACGCCGGAGCGTTGGTCTCCTCCCGCTACATCGTCTATGTCACAGTACATGCTGCAGTTCGGAGAGCCCTCCCATCCCCTTGCTTTGAGGTTTTCTCCTCCTGCCCCATCTCCTTCGCCTCCCTTCGACATCTTCGCAGGCCACTATCCTCCCACATACGCTGACATTCACGAAACTGACGCAGAGATGGAGTGCCTCCTCGCTATTCTTCCCGATATCTTCGACCTCGATCTACCTGAGCTGCCCTGCGACGAGCGCCCTCTTACACCCGGTCAGACAGACGGGAGTCGGTACGGTATGCAGTTTCATGGCATTGGACTAGGCGATCGCTGGAATTGTCCTAGTGTGCGAGAGGGTGAGCCGTTCCGAGTACGTCCCCGCGATCATGATGGTTGGGGTGGATGGCAGTGGGCTATCGACAAGGGATGGGGAAATGAGTAAGCTATCACTGAAACCGTTCCTGATCCCGTCTGAACTGACACTATATCGGGGTGCGCTACCTAGGCGATAAGTAAGCGATGTGGCTCACCTGGGCTGGCAGAGAAGTCTGAGCTCCTTGGAATATCGTTGAAGGCTTCTTGAATATGGCCTTGATGGGGGAACGGTGGACGACCAAACGATGTTGCTGCTGAGTCTGTATCGTCGCTATCCGTAGAACTCGAAGCTTATATATGACCATGGAGACGAACAAGAGATTGTAGGTCGTCATGGGCTGGGTATGAAGACAGCATTCATTACTGAGTCATCCAATAGCAATTTCAGGATTTACTCGCATTTGCATAATGACAAGAAGCATAGTGGGTTAAAGCAGGTTTGCAGGTTCGTGTTCATATGGATATCGAATGACAGGCCAAGAAGCTATAGTGTAGGATAAAGATGGTTTTCAACACGCCGCACCCCAACGCCCAGACAAGTGCCCTATTGATGTATCCATGCCAAAAACCTGACCTCTTGTCCACAAGCCCATTTGCTGCCTTTGACATCCCACAATGTTGAGATACTGGTTCCTCAAACCTCAAATCGGGTCAAAGTCCGTTTGTTGGCTTGCTCGCTCATTGTCGAATGTAGCACCGTACCGGCATCGATACCGCACCTGCTCACGAAGAGGGATTAATATGCGACTTCAGATTCAGAGGTTGGATGCCATGTTGAGGTGTCGCAGTGCCGGAACCGGCTTGAGGAGTACCCATGCCAGATAGTGGACTTACAGCGCCACTTGGGGGGACGGGGATCTTGATATCTTCGGGGCTTCCGGGAACCATCGATTCAGGTAAATCAGGAATCTTGATGCGTTTTGCCACGTTGTTGTAGGATGAGGGTATGATCTAGATGATGTTAGTTTATGGAAAAAAAGAATTCTGGATAAAGATTACCTCAATGATCTCATCGCGAGGAAACTCGAGCTTGGGTATGTCGGCCGCATTACATGCCATCAGGTACCCGTAAAGTACACGAAGGACAGACTCATGAGCGATGATGAGAAGGTCATTCTCTTCACGCTCAAGTTCTAGAATGATGGGTTCCATGCGTACGGCAAGGTCGTGATACGACTCTGCGCGCGGATACCGATGGTGGTAAGGGTCTGCTTCGTGCTTGGTAACTTCATCAGGGAACTCTTCGCGGATCTTGGCCTCTGACATCTTCTCGCATACACCAGGATTCATCTGGCTCATTTGCGATCGCTGCCTAACCCGGTAGCCCATAGAAGCCAGAACCTCTGACGTTTGGACAGTCCTTCGACGTGTGGAAGTCCAGATTGTCAGTGGCTTCAAGGAGGCATCGGTTGCTCCCGACTCAATCAGCTTCTGCTTCTCCTCTTCGCGGTACTTCAGGAGCACCTCACTCATCTTCTTAGCGTATTCATGACCTTCTGGTGAGAGGCTTGCATCTGCTTTGTAAGAATCTTCCTCTCGCGTGGTCCCGGCTCGAGCAAAGTATGTTTGCCGTGACTTGATGTGGAGATTGAGTAGATAGAAGACTATTCTTTGCGAGAGATATCCGAATGCGCAGTTGTTCACTACCACTCTCTCGCCAGCGTTGATCATCTTGATCCAATGTAAATCAGGCTCCTCCATGGTCTCGAAGTGTGGTATCCGTGCATTGATACGTGCCAGATAGTCGTGGACAGCATCCTCGTCCTTCCATCCTTGATAATCCGGTGAAGAGATCTTGACACGACGGACGTTCTCTTGGATGATGCGCTCATCGGTACAATGTGATTCGATGAAGACTGTCTGGATTCCATTCTTGGCAAATTCTTTGGCCAACGATCTGCGACCTTGGCTAATGGCATTTACAGCGTCGTAGATGGCCACTTGGCCCTTGTCGTTTTCCAGGAAGTGGTAGATGTCTTCACGGCACTTTTTCAAGATCTTATTGCGTAGCAAAACAGATTGTGGCGATGCATTGAGGAAGAAGTAATCGTCGGGCACATCGTTTTCCGGGCCTAGCGTAGCGCGACGGTAATCGCCAAGATGAAACACGTGCGTCTTGACACCCAGCCATCGCAGGTAGCGGGCTAAGGCAACAGATGTGTGTGTCTTTCCCCGAGCTGGCAGTCCGCAGGTGGCGATGACTATTCGACCGGAATGGAAAAGGCGGCCTGATTCTGTACTATAGAGTTGGGCTGGGGCCATTTCCTCTTTGGTAGGTAGATCGTGGATTGCGTCGACGAAAGTACTCGACCGCCGCCGGAAGCGGGGTGAGTTTGCGTATATCTCTGCAGTACTAGTCATCTTGAGTGAATGTTCTATTCAGGAGGTGTGCAGCGTTGGTACTTTCACATTGCTGCGGGAAGTGGGGTCATGGTACTCACAGTAGGGTATCCATGATTGCAAAATCGTCAGGTCGAGATGATCAATTGACGGAAAGGGAAGAAGTGCAAAGCGCACAGGAAGAGAAATGGTCGGATGTCAATGAAGTAGAGTTGCGTTCGGTTCAAGGTCACAGTTCCAAGGTTCCGGCGTTGATAGCGTTTGCCGAGAGATGTCAGCAAACAAGGTGCGACAACCCGTAACAGTCAAGTGCAGCAACTTCCACGAAACAGTGTCGCAGATAGGTCTGGGGATAGTCAGGCAGCACTTTGCGGGATTTCGTAGTCAAGGGTCACAAAAGCAACCATGGTATCAACGGGCGGCATGTCTTGGATGCTAGAGATCTGATAAGCTCTAGCGTCATTGGGTCATGTCACGTGATGGCTTTAGAATTTCTGTTCGATATCGTCATGCTAGCGAATGCGACCCAACATCGCCCTCCAACCGTTCGCTGCCATTTCCATCCCATCCTGTGCAAGCTCTCCCACATTTTTTTTGGGAGCTCCTAGTTTGACTCGGCGTATATATTCACCATGGCCACCCCGCTGCAGTTCAACCCAGCGCAGGAACAAGCTGTCGCCGATATCCTATCACGACCTCGCGCCGCCAACACCGGTCCATTCGCACAATTTCTAAACGTATACGATGCATTCCAAGAGCGGAGAGAAGCATTGGGCCTCAGCAACCCGGGCACAGTCGAAAACATTGCGAGGGAAGTCCAGCGCGATGTCTTCCTGAACAACTCCAGCTTCTCAGGTCTGCGCGCCGAGCTCACCAAGGCCTTCAGCGCCGCCCCGCTATTCCAGGTTGCACACTCGTTGTCCATGGGATCGCAGGTTATGCCGCCATACTCATACATGGTTCTCTACGGATCACCAAGGGTTTGTTGCTCAGATCGTCGGCAGCCTTCCGTTTGCTGACTTTTCTAGGTATTCATGCAAGGAAACCTAGATAACGAGCTTGCCTTCTCCGGTCGCTTCAACTGGCGCTGGACGTCGGCGTTTGTCACCAAGACCGCTGTTCAGCTCACATCGCAAGGCAACATGGTTTCGCTCGAAAACGACTACACTGGCGCCGACTTCTCTGCTTCGCTGAAGGCTGTCAACCCCTCCCTACTCGACGGTGGCATTACTGGTATGCTCATGGCCAGCTATCTACAGGCTGTTACACCAAAGCTTTCGCTCGGCATCGACGCTTTCTGGACCCGCCCGGCTATGGCATACCCCCCAGAGCTGAATGTCTCGTACGCGGCACGCTACCGGGCTGTCGACTGGATGGCATGTGGTCAGATCATCCCCGACCGTGGTGTATTGGAGGCTTCATACTGGCGCAGACTTACAGACAAGGTTGAGACTGGCATCAACTGCAACCTCGCATTTGCTGGAATTGGCCCCGGAGGGCCTATGGCTGGACCGCAGAAGGAGGGTAACGTAACTATCGGTGCCAAGTACGATTTCCGTCAGTCATCATACAGGGCACAAATAGACAACCAGGGTAAGGTGTCGTGCTTGTTGGAGAAGATGATTGCGCCGCCAATCCGTGTAACCTTCTCAGGTGAAATTGACCACAAAGCGGTAAGTTTTGTAGAATTCAAGTCTGACTATCAATACTGACGGTAGCACAGAATGCCGCTAAGCTTGGTCTGGCCGTTGCGATAGAAGCCGCCGACGAGGCAGTCATGGAACAGCAAGAACAACAGGGCGTCGCAATGTCAGCCGGCTCGATCCCCTTCTAAACGCCTCTCCACACATCCATGTATCGACTATAATACCATGACTCTTCTCTTTGCTGTATTACCACCTTTCTTGGGGCGAGCGTCGTCTGCAATCCCAGCGTCCCCGCTTTCCTGGTCTCCACTATCTGCGGATTGACGGTACTGCGTGTGCGCGGCTGGAGTGATTTATGAACGTAAAAGGCGTAACGTTGACATCTGATGGAATACGAGCTTTGGTAGACCGGAATTCGGCGAAGCATCTCCGCCGCCAGATGTTTGCAAGTCGACACGAGACGAGACGATGCATTTGTACATATAGTAGCATAGCCCATGGGCGTTAAAAATGATATGTAAAAAGATGAAGCAGGTTGCTTTTAGCGAGTTGAACATGTGACGCAATACATTATCGTGGAGTCGAGAAATATAGTACAGATCGTTACGGCGTAAGAATCTCGCCGTTTATGTACAGGTACAGCCCCGTTCCATGCACCGCCATCCTAGTAAAACAGGTGTGAAGAGCTCAATGGTCAGGGTCGAGCAACTATCAGTCGAAACGCCAAATCGAAGTTTTTGTCGTCTACAAAGCAGGCTTCGCGCCTGTCGGCTGACCAGGTGTCGGCGCACCGGGAGCCATGAACTGTCAAAGAGTTAGCATAAGGTTGAACAGCGCAAGTCTAGCAAGTCAGGTTTCTACGTACCTCGTTCTGCGCCCTCTGTGCCTGCAGCTCAGCTCTCTCCTGCTCGACAATCATCTGCTCCTCGCTGTATGCCAATGCCCATGGCACACCCAGAAGCAGCGCACTTGTGCTCACTACCCAGAGAGTCTTGCCGCCCATGTTCAGGCCGCTCTTGAACCATGAAGAGATTGTGTTTGCTTTTGAAGAGACGGAACGGCGTGTGCTGGCAGGGATCATGTCTTGTAAGGCGAGAATGCGCTCGTAGAGGGATTCGTCTGGCTGTACGGAGTGGATCGAGGATGTGTCTGACTCTATAGCGCTACAGTTAGTATTAAAGTGTCTTCGAAACGGTCTCTTCTATGCGCCAGAAGCCCCGTGATAGCGGTTTGTGGTGTCGTACCAGAGTCGGTGTCCCACTCATCGTCGTCATGCGGGCCCTCCTGCTCGCGCACAAACTCCTCATCCATGACCTCTTCGAGCTTGACCATTTTGGCGGTTATCCGAGCGTGCGATTGATTTGGTGTGTATATGGAATTCAGCGACAACCGAGCGTTGGTGTAGGTTGGTGGTGTTGGGCCTCGAGCTGCTTGTGACGATGATAACCCTACTATCAAAAAGTTAGCACAATATGTGATGACATAAGGGCCACTAGTGCCGCCGCACGTGCTTCCCACAGACCTTGGACCATGACACCTGCACCCTTCACTACCTGTGCACCAACTCCTCGTAGTCAAATCTCTGAACATTTTCGTGCTCGCATATACTCAATTCCGATCAGTCTTGCTTCTGCGAGACAAGCGATGTGTCGAATCGAACACACGTGAACGGAATCCGTTTAGGTAAAGAGTTGGAGGTATACTGAATTGGCTGTTTTTACGAGAGTGCTGTCTGTGCATGCCTTGCCTGTAAAACTGATTAAATGGTTGTTCTATCCGATTCACAGTGGTTCGCCTGACTGAATTACTGCAAGAGCTTCCACACCAAGACTAGAGTCTTCGCTCAGAAACGACGACAACATGGACAGAATAACCCACATACATAATATACTAGAGATCGAAACGGGATTCCGTATTCGGAACTTGGACCCAGCCTTCACTACCTGAATATAAAGAATAGGTTAAGCGACATGCACATCTTGAACTAATAATATCGCTACCTAAACTACTGTATGTACCATGTTCGCTTGGCAGCAAAGCTTACGATGCATAAGTATAGTAAACAGCATGTCGTTAATAGACCAAGTAACAAGGAGGTGTATTTACAGTGGCTTAGTACGCCCTAGAGACGGCGCCGATGACTGCACCGAGGAACTAGTGCGAAACAAACGACTGTCTGACATTTCCCCGCTTTAACCTCATATATTATTATGGATGCACGCTTACGCATAAAAATCTACAAAGTCAGCTCACCTTTGCGACCATCTTAAACGTAGTTCCTGTAAAGAAGACCTCAGTTCATCACCAACAATGGGCAATCAACCCTCCACCCCCAAGCCAGGGACCGATTTCAAAGTCATCGGCGCTGGCCTCTCCCGCACGGGCACTGCCTCATTCAGCGAAGCGTTGCGCATCCTGCTAAACGGGCCTGTCTATCATGGTGGTACACAGGCCACTCTGGGACCCGAAATCGAGATCAAATCCCTGATCAAACTCCTCTCGCACTTTCCACCAAAGTCGCCCTCGGACAAAACGACCATTCACGATTTGCTGAAGCAGCGCTTAAACGGCTATGCCGCAGTCACCGATGCACCATTTAGCGGGCTGGTCGAAGAGTTGCTCGAGGCGTACCCCAATGCGATGGTAATCTGCACAATTCGAGATCCAGACGCGTGGATAAAGAGCATGGAAGTGGTGCAGAACGCATCTACGATGTGGTTCCTACGCTTTGTACTCTTCCCTGTCCCAGGCATGCGTTACTTCGTCGACTTCATTGATGGCCTGAGAGACCAATGGATCTACCTGTATGGTCGTGGGGAACCAGTCACAGCCGAAACCTACGAAAAGCACATTGCTTACTTGAAAAGAGTCGTGCCGGAGGATAGGCTAGTCTTCTTCAATGTTAAGGACGGTTGGGAGCCTCTCTGTAAGGTACTTGGCAAAGAGGTTCCGCAGGATATCCCGTTCCCAAGAATCAACGACGGGGAAGCCATCGATAGGCTGGCGAAGAGAATGGTGACCAAGGGCTTGCTGCGATGGCTAGCCATCTTTGGTGTGGTGGGAGCGGCTGCTGTTCCTCTGTTTTTGAAGCGTTAGAGAGTGTCTCTTTCTACACCGACAGAGAATCTCTCGCGTTCTCTCTATCGTGTGGATCATGTTTTCTTCTGCTCCAGATGACTCGTACCAGTTGTCTGCGATATGAATACATCCTTTTCCGCCTTTTCTTTCACATACGACCATAGGACACTGAAAATTAGGCTTCCCGTCCGCTCAGCCATATACAAGCAGTGTACCGGCGGATTAGTAGTTAGGTGGGTGACCACTAGCGAATCCCCGCTGTTGTATGTTTTTGGATTTTTTCCTTCAAGTTTTTTTTTTTGGCTTACGGATGAATGACATCGCGAGTGGAGGTCGTGTGGAGATTGGATGACTCGCCAGCGCACCGAGCACCTGACAGCGAACGTCTCTGGTTGCAATAGTTAATACAAATTCATCACGTATCGTACTTGAAATGGTTGTGTGGCTCTTGTGGCGGATAAGACCCTAGCTCATGGCAATGTCATGCTGCTCATTGAAAAGTATCGAGACGTGCATACACACTTCCAACCATCTCTACTAGCATCCAAATCGCACTCAGTCCTCAGCCGAAAACTCAACATTGTCTTCCTCTTCTTCTGAATCGTAATCAAGCATTTGCGACGAGTACTCTCTCATAGCGTCTCCACTCGCAAAATCCAGCTCCTCGGAGGTTATCGACTCCACCACCTCTGTGATCTTCTTGCAGTCCTGTGGACCATACTGCGTAATCTTCCACTCTTGAGCCATATCGGCGAGTTCGATACAGCCGTTCTTCCAAGCTCGATAGATGGTTCTTCTGTAGTTAAGGTTGTCTCTTCCTCTGATATCTGCACCCGTGGTGAGAAGATAGACGGCGATGTCATACTTGCCTGCTTCTGCGGCTCCCTCAAGTGCTGTCCTTCCATTGTAACCACCAGGAGGAGCGTTGACATTGGCGCCCGCTTTAATCAGCAACTCGAGCATCTCGCTATTCCCATTGATGGCTGCTGACTGTAGCGCAGTCATGCCATCAATGAAAGCAGCTGGTGCATTGACATTTGCTCCAGCAGCTATTAGCTTCTTGACAATCGAGACGTTGTCGTGTGTTGCTGCATATTGCAAAGGCGTCCAGATTCTTCCTACATCGGCCGTAAATGTATTGGGAGAGTTCGGCATTGCACCCGCATCGAGAAGCCGCTCCACCTTAGCGTAACGTTTCGACATCGCAGCATGTTGGAGAGCAAAATGGAGTCGCTGTTCAACGTAATTCACTCCCATGATTCGGTCAATTTTATCCGGATTTAGGTCGGTTTCCAGGAGGATTGCGTTTTCAAGAATCGAATTTTCGGAGCACAACGCAGATGCGTAGGCCGCGCTCAGCTGGCGGTATCGCGCTGTTCTCTGTTCTTTATCGAGAACTTCGGGCGAAAAAGCCAGAAACTTCCTAAGTGGGTCTGTTTTCTGGTGTTCCAACGCGACCTCGAAAGGACTCTCTCGGGTGAAGAACATGTGTCGATCGTCAAGGTCTTCTAAGCCTTCACTCTCAGGATCGACAGTGTCGTAGGGACAGAAGCCAGCCCGGAGCAAGATGTCAATCATGCTACTGTTCTCATGTCTTACTGCTAGCACTAATGCCCGACTTCCTTCACGAATGGTATGTCTACTCAATTTAGATGCTCCTTCAATAAGAAGATGCTCTGCCAACTTTGTGTTCCCTTGGACTATTGCGTCGCACAGGACCGCTAGACCTTCATCTGAGTAGCTGGCTACCATTGTGGCGCCATTCTCGCTCAAGACCTTGAAAACTTTTGGATGATCCCTCTCAAACGCAATCCGAATCGGCGTTTGATGCTTAGGTACGGAAGACCAGATAGGGGTTCTCTTCGAGTCGAGTGCAGGCAGAAGCAACGCATCTTCTGAGGATTTGGCATTAACGTCGGCATAATGGTCGATTAGCATACGAGCTATGCCCGCGTGACCGTTCCAGGCGGCGATTTGCAATGGATATCTGTGACAGAGTTGGTTAGAGTTCGCTGCATAATGCAACAAAAGGCGTGTGAGTGGCTCATCACTTCTCAACACTGCGATGTGCAAAGCTGCCATCCCATGCATGCTTTGCAGCTTCCTCTCAGACATAGCTATATCTCTGCGGAAATCGTCAGAATGACCAAGACCATATGCAACCCCGTTGATGTCAATATGACACTTTAAGAGATACGTTATGAGTTGCATATTAGAGTGTTGAGCCGCTGACGCCATCACACTACCATAGCCGCGCAGATCTGTTGAGTTCACATCGAGACCCATTGATATTAAGGTTTCGAACATCGTGACACTGTCGGTGGTTGCGGCTGCCTCCAATAGGAGCCACGGTTCTGATCGTGCCTCTTCCAAAAGTGCGGGATAATGGCGGAACAATATACGCACTAGATCCATACGATTCCGTAGAACGGCTAGACGTGTAGCGCGAAGTAGTATCCGTACAGGCTGGTCCTTGGTGCGGGATCGAAAGGTGAGGAGAACCTCCAAGATGCTGCTGCTGATCATGTCGTTTTGTCCGGGATCTTCTACCCTCCACTCGGACTGACTTCCCATCTCCATAACAATGTCTAAGACAGAGCCTTCAACCCAGCCATTTGCTCCTCTATATCGAGCACGCCAATCGTCTGCTCCGTGACACAACAAATACTTGATAAGGTCCTCCCGACGGTTGTAAACTGCCATTTGAAGAGCGGTGACTTCTCTTAGAACTTCCATATCTCCACCTTGAGCTGATCTCGCGTTAATGTCTACTCCGACACCGACCAGTCTTTCCACAAGAGGCAGGTCTCCGGCTATGGTCGCTTCAACAAGAAACTTTTGAGCAAAGTGTTTCAGCTCCGTATCCAAGGTCTGGGAAACAAGCAAACTCTGAAGGAATAATGTATGATCGTTGTCTTTCGTGCGGCGCGTCAGATTATTGAGGATCTCCTCAGTGTTGGTTTGGATGGACAACACATAGTGGAGTAAAGGATGTACGTGGCTGGCCAGTTTCGGAATAGAATGCCGTTGGCTCAGACACACCTGCGTTTGCAATGAGGTATCGGGAGGGGCGACAGTTTGTCTACTGAAAGTCATTTCCCGTGAAGAGTCGTAAGCCGGCTTCGAGAATAAGAATGGCTTCGTCCATGGTTCTGTAAATTGTGGCGATGGCGATGTTACAACCCTGAGCCATGTTTCGCTAGCGGAGTTCGGGTTCGATATCGCTGTTGATACGTGCACGGTAGATGCAGAGATATCGAGCTGCCGTATCAAGGGCGCGTCAGTATGCTCCGGCAACTGTATATCCTCAGCGTCGAGAACAATCGCTTTATCGGCGACTTGCAGCGATCCCATATGCTTCTCTTGTTCATCAGTGAGCTCAACATCCTCTGCAAGAGGAGTTGATGGTGGTGTGGATAACTCAATTCCCGGTGGGGTTCTAGAACGCGGAGGAGGGTTGAACTCTGTCCAATCTGTTCAGTGCATTCCTTGTTTAGAGACTGTCACGCTTAGGCAACGTACGCGATCTACAGCGGCTGAACGTAGTTTGATGCTGTTTGGCCTTCTGTCTTTCCAGCCTCGACTTCGATAGGGTAACGCCGCGAACCTTTACACGCGTTGGTCCATCACGCTCTTTTAGACGGTGAAAGATGAAGTCCCATTCATCTTTACGGATATTCTTAGTGACGCGCCACTTTTTGAACGTCCGCTCATATTGTGGCTTTCTTCGTATCAGTTAGTAGCGACCTTTCATCAAATGACGTGAACTCACGTCCTCTGGAAGCCTTGATCAGCCAGCATTTGTATCACATCATGTAGTGGTCGATCTTGGTGGAGGTAGAGGTTGAGGATGGCTTCTCTACGCGACTCCCATTCGGCCTCATCTTCTTCCATTCTCTTTGGCATGTTGTTATGTATTCTTTCAAACGGGCGCTGACCGTCGCGTTGGGTGTTTCCAGGGATTGTGACCCCTGCTTAGGTACACGGGTAGGATTGAGCGCTAAGCATGACCACGACCTGCTCAAGGGAATCATGAAAGTACAACCCGAGAAACAAAATATGAGTAGTTGAGAAAGCGAAAGAGTACGCTGAGAAGCCCCAAAATAAGCAGCAAGGTGTGATGAAGAAGCTGGGTGTGTTAGTTTTCGGGAGATGAGGCTGGGGCTGGACTCAGTTTCACGCCATTGGTCAGTCTCCAAATCATCGACCGGGTTCTTTGGCCAGCCGCCAGACTGCGCCTCCAACGTTGTCGATTGGTTCTCTCCGGAATCTTCGTCAGAACTGCGCCTGAAATGAAACCACAGCCATGCGAAGTGGCAAAGTGGCAAGCATCATCATGTTAGCACGAAGAGTTCCAGAATTCATGCCTGAATACGCGTCGAGGCAGGAACGGGAAAAACATGAAACGATGAGATGATTGGGTTAAACCAGAATCTTTCTTGCATTGTGGCCGTACGGTTTACTCGGACGCACACTCGCACTTGCCACGAAGCTGACCGACGTTGACGGCTAGGCTCAAACTTTGGCCTCGAACCCATTGGCTGTAGCCGTAATCATCTATCGTGATTTCCTTGCCATCAATACTTCTGAAGAAACGCGTGGCTCACGAAGTACATATTTGCTCTTGGCCGCTGTGTCTGATGAGGTATCAGGGTAGCACGCGCGATCACTTCTCTACTTGTAGATCATACCAAACATCACGCTGAGTCTCAAGATAAATCACTCAAAGCGCCATTTCTTTACACTGTCTTTCCCTCACCTCTTCGCTCCTTTCGACTTCCCGAAAACTTACCCGCATAACCTATAATATATCGATATCGGTCTTCACAGACTTACTTTTCGCTCCCTCTCAGATGGCACTCGACGTGCAAAGCATCATTGCCATCATCGCGTTATTGGTCACATGTCCACCGACATGCTGGCTCCTTTACAAACTCTACACTCGATATAGATACCGAAGACAACAAGAAGATGGCAAGCAAAATACCTTGGAGTTAAAGCTTAACAAAGTTAATGGAACATAGACACACTTCTGTCGGTCCACAACCGATTACCAAGCACAATACAGGACGTCGCAATTCACTACCAGTACTCGCAAAGGTGGTTGCTGCAAACAAACATCCTATCAGAAAGACTACTGATCATAAAATATCTGAGCGATGTCGGTATGATGACCCTTAGCGGACACTCAGCCTCCTTCCAATATGGGAATCGCTGATGCTCTATAGGTAAAATCAACAGTCAGACTGCGCATCGCTGAGCGCAACAGTCTGAGCAAAATAAATGAATATAGCAGTTTTGGCAAGAGCGGCATTTGAAGAGAGTGAAAGGCATAAGGAAGTAGGCTGGCAGCATGAGACTTCAAGGAGGATATTGTATTGCTGCCTTAGATCAAAGAGAACCAACATTGTCAGTGGGAGCTGCGTGGTCTTCTCCAACTGTTTTGGAGAATTCGTGATCCGGAAGATGGGAAGAACCTGAACCCTTCTAATGAGAGTGTGGTTGTGGAAAAGAGTCGCTACTATGGTCGGATCAACCTTGATGGGGCAGTTGTCACGTTCACTGGATTGATGCGAATGCGACGGCTGTGGCCATAAACTTATCCAGAAGAACTTGTTGGCCATTTTTTCGACAATGTCAGAATCGAGCTTTTTCTCACACACAATCACATCACATTGAGAAAAGGAAAGACGGGAGCTGACGGACCTATTGCTGGTATACCTCGTTACACCGTCTATCTACATGCTTCGAACTTTTCAAAATCGCATTTCGGGGAAATAAGTCTCAAGACATTTCATCCCCTTCTATATGTATCACCGAGGTTTTGTTTAGATTCAACGTCGCTTTCCCAGCATCTCCTTGCCTAACCCATCCCGGCCCTCTTCACGAGTAATCTGCTCTGCAGCCTTGACAAGATCGTACGTGATATCGTCTCCAACAACACTATCTTTTTTGTACGCCGGATGTGTTTGGACAAAATGCCTGATCCACTTGGCCGCAGTCCAGTATGTACCATTAGCGCGCTTACGGATCAAATCCAAGTAGGTGGCGAGATCGCAGCGCGTTTCAACGTCGACGTTCATGCTGTTGAGATAAGACTCAACAAGCGGAATAAGGCCGGGGAAGCCATTGCCATCGGTTGAATTTGTCTGCCCATTGATAATCTCGTTGACTGACATTTGCTCATACTCTTCCTCAACAGGGCCGGTAGGCGTCGCTGGACGACTGCCGTTCCTCACAGGTGTCGATGTACCTGTTCCACTGGGCTTGTGTGTCGAGAAGGGATTCTTTCGGAACCAGAATTTCTGTGTCGATACGGCGTCGCGGATGTGTGCTGTTTCCATGTTTTCGCTCACCAATGTGATGGGTATGTAGAAGTTGAGATTGAACGAGAGGATGGCACGGGTCAGAAGCACGATAAAGATCGAGAAGGCAGCGTTCTCGAAGTCAGTAATTTGAATCTCCATCGGACGGAACTCAACACGCCAACCCATGTCAGAACCAGCTGGCGGTGGCTTGAAGCGCATGTGCTGCCAGTTGGTTGACTGCAAGTTTTCAAAGTGGTCGGCTTTGGTAAGGTCCAAATCCTGGAGGTCTTCTGCGAAAACGACAATAGGATCACGAATGAAGAGGTGAGCAAAATGTGTCGCAAGAAGATCATCCATGCCGCCCTCAACCAGGCGCTGCTTGATGTCGGCGTCGATAATGAGATCCGGGTCGAGATACTGAGGCCGCAAGCGAGGATCCTGGGAAATGTAGGTTGAGTTTGACGCATAGCGCGACTTGGGTAGTCTCCATCGGTCGTTCTTGAGCGGCTATCGCGTGTTAATAAATCACCAATGCTAGCGAATCAGACAACTTGCCTTCTCTCCTAGTTCTTCCGGTGTGCGGTCATCGACCGCTCTGCTAATTTGGTTCCATCGCACATCGGTGTCGGCCAGGAAACCCTTATAGATTGGTGTCGCCGCCGTCAATGCTAACAAGATGGGTGCTATCGGGCTGAGCTGATCGTACATCTTCCTTCCTTCCTCAATGTTCTTTGCTTGGAAGGTAATCTGCAAGCAGCAGCTTCCCATACCAAACGCCATGGCGTCCATGTGGATGTAGTTGTCCTTGGCAGCACCATTGCGAACGTCGTCATCTTCAGGCCAGTTGTGCATGTCATAATTGACTGTAGGATCCTTCCACGGCCACGGTGTGCTCTCGTCCTTGAAGACTGGGACATTTACTTCGACCTTCCGGCCCCTGCGCCAACGAATGTTTGCCGCTAGGGTAGGAAAGCGAATATGCGGGTTGGCAATTTCATCCGGTACAAACTGGGATCGTAGCTTGGGCCCAGAAACAGGATATGATGGTACGATACAATCGGCCGATCCGAGACGAGGGAATGTCGTCAATGTGATTGGAAACTCGCTCTGTGCCATGTGATCCTTGGCTATGGCTCGTCTGCAATAATTGTGAGCTCCCGACTGATCGACGATCGAGTAGGCCTGTCTACCTCCATTTCATGTTTGGTTCAACATCAAGCAGGTCCTTGAAGCCAATGCCCCATGGCTTTCCGGGAGTTGCTTCCAGCATGAACCTCCCAAATTCGGGATGGAAGACCGGTGCAGGGTTATCCTTTGCGCTGGCATGGTCAGTACGCAACTTCGGATCTGGGTAGTCAGGCTCACTCGGCGTTTCCGGTTTGTAGGTCAGGTACCCCGCCGCCTTGCTGCAGAAGTTTCTCGTCGTTGGCCAGCGCAGCTAGGATATCTGCCTGGCGGAGCGACAATCGGACCTTGTGGTTGTCTTGATCATAGCAAACAACCAAGTACTCGATCTGGATGCCGGTTAGCCCAATGTTGTGACGGACATGCCGGGTCCTTCACCTCGTCACCCCAAAGGAGCGCATCCCTCTCCTTGCCTTTGGCATTGCGCCAGATGGCGAGCAGTTGCTGTCGATCACATTACTATGCATTCCTTTCGGGAGTCTTCACCGAGCATACTTCAATTCCCCATGACCTGACCTGACCAGCAACTTTCTTGGCCTCTGGCCAGTCAAGAGGCGTTCCTAGGGCACTTGATATGATATTAGCGAGGGCGGCGAGAGACGTAGCACGGATCTCACAGCAGACCCATCCCAAGTTCGTTCTGTAAGGCGTTGCGGTAGGGAGTCCAATGCGGGTTGGTGCACGGGCGGGCCGAGCAGACGTGTGAATGGGTGGCTTCTGGTTTTGAACGGCGATTGCGGGGAGGTGTTCGGGGAGCACTGCAGAATATGGGACGTTTAGCGGGGTTTGACGCAACGCAGGGCTTTTGCAGTTTGGAACGCGCTGCAGACGCCTCGGTTTCCTGCGTTATCGAAAGACCGTCGAATGGCAGACGATTGAAGGAAGAATCGTTTTTACTTGCTCCCCGTGGGTACGCGGACGAATTGCAAGGCTAGAGTCGGGAGTATTGATTATTAATGCGCAATGCAGTAAGCATATGTCTGTGACACTCTTCCGAGGGGGAAGACCCTGCCGACGACGCTTGCCTCTTTGGTAAGCTAGACACAACATCACCTCACTGTGGTACTGCTGCCGTGCGCGCAATCCATCTTTCCTTGCGTGACATTGTTTGGGCATACTGACAGCGAGCCCCGATGCACGACTGCGCATGGCGTCTTCTTTTGCTGTCCACCAAATGCGCCTCGCCTACCGTTGTCCTCGCCCACGTGCACGCATGTCGCTACGCTGTGCAAAGCCTTCCCACTGGTGCAAAAGCATGGTCGCGTAGAGAATCCCGATTATGCATGTTGAGAGAGGATCCCTTCGATACCGTTGCCGCGGGCCGCAGGAGTGGCACGACACCTGCTGCCGCGCCACATGCTGGCTGAAGGGAGCAGGCGACTCATCTCTTCTTCGCTGGCGCAAGCAATCTTTTTTCCTTGGTCGTGAGCACTTTTGGGCCAAGCAACCGCCATTGCGGTATTGCACGACCAGGATCGGCTGCTGCTACGCATGCCGCATAATCAGCATCACACACCGTCAGGGTGCACATCGCCTTGCATAATTGGGGCACCAGGTTGCAAGATTATCGTGTCCTCGCTACTCTAGGCCTTCCGTAGCTGCTTAGGTCGCTAAGTGCAACCCCGCCGACTTGTTATCTGACAGATGATACAATATGCGGGGAGCCTCGATTGGCGGCGCTGCACAGAGCGTGTAAATTGGGACGAGCCCGCATCAGCCCACGACTGATGCGAGTGACGCAGCACCCGTTCTCACGAATACAGCGCGTCAGCCATGATACGATTGCAATAAGTGGAGTAAACAGGATATAAGGTATTAACTTCTAAATTCAATAGCTCCTACGTCGCTAGGCCTGAAAGCCGGTGGTATCTCTTTACGAACGCCTGTCAAAAACCCCAAAGGCTCGTACACTTCTAGCAAAGTGTGTCGTACAGGAATGACTAGAAGAACAGCTTCACCGTCAGATGGCAAGCGCTTGCTTCGGTGCACCGAAACACACAACCCATGATCGAACCATCCTAGCAGATGGTGATATACAGAAAACGCCTTCTCCCAGTCCCCGGGCCTAGAAGCCCTGGTGTGTGTATATATATGCCAAAATGCAACTACTGCTACTAGAAGACAAGCAAGAAATAGACCGTAGTATACGTAAAGCCCTAATGCTGGGGGCAGCGGGTGTTTTGGGACAAGTGCGGGCAACATCCGTGTGTTGACACACAGAGGCACGGTTCCTTTCAGTTCGCCGTCTTCTCCGCAAGTGACCAAGTCGTCTTCATTTGGACGACATGTAAAGAAATTGGTATATGAGACCGCCGAGATATTGGAGGAAGGAAGTAGTGATCTCTAGTAAGACCAATCCGTGAAGACGAACCCTTCCTGTAAATGCAAGCAGTATCTGCGCCAGCGCTCCTATGTAGTGAAGATGATCGAGATGTACGATGGTACCGGTAAATCCAAGAAGAATGTCGAAGCAAATATGTACTGTTCTGTGAATAATCACATCGTTGGTGAGCCATGGTCAATGGACTTAGGTCGTAAATTTGAGCTTGTCATCGCTTGTTTACCACCCATTTTGCGAGTCAACTTGGCGTAGTCTGGATAAGATGTTAGTAGGCAAGCCTAACATAGGTTGTTGGCTGAAGGACTTACGTAGACCACAAGCATTGCACAAGGTTCGAGCACCGTCTGGCCCTCTTCGCCATTCAGGGGTCTCAGCTCTGTTACAGCTATGGCAACGTCCTGGCGGAGCGGCCCGCTGTTAAGAAGTTAGTATCAATAAGTCATCGTTTGTATCAGTGGCACTTACACCTCGCTTCCGGGTCTTATTGTCACCACCAGCAAAGCCACCCATGCCCTTGGTGTCATCGCCGTAGTTGCTTGCGTTGTCATCATAGCCATTCATCGGACGGTAGCGTGGGTCTTGGGGAGGCTCTACGATGCTTGCCTGGTGGTGGTTGAAGACGACTTCTCGCATCCGTTGAAGTGACATCTGGATTCTCTCGCTCTGCTTGATCATATCATCGACCTCGTCTAACCTTGGCATTGACTGTGGTGTCAAGCCAATGCGTTGGTTCTCATGCGCACGTTGTCGGTAGACTTTTGAAAATTCGGCAATGCGTCCGGATCCATCAGCCATCTCATTGAGAGAAGCCTCAAGGTCAAAACTCTCTAGATGTCGCTTGACCGACTCGCCATAGGGTGCTAAGCTTGAGCGACCAATCTTCTTCTCTTCTAGTCGAGCCATCTCTGAATTATCCTGCCACGATTGCGGGGCATACCGAGGTGGAGCCGAGTAAGTTGAGCTGGCTGGGGGGTAAGCCGAGTTGGAAGCACTTGCTGAAGGCGTGGATGAAGGATAGTTAGGATACTGCGTATACGGGTAATGATGGTTCATGGGTCCCGCCGAGGAAGGAGCAGGGCTCTCGTAAGTGGCTGATGGTGGTGGGGGATACGATGAGTAAGGAGCGTTGGGACGAGCAACGCTTGAAGGCGGAGATTGCGTGGTCTTAAGTGGGTGTAGGGTGGGCAGTTTCGGATTGTGTTGAGGAGTAGAATAGGGTGGCCGTGGTTCTGAAAAAGGCGGGCGGGGCAGAGAATCTGACTGGACCTGCGGCGGCTGCCGGGAGACTGTAGGTGAGGCTGGTGCACCGACGAATGGGCTTCGCGGATAGGTGAAGGGATTAGAAGGTCCTTGGCTGGCGTGTTGAGGATCGGATGGAAATGGTCGTGGTCGTGGTTCAGCGGGCGAAGCAGCAGCGGAATGTGGGTGGTAGTGCTGGGGCGCTGAAGTTATGGCTGAAGGTGGAGGCACTGTAGATGGATATGACAGCGGCTGTTCCGAACCTAGGGCCTCGTGTATTGAAGGCAGCGATTGACGGGCCGTCGGTCGTTGCGTCTCTTTCTCGTCGCCAGACGTCCTTCGTGATTCGGGAGGAGACAGTAGGCCTCCAAGCGAGCCGGGTACTGCGCTGGCGACTGACGATTGGTGATTGCTATGCAGATGCGGCGGTCCCGCGTAGGGATGCATCGGACTAGGCATGGCGGCGGCGACAGAGTGTTTTCTCTGATACTCGACCTCTTCGCGCTTTACTCTGTCGGCATCCATGTGGTTGATTGACGGCAAGCCGATGCTAGGGTGAGAAGTCAGAACCTGTAGGTCGGGAAGGGAGTGGTGGACCAAACAACATACCTCTGCCTACTGCCGGCATCCATAGTGTCCATGGTGGGTCGTATATCGGGCGGGAGGTGGTGGGATACGACAGCGAACTGCTGCGGCAACGCGATGGTGGGGGATCGTGGGTACCGCGACGTCAATGTACCTTCCCGCACACCGTCAACGCTGGAGTCGTTCCTTCCCGCACAACGTCAATCAACACGATGGTCTCAAATTGCTCCTTCCTCCGCAAGCGTGGCCAAGCAATTCGATCGGATTCTTTCTTCCAAGAAAACCCCTCGGTGATGTTGCAGTTACCACCTCAACTCAAATCTGAACAAATGCGACGTCCGGGAGTCCTTTTTTAACGAGTGGATCAACAGCCAGGTGGTGTTGTCGAAAGTGTTGTTGTTGCTGCTGCTCTTTTCTCTTTTCGATGCTGTGGCTGACGTAGTGTCGCAGGCACAACACGATGGCCGTGGAGGATCGTTTGTATGGATGCACACTCAATGACCACAATCTGCGTCCTTCTCTTACTGTGCGTCACTCTTGGTGCTCGGAGGTGGCGCTGATATTGGGTGATGTATCGAAGAGATGGGCAGGTGTGACATGGGCGGAAGAGCGGCGATCAGGCAAAACTCGTGATCTCACTGCAAGCTACGCGGAATTCAGCGCCTCCTCTATGCCTGCAGGCATGGTGTGAGAGGAAACGAGGGCTAAGACAACCGCAGCGGGCTAAAGCAGATGCGATCGGAGATGAACCGCTCCGGCAGCGAGTAGTCGCTCAGTGTGACGAGGATGTGCGGTGGACGGGCAAGGATTCTCTGGATACGGCACGCCTGTTTGTCCCAGCAAGGATGTGGGTGGAGAGGGCGGTCGCTGGGTGTTCTTGATGCAACACTCGAGCGCTCCAGTGGGCTCCTAAAGCGTACACGCAAAGGGCAAGGATATGCGACACGCCATGGCCGCCCTTGCAACGCTTGCCCGATCAGATCGCATAGCCCCTAAAAGCAGCAAGTCTGAGTTTTCAAGGCGCAATTGCGATGTTGCATGACGGGCCCACGTCCGTTGGGCGGTGGCGGCTTGGGGGTGGGCTGCCTTGGACGCGTTTCTTCTGCTCGATCCGCAGCCGTTACGACCAGGGGCAAGCATCGCGACCGCCATCCGCGCAAATGGGCACCCTGCGCACACGAGGTGAGATGCGCCCATGCCCAGAAGGGAACAGCCCGCCGCCATGGCGCGAATTATCGTTGTGGCATGCAATCGAGATGCAACCGAGCTTCCATCATGCATCCACCCCGGCATGCACCCACGCCTGTCCTGTCACTCCGTGCCTTGGCGTCGACAGCCAGCGAACTGTCACCCACAAGGACAGACGCATCGCACACATCTTTTATCGGTACCGGACCCTTCTCGTCTGCTGCGACCAATGTGCAGCGGCATTGTTGGGCAGCAACACCCCGTCCGTCCGTAGTAACCTCCTGTCAGGCACTTAACTCGATACCACTCTCGGGAATCTCCATCGCCACAGGGGTGTCCGCACATCTGAATCGGTGGCAATGCGATTAGTGCAGCGGGGCTGCGGACGCCAGAAGCGTCTTCACAGAAAAGGCACATAGTGCCGAAGAACCATCTCAGCTCGTCAGATCCCATCGGCCCGACAGGCTTCGACTCATGAGCTTCCATCAACGTCTGAGCCTGTCTTATCGTGTGCACTGGGTAGCAAAGGGAGTTTATCAGACCATGTCTCGTTACCGCTTTGTCCTACCTGTGCCTCCTAAGGTAGTTTTGTAGGGGTACCTATCGATTACGTCAGTCATCGCTAAACACCCTCAACCATCTGCACTGGCTCCATCTCGCTCCGAACTATGAAGCACTAAGCATTTGACCGTTGACGCCTACACGTGTTGGGTGCAACCCGGAGAGCTCATCTTCTGCACGACGGCATATGGGTGCGTTCGCGTCTGTAAAATGTCCGTGCTATGACCGATGCGCGCCGGCGCTGTCAAGTAGGCATTATCAGACCATGACCGATTGAAAGATCTTTGGCACGCTATCAACAAGTCTCCGTCGCCATTTAGCTGCATCGGTGGGACCGTCAGCCATCCGACTTCGTCATCCTTCACGGCTTCTCACTTTTCTTGCTCTGTACCCTGTGCCTTACTCAAACCACAAAGACCTCCCGGAACGTTCCTCACGCCTGCTGACGACTGTCCACGCACCTGCGCAAGCCGGATGGAGTGACTATCGGCGTCATCTCTCCGGTCCGGTCACCGTTGGTGATGGCTGGGATATTGAGTGCAACATAATCGTACGGGGCACAACATGCATCACACTATTTTTTATACCAATGTCTCACAGACTTTGCTTTGCGGCCGGGTGCGTCCGCTTGTTTTCACTGCCATCACAGCGACAACGAGTGATATATCGTAGTGATCGTGTCATGGACAAGGCGCAAGCATGAATGTGGCATCGGTGGCTTGTAACGTCAAACCGGCGCAGACGCTCGGTTACGCCATCGTTGAATCTCGCTAACATGACTTTCCACGCCTATCCACAGTGCAACGGCTAATTGTGGCTGACTTCTCGACACCACCTTGCAGCACGCGTCCGATTGACGAGCGTCCGATCCGCAGTCATGTCTGATTTCCAAGCAGCTGGCATCTGACAAGCGCCGGTTTACGCAGTGTTACATGGTGTCAAATCCAATCATGCGCAGACAATTAATCCCTGCTACTAAGTGACAGTTACGGAAGCTCTGTTTCGTTTCGAAACGCACATTGTCAAGGAATAATAGCAAAATGAGGAACTGTCTCTCGAAGATCTCTCTGTCTGCTTGGCGTTAAGATGGTCGCGGAGAAGTCCGACCAGGGCAGAGCCTACGGATCTGCCCTTGCTGAATCTATCTACGAAGCTATACCCCCAAGCTTGGGTATGTGGATTCAACTGTACTCTTGGGTTTGCCGCTGAGTTTGCATTGTAGTCTCAAGCAAGGCTGCCGTCACGCCAACCATGTTGACATTACTAACCCAACAATCTGGATTCCGGCAATAACTTTCCCATAGGAAGTAGGAACCCGCAGCCAAACATTCAATGTACCGGCACTTGGTCTAGCTTCGAAATTGTTCGTGGAAGCATGTCTACGGAAGAACTTCATTGGTCTGTCATTTGACTTAATGACCCACAGTGTCATGTCTGACAGGCCATGCCCCACATTTACTCCAGCTGCGACAGGACTGAGCGCTGCCGGGTTTCATATTCTAGAGAACCACCGTGGTGACATTTATCAAGCTTTCATTTCCTGAGACAAGATAGGGTCACATGCGACTACTATCAGGGCGGATGCGAGTTGAGCAGCGTGTGGTGTGCCTGGATGTAGATGACCGTTTTCACCCCGCGGCAAAAGTCGACTCGAAACTGGTCAAAACGCAGTCATCGGTGAGCATTGATATGGCCCATGCGTAATTCACATGCTAGATCAGTCACCAACTAGTGAGGCGAATCCTTACCAGAAGGACGAATTCCGAAAGATGCATCGCATCGAAGCTCCTCGAAGTCTAACGCTTGACAACGAATAGAGCCGGCAGAGAATGCAATATCAGAACATATCCTTGCAATAGCATTCTGTGCTGACTCGAGATCTCAGTTACCCACAATGGCTTGGCGGGATCGTGATCTTGCTTCGGGCACACCCTTTTCGTCTCCTGCACCTGCATGCGTCTGATTCTGATACCCAGGCTTAGCGGACGTCGGACCAAATCGGTCTAATACGCTCTCGCCGATTCGGTTTCTTGCTTAAGCGACATAGTACACCATCCAGTGTGCTGGGTCAGATGCATTAAGAGTATCGCATCGTACGACACTCGACGCAAGGTGCCAGTTGTGTTTTGAGATCCTCGCCTCTTCGAGCCAGCGCCCTGTCTATTGTCGGGCAGTTACTCCAATTAGTACATGATCATCCCACCCATCATACTGGTTAAGGAGTCCGCGAGGCGTGCGATTTTCGCCGGCACGACGCGGAAAAAAGTAACGTTTCTTGTCCCGCGGATTCAGGGTCCGCGTGGCACAAATCAGCCTGTTTTGGCGACCTGCATCAAGCAATGGTCGATCGAAATATAGAGCATTCCTTCTCTCGGTTTGACTGGGGACGTTATCGCCGAACGAACCTATAAGCGGTCAAAGAGATTCCCTATTGCCTGCTTGAGGAAGTCATTGGCGAAAGAGATGTCGGTTTTAGGACTGCCCTACCTCACTGACAGTTGTCGGCAGATAGACTGCGATCCTGCAGTCGGACGGGAGGAGATTCGTAGGCCATGGCTCTCCCGGGCGAGTACAAACGCGACATTGCGTCGAGAGTCTACAGATGCGCACGAGTCCCTTGACGGTGTTGCTGGGCGCTTGCGCCTCAGTGGCAGAAGTTGAGGCGCTCCTGCATGTACTGACTGAAAACGCAAGGGTCGCTTCGCACTTCCTCATGACCAATTCCGCCACACGACTGCAGGCCACTTACACTCTTGTAAAGATGTCCCTGCCCTTGCTGCTTTTTGAGGGGGTGACCACAAGGGTCGCAAAAGACTCAACAGCACCAGATCTTTGCTCGCTCAATTGATTCAAGCAGCTCAATGTCTTCTGCTGGTCTGACGGGATCAAATGTAAGCGCTCTTGGCAAGAAATTCTGCTTATCGTATAGAGTGTAGTCGTACGAAAAGGGCAACGGAATGCACAAACAAAAGTAACGATTCTTATGAGCATCATGCTGAGCTCGATAGCAGACTAAAGGACATCGTTGCATGCTGCAGATTGTGGCACTTGTCTGCATGCTAACAGTCCAACGGTGTGGCTCTGATGTACCGGTTATCGTGAGAATCGCGGCTTGGCTTCAGATCTCTAGACTGAAACAGGGTTAAGCATGCTAGATGTAAGGCATGGAAGCCATGGTCGCGCATCTCAGAGGATCTTGTGTTCGCATGCAAGCGCTCAACTTGTGAGATCTATGACGACATTGATCTTCCCCTCCTAAGGGGACAGATCGGATTCGTCGCAACATTAAGTCCTTGCCCCCCCAGATTTCAATACTTCTGGTATTAGCTCGAAGGACACCCGTGGTTCCTTGAGCTTCGCATGGCAAGCTCCCGACGCCTCATCTCATGCGAGATGGCCCTGTCGCTTCACCTTGATTTTCCAGAATGCGAACCCGAAATGTAGATCTCTGGATCCTCCCGCGTCGGCAAGCGGCGGCTTCTCCACAACAGATCATTCGCTATTTTTTTGGCGATATTGAGTGACACTATTCCCGTGGGAAAGGTCCGTTAAGTAAGCACAGACGGACGCCTCACTGATATAGGGCGTCCTCTGGTCCAAATGGGTGGTTAACGTTTGGGAGCAGCGCTACACTTGTCACGAAACGCTCTTTTCGGCACGTTACGCTACCAGAGAAGATAGCCAGATTCTGCGCAGCCAAATTAGCGCCTGTTAAAGCGGCAGATGTTCTCGGGATCGACGAGTAAGATAGAGTTCGACTACACCTGCCAAGCTCAGACGAGTTCGCGCCACGAAATCGCCTCGGCACACAACGGGATGATAACGTTGCCATCACAGTTGTAGCCTCAAGGGAGACCTCTTCACAGGTGTAGGGGACTGGTATCTGTTGTTCAGCAACCCTTGCCACAGACACCCAAGGCCTTTTGACAGCAGTATCAACTTTTGAAAAGTCGTATCGCCAGCGCACACAACACATTCATCCGAGACCTGGGGCGCTCGCGACCAGGCGATATTGATCTTCGCGCCGGGCTTGCTTTTTTCGTAAAATCGCCTATCGAGTGGATTCTCGTACGACGTGGCGTGTGGGATATCAAACGCTATTAGGGCGTTTCGGGCTGCCCTGCAGTAAGAGGCTTACTAGCTTCCACGACTCGCACGTGATAAATCGGTGGATTGCGAAGTTATCTGATGGCTGGCGGAGACAGAGTGTCGATTCTGCACTAGTAAGGGCGGGTCGCATGGTTCCGCGATCAGCTAGGTCGAGGCTACATAGCAGTCCCAAACCGCTAACTTCCTGGCTTCGGATCATGCGCCTACTGACGTACCAGGTCAAAAAAGGACAGCCAAAAGCGGCTACACGCCGTGTCTGTGATGGCGGAACGTCTCTGCCAGAGGAGGCCCTAGGGAGATGCTGATCAGCAAGGCTGTATTGGCATGGACGCCGCGATCAGCCGCACGAGGAAAGTGGAAAAGATGCCCAAAGACTCCACAAGATAGACCGAGGTATAGCGGAGTAGCCAGCTCAGCAAAAACCGGTACGCCATTTCTCCTGACGTCTATCTCCGTCACTCGAGGTACTATGGCGCTTGCGAAATTAGCCTCCGCGAGCCTGGATCAACTAATGCTGGACTACTTTCGGGGCCTTGACCGAAAGCCAGATTTCTTTTGTTCTATGCACACACGTTGATTTGGGGTCTGCGTTCTAGAACGGTTCAAGGGTACCATAGGAGACTATCCACGTCTCAATCACAACTACACTGCTCACCATCCAGGTAGCGGTGAGCTCGGTGCTTTTTTGCCTCGATCAGCACGGCTAGATTGACCGCCGTTGTGCTTGGGTTAGGTAGCACGGCTAGAAGGACAATCTTCCGTTATTGTGTGTTGTCAAGACCCTCATCATAATTCGGGAGACGACTGATCCGGAGCTTCAGAGAGTTTACTGTGATTAATGCGTTCACTAGTAATCCTTGAGGTTTTACCATCATCCGTTGGTTAAAGGTCGATCGCATTTGCATCACTCACAGCTAGGTGTAGGTTTCTATCGAATTTTGATCTACATAGACAGAGAGTGAATCGTTGCGGATCGAGGCTACTCGGGAAAAACCAGTGGCAACCAGAGTGATGAAAATGCGCACCCGCTATGCTGCCTCAGGAGACGCCTTTGCCGACATTGAAACCTGGAAGGATAAAGCACTATGCTAGCCTCCCCCAAGTTCTCTGTCGAAGGTCTCGAAGTTTATAACAAGAGTACAACGACTGTCTAAAAAAAATGCTTGGTTACTCCAGACTGCAGTCCCTACGAACATGTGACAAGTCAGTGTCTGATTGGATCAGCTGAGGTAGTCGAGCGGGCTGAGTCGAGTACAGAGACAAGTACATTGATGCCAGTGGTTAGTACTGTATCAATCAGTACCATTATCTCTACACGATACCACTATCTTTATTTATTTGGTCCTCTGATGCCGATTGCATATTCAGAGTTAACAGGTACTGGCTAACCTTTTTCAGTTCCCAGGCCAAAAACATAACAGAGTAAGTTACTTTGACAGAAATAACGCCCAGTATTTTTTCACAAATGTTCTCTGTCAACATATTATTTCCATGGGTTACATTATCTGCGGTCGC